AACATGCTGCACAGGAGAATTCATTTGTTTGAAAAATCTTTTGGCCTCTTAAGGAATGACCATGTGAATTCTGTACAATTCATCTCATTATAATGGAACCGGGATGGCCCAACCAGCCATGCCAAACAATAAAATCATCATATTTAATAATCTTTCGGTTTACAGTTGCATAACTTTCAATTTTAGTTATATTCGTGTAATATATGCCAGAGGAGTAAGAAGGTAGCTTTTCCAATATAACTTTGTTTCCAACAACATTACTTGTAATGCACAAGTACTCAAGATTACCTTCATTATAGGTCTCAATATGATATTCATTTCTGCGAATATCCTAACTCAATAGATTTCTTTGAGACTTTAGAGAATATAATGCATCATTAATGCAAAATTTTGTACCTCCTGGCAAAACTACATTTGCTCTTCTGGAGCCTTCAATCAATTTTGTAGTACCAGCTATAGTACTAACATGAGAATTTTTCATTTGGAGAGAACAAAAATATTTCTGGTCTCCAAGTATAGAGTGAGTTGTTGCACTGTTTGTCACACATAATTCTTTGTCATCCATGACTTTTAAAGGATCAGATGCATCTTCTGGGTGACTACCAAAGAAATCTGCAACATCTATAGACATAAAATCAGTAGTGCCATTGCCGACAATACCATGATCAATAAAATTAGTCTCTATCTTCTTCTCTCCTATCTTTAATGTTTACTAATAGAGATCAACAAAATGTTTTGGTGTACGACAGATACGAGCCCAATGATTTGTCATGCCACAACGTTAGCATTGTTGTCACCATGTTTCTTTTTGTTACCATTAGCATTACTTCCCAACTTCTGGTGGGTTGTAGTATGTTTGAAAAAACCACCGCGAGCGCTAAACTGATTGTTTCGACCACGACCACGACCACGTCCATCCCCAAGGCCACGACCACGGCCACGATTTGGCCCATTATTGAACCGCACAGCTGTCTCATTTACTTCAGGAAATGGAGCAGTCCCAGTTGAACAAGTCTCGTGGTTTTTCAATATGAGCTCATTGTTTTGTTCAACAACCAGAAGAACGGATATCAATTCCGAATATTTTTTAAACCCCTTTTCACGACATTGCTACTGCAGGAGCACATTGGAGGCGTGAAAAGTAGAGAAAGTCTTCTCTAACATATTCTTATCACTTGCTTTTTTCCCACACAACTGCAACTGGAAAATAATTCGGAACATTACGGAATTGTATTCAGTGACCGTTTTAAAACATTACAAATGCAAGTACATCCAATTATGACGAGCTTGTGGAAGGATAATGGTTTTCTGATGATCAAATCGTTCTTTCAAATTTTGCTTTTTTCTGATATTCAGTTTTCAAGCCTTCGTCAAGATGGTGACGAATAAAGATCATAGCCTTAGCCTTGTCTTGATTAGTGGCATTACTACCAACTCTGATGGTATTCTCAAGACCACTTGAAGTGAGATGAATCTCAGCATTTAGCACCTATGACAGATAGTTTTCCCCCGAGATATCAAGGGGAACGAACTCAAGTTTGTAAGATTATTAGTCATGATATTGCTATTGAAAACTGCAAATAAATCAAGAATAAATTTAAATACAAAGTTCATGGACCATATGAACGAAAAAAAACTTTAAGGACTAAACTGAACAAATTAAATTTATTTATTTTTAGATAAAATTTAAAATTCTGAAAAACTACACCAATGGGTTTCCGGGGGAGAGAGGAATACACAAAGCCACTAAATAAAATATGATCAGTGAAACGCACCAAACAAATATGTGACATCTTCCTCCATAAACAAAATGTTTGGGCAAATGTTCTTTTACGTACATATTTCATAAAAAGCAATTTATTGTTTAGTCATATTAGTGGACAAAACTTAATGATTGATGGTGTCGCAGAACAACAAAACCAGTAGAAATTACATATTTTGTTCTCAAAAAATTTTAGGCAATAAAAGAAAAACCAGGGCATCCAACAAAGTCAAACCAGATATTCTAATCTGAAACTACAAACACCCATTATGATTAAAGCAATAAATCAAAACAACCGTAAAAAAACTAAAATTAAAAAAAAAAAAAAAAAACCCGACGATGATATCATGTTAAACTTAATTCGGTAACAGAACTATACACTTGAAACTAGACTAATGATATCATGTTTTTTTAAAAAAAAAAAGAAACAAAAAAAAAACAGAGCCGACCGAAGACATGCATGTATTAATATGGCAACATTATCAAATGGTTTTTTATTTTTAAAGCTATAGCAGAGCAGCGAGGTTGACACCTCGAATGCTAATCATTGAACTGAAACCCAGAGAACAACTGATGTATAAAAATGAAATAAAATAGAAAAAGAAGAAGGCTACTACTTCAGTACTTGGAGTTTTGACCAACACTTTTGCTTCTGGTTAAATTGTAAATGGTAGCTTAGTTGAGTTTTTTTCTTTATCAGGTTCTTTTTCTGTTAGACAGGTGGAGTGAGATTGTATAGATGGAGTAGGGAAACAGACAATTTGTATATTCACTTTTGGTGTTCAATTTTTAATATATATTTATCTTTTCACCAAATATATATATATATAAAAGGATTTCCAAATTTTTAAAATCAAAGAGATTAGTATCAATGTTTAAGGATAGGTATCTTATGTTTTAAACATTTTCTTAAGGATAGGTATCTTATGTTTTAAACATTTTCTTGAACATTGCAATTGACTGTGGAGATAGTTCACATTGAGTTTTCAAATTTGTACTAAAAATCGTGCAAAACTCAAAACTCAATGTGGACTATTTTTGTGAGATGGAGAGAGTAATAGTTTATGATCTTGTCATATATCCGATTGAAAACTCCTCTTTAATATATATAATATTACTAGTAATGTCAGGTTACGCAATGCGCGACCCTGACTCCATATATTTGTAGATCTTAGAAATATTTATATCTGGAAAAAGAAATATTTTGTATTTGAGCCGATATATTTTAGAAATATTTAAAGAATTTTAGAAATATTTTATAAGTGTGATGTTTGTATTTGGCAAAAAAATAAATTGTATTTGGCCCGGTACGTTTTAGAAATGTTTAAAGATTTTAGAAATATTTTATAAGTGTTACTTCTTAAATATAAATAAATTTGATCAAATATATTTCTTGAAGTAAATGATAGACAATATATAAAAGTATCCTAATAAGTTTAAATATTAGTAAGATAATTTATTGATGTTCTCTATTGGTTGTGCCAAATCAATACTTAGTTTTGGAGATTTATAATAGCTTTGTAGTTAGCTTCCTCCAAAGGGTATACGCTTAATTGTTGGAACTATTTCTTCCAAAAGTTTACAGGTAGTAAAATATCAAAAATATGATTTTGAGACTGGTTAATTATTGAAACTGGTTGATTACAAATATGAGAATGAAAATAATTGTAAATTTGCATATGTTTCAAGATATAGCAAAAAAGAACTCACCTCACTATGGCAAATAAAAAAAAAAGAAGAAAAAGATAGTCCATTAAAATTTGAGAGTTTTTATTTTTTTTTATAAGTAAAAATGATGTATAAAAACACAAATAAACGTATAACATCATTCCTCCCCTCTCCACCTCAAATTCATAAAAGGATTTCTCATAAATTAGTTAAAAGAAGCGACCTGAACTATTTATATGATGAGGAACTAAAAAAAGTCCAAAAACCAAATCCAAAAAAGTATATTCTTGAAACTCCGAATACAAAAAAAAAAAGTGCTTCATTTGTAAATAAAATAATAATAATAATAATAATAATAATAATAATAATAATTGGTCAACTAGGAGTATGAAACAAAATCAAAAGCAATTAAACAAAGAAAAAACACACTTCATAATTGGCCATATACGAAAAAAACCTAAGACTGCATAATTAAAAAAAGAAAACCACTATAATTGAATGAAACACAAAAAACAAATTTAAAATACCACACTTTGTAACAAAAATCCAATCAATCAATTCAATCTAAACATAACTAAAATCATACAAAAATTCTAGGCTAACTAACCAAATAAGAAATCACATCATACTACCTGACAACGGTTACGGTAGCTGTAACGGATGGACACATACAAATAATAGTAATAACACTATTCTTGAACGGGAAAAATAAAAAATAATAAAAGCCAAACCAATGATCTGTGCAAATAAAATCATTTAAATTTTAATACCTGTAATGGCACCACCACAACGATCGAAGCAAGATCAATGAGATTTTTTTTTCCCTTTGTGTTTATATAGAGAGGTAAAGAGAATATTTTTTGAAGTTGAAATTTTATCCGATTAAGATGTAGTTAATCATCACTAATGAAAAGATTGAACATGCTAATAGAAAAGGAGTATATTTCACCACGTATTCTCAATTGATGATTGATGATGATTTTTTTTTTTAATTGTGGAGAAGGGATTGATTAAGGAGTCGATTGTCGTGGAGATGGGGATGAGGATTTGAGGTTTTTATGAATCCGTGATTTTTATTTTTTTTTTGACAGGAATAGGAGGTGGAAGTGAATTTAGACTACATTTGCCTTTTAAATTTAGGAGATGTGGAAATAAAAATTTATTTTAAAAATATGATGTGAAAATGCCACATGGCAAATGGTGGTACTTTCTCTGAAGAACTTAGTAAAATAAAAATTTTTCTATAATTTCTCGTCAACCATTAGGGTTCAAAAAAATAATTTAACTAATATTAATTGTAACAGATCTGTTCAAAAACTATACACTAAAATGAATTGAAGAAGTACTGGTCGCGCATTAGTAATAGTCGAATTTCAATCGTGTGAATCTGTAGAAAATTTAAAACTGTTAATTTCGTAATAAATCCAATTCAAATTAAATAATCAAGGCAAACATTGTTCTTTTGGAAATCAACACAAATGTTCTTCCCCAGTCCACAATCCTCAGAACCCAGACTCTTTCATTTTACGATGGAAAGCCTAAAGCTATAGCAGAGCAGCGAGGTTGACACCTCGAATGCTAATCATTGAACTGAAACCCAGAGAACAATTGATGTATAAAAAGGAAATAAAATAGACAAGAAATTGGCTTGATAGCGTCTAAAAATAAAAATAAAACTGCTATACTTCATTTATGCAAAATACCAATTGCACCATGCATCTCACACCTTCGGGAAGGGAAGATCAGAAAGAAGTTGATAACCAATTGAATTCGATGCGTGATACTCCGCTATAAAGTTTACTTGTCTGAATGCATGGCTCGTCTAGCCTTTTCTCATGTCGTTTAAAAGATTCAAAGGAAGAATGTTTTCTACATGATGCCTAAAGGCAGCATAAGTGGGCATTGGAGTGGGTATCCAATCAGAAAACTTATCCGTAGACATCAGCTTAAGAGTTGCATGCTTTTTGTCCTCTTCCAAATCACAAAAGATCAAAGTATCACAAGCATAAAGATTTGATATTTTAACGAGCATATCACCTGTATTTGTGCTGCCAGAGAAGCTAAGGTATCGGCGGCCAACAAGCAACCAACTCGGTAGCTCGATTCTGGATCTAACCCAATCCTGGTCGCGTCTATTAATTAATCTCCACAATGTGATTTGATCAGTAGTACCATGACTGTGGGATCTGTTTAAGAATGCCAAGGTGAATTTGCCACCTACTTCTGTTTGGAACACAGAATCAACCGGTTCATTACCTACGTGATCATGAACTGGAAGTACGTTAAATTTCTCCTGTCCAACCTCAAAATACTGCACATTCTTCTCCTCCCAACCCTCACAATTAGGAAGCTCACAAACATGTGAATATGTATGCCAATATATTGCACCATCCACGCATGTGTTCTCTCTTCTTCTATAGATACCTAGCTGCGGTAAACCATCAACCTTCCTCCAAGACATGCGCTTATCACCGCTAAAAGTGATGATGAAATATTCACCCTCTCCAAAACGGATTAGTACTTTATATTGTTTTTTGATTGGATCAAACCCCAAATAATGTGCGGGATTGCATGGATTGCGGGAATGAAGCCAAAGTTCTGATCTAGGGAGAGGCACCTTTTCCTTAGTCGTGAGATTGAGCAATTCAAATTGATATTCTTTCTCCACCCATAGACAGATCAGGCCGTTGACGATATTTGTCGCACTGATAAACTTTGCGCGATGAAACCATTTATTTTCATCATATGCTGATGCACCATCAAACATGTGTACGGGAAGATGATTGGACAAAATCCCATCATCAAGTTTTACCGGGAAGATACCCCATCTTGGTTGAACCGGAAAGATACTCATCCATCGGCGAAGTGCCGGTGCATTTTCGGTGGTGACATAAAGCAGAACGTGTGAGGAATCCGGCCTGCGGGTCCGAGAGACGGCATGATGGGATTCAGCGAAACGGGGATCACGAATCAGAGCATGCCACGATTTACACACAATTTTGAATCGCATTAGGGATTTCGCTGGAAGACATACCAGAATATCCAAGAGTAGGTCGTCCGGAATAGGCTTTTGCCCTAAATTATCTCTCTCTATTTTCTGCATTGCGGATACGAACTCCTGTTTATCCCCCCAACAAATCTCTAGTGCTACACGTACATACATATACATAATATTACATAGTTATACACACTTGTATGTGGAAATTTTATTTCCTACACCCAGAAGAATTCGGAAAATTTATTTCCTAATAAAAATGGGTATTGATATATTGAGAGCAAATTTATATATATTGTTTTGGAAATTTTAAATTTAAACGTGGGGAGGTTTTGATGTGCCACGAGTTAAGTGAGATTAAAATCACCATTGTACACAAATCTTATTTTCTACCCCCTTTTTATTTTATTTTTTTTAAAAAGAGTGAACCTCAAAACAAGTCATCAATCTTTAATATATTTCCACTCTATGTCATCAATTAAATTTATTTGTAACATAAGTTACTTTACTAAAGTTTTAATCCATTTCAGATTATTCTGTTAATTTTGGCCGTTATATAGTGACGAAAATCCATTTTTCACATGTTTTTGGGTTCAGGGTATTTTTGTCATTTTTTTATTTTTTTACTTTTTTATTTTTTTAAATTTTTCTTCTTATACTTCCTAATTTGTATATACTGGTAGTATAATTCTAAATTTTAAAAATTTATTTTTCTTTTGTATTTTAACGTCTAGATTATAAAATTTTTTAAAAAACAATTTAGAAATGAAGAAAAAAAATTCGAGTTAAAGTAAACATGAAAATAAATAATTTACCATTTAAAAATAAAGAAAAACTAAAATAATTAGCTAAGACAAGTTGTTTCTTCTAGGTTATTTAATTTTTTTCAACTCCATTGAATTATTTAATTATTAATTTTCACGTTTCTTATTCCTTTTTTTTAATAATCTACTAGTTAATATACAAATGACAAATTAATTTTCAAAAATGGATTTTTTTATCATTTGTATCTTAACTTCTAGATTATAAAAAAAAAAGAATAAGAAACGTGAAAATTAATAATTAAATAATTCAATCGAGTTGAAAAAAATTAAATAACCTAGAAGAAACAACTTGTCTTAGCTAATTCTTTTAGTTTTTCTTTTTGTTTAAAATGGTATATTATTAATTTTCATGTTTATTTTAACTTGAATTTTTCTTCTTCATTTCTTAAATTTTTTTTAAAAAAATTATATAATCTAGAAGTTAAAATACAAAAGGAAAATAAATTTTTAAAATTTAGAATTATACTACCAGTATATACAAGTTAGGAAGTATAAGAAGAAGAATTGTAAAAAAAAAAAAAATTAAAAGATTAAAAAGTAAAAAATAAAAAAATGACAAAAATACCCCTAAACCCAAAAACATGTGAAAAATGGATTTTCGTCACTATTTAACGGCCAAAATTAATAGAATAATCTGAAATGGATTAAAACTTTAGTAAGGTAACTTGTGTTACAAATAAATTTAATTGATGACCTAGAGTGGAAATATATTAAAGGTTGATTACTTGTTTTGAGGTTCACCCAAAAAAAAAAACCCGTAACGGCTAAAACTACCTCCTTTTGATCCTTTTTAAAAAAAAAAAATAAAACAAAATTATTTTCCCCAAAATAATAAAAGCTCAGATTGTCTTCTTCCTCGCGTTTCCTTCTTCTGCCTCCTCCGCTATCCTCACAAATTCAGCATCACTCTCACTTCCAAATAAAAAAAAATTGTGGGGGAAACCCCACGAGCTCTGGTTTATCCACACTGCAAAATTAATCATCATCTTAGGAGAAGGCGAATTCGTTCATTCTAGAATGGTTAAGGCCGAAGAAGGTTTAGCATATGCATTGCAATTACATGAATTCATTTACTTCGTTCGGGGTGAAAATCAGAGGATTCAAGAGCTAGTACTTGAACTGTACAATAATGCAGCAAAGTAAACGTCAATGTATAGTTTTACCAAGAAGAACAGTTTCGAATGCTGTTGAAACTCAACCTGATCACACTTGTCAAGGAGTATTAAAGAAATAGTTGAGCGGATAACTGATGTTTTCGCCCCCCTCCAGCAGATTGACTATGTCCGTAGTTTTCATAGTACTTTCTCTGTCCCACAAAAATACAATTATGAAGTGAAAAGTCTGATTGGTTATCCAGTTGGTTGATCCTGATATCAAACTGTACGGAACCAAAAAAAAAGTACAATTATTTACATTCTCTTTTCAGGTTGTATTGGGTAGTTTAGAAAAAAAAAAAAAAAGAGAAATATGCAAGGATTCCCCACCCCCCACCCAATCATATTAGTAGCGTAGGGAAGATTTAGTCTTATAATAATTTTACTGCTCAGTTCCTGGTAGTAATGTTGTGAAAGTGAGTAGAATGGAAAATGTTTATACTTTATAGGATGGCAAAGCGTTGGCTACAATGTTGTAATTTTGTTATCTCTTTTATTAAGATGAAATGTTGATTATCGAAGGGGGGAAAAAAAAAAGGAAAAAAGGAGGTGGAAAAGTTTATAGTAACAAGGAGTGCAAATTACTTTGTCATTATTTTGCTCATTTCCAGTGTTTGACATCACATTTGTCTCTTGATGGTTGCCGGAGATGATTAAGCTGTGCTTTTTCAGAACTCAGAATTTTCACTCTCCCCCAGTCTGTTTTATTACTCCCAACACATATTGGAATGGCTCATGGTAATAAACATTCCCGCTGGCCCCTGGAATTTTAATTTCAAGAACACTGGAGAAATGCAGTAACTTAAAGTTAGCACCAACAGGCAGCAGTGATGTCTAGATTATACACCCAAGTTCTGAATTCCACCATGATAGCATTTGCCAATGACGATGATCTTCGACAAGTTGCATCCAAACCACTTCTCATGTTAAGGGTGAGAAGAGGAATTTTGTTTCTCAGCCAATCCCTGACAGTTTACTGCTTGTCCACAAATAGGATTTTCAAGGAAATAGACATGTCCATCACTCTCCATCCTCCGCGGCAGTTTGTTTGCTTAAGTTGTGAAAATCAGAATCATGGGCAGTGGCAGCACAGAGAGGGGCAGCCCCATGAAGAAATCCCAAGTCTCTCTGTTAATCAACTTGTCTGTCTTTCTGAGTATGCAAAGATCTGGAAAAACTTTTGACTCATATCATCTTCATCTCCAGTGAAAGGGAATAACACTTCCATAATCTCGGAAGAAGGAAGTCATAAATTGCAATCAGGAGGTCAAAGTAAACTGCATGCTTCCACCAAACCAACCTTGAACAAAAATGTGAATTGGTTTACTTCCCTTGTCAACAAGAGTCACAACTCAATAGTCCAATAGATAAAATACTGAGAGCCTGGAATTGGATTTATATTAGCACTTCCAAGGGATTTCATGAAATGAAAGTGCTTGTACATTCCTTCATCTAGTTGGCATCAGAACTCAGTCTAGTCATAATTATCTCCTCTTCTTCTTTAGAAGTGATGCAGCTTGTATAATCATCTTATCCACCTCATCCAAATCTGGTACATCTACACTTTCACCTGATAATTTATGTCTCCTTGAATCAGCCGATATTTGGCGCAGATGCTCTTCGAAATTGTCTGTCTCATTACTTCTTTGTGAGGAAAACTTGTCAATTGCATCCAAATAAAGATGCCGTTCCACCTTTTTCTCATCTTCTGAGTCCGATTCACTCTCAAATATATCTGATAAAGAATCAGAATCTGAGTCAATCCCAGTATCTGTCAGAGTGTCATCAGCCTCATCTAAGTCATTTGTCTTCGCAATTATTTCTTTCAACCGATCAGACCCCTCAAATTGAGTGGTGGAAGGGGAAACAGAGTGGTCAGTTGCAGCAGTTGTTGATTGATTGTCTCTAGAAGCGGCAATCTTAGTTTCAGCTTGTGCTTGAAGCAGTTCAAGTTCCTGCTCAAGCCTAGGAATAAATCGCCTAACAGCGCGTAAGGCATCTCGGTACTTCGATTTATCCAAAGCCTGCATTGAAAGATTCAATGAACGTCAGACTAAAACAGAAACCTAAGTGATCGACTGGCAGCTAGTCATAACAAGACTAAAAATTGGTTACGGTTGTATTTACACAAAAAAAAAAAAAAAAGAAGAAGAAGAGAAGGAGAGAAGCACACCTTCTTTCTGGGAAGAGTGACCCTTGGAGACATTATCTCAGTCGGCGGCTGAGAGTAATTTTTCCCTCGGTACATAATAATTGTATCGTCATCATCAATCTGAAGCACAATGCCACCACTTAATCGTGCTAGCTCAGCAGCAATTTCCTTGACCTCTTCGGGGGTGAATGTCTTCACCACTACCTTCAAAGTTTGATGCTTTTTCCAATGCAGGTGCATATTTAAGATCACACCTTGGTAGACACCTCGTCTTCCAACAGGAACATAATTTTTACATTTCTGCCCCATCTTCAGGAAGTAAAAATGTTCTTCTGGAGTCAATATCTCAGGATCGTGAGTAGTTTCAGAAGTCTCCTTAGGTTCAATTTTCTTAAGAGCTTCCATTAGCCTCTCCTCTTTCCTCCGAGCCTAAAAAAATTGGTGGAGAATGGCTTAATTACACAATATTGGTCTTCGGTGAACCACGAAAAAGGCCAGTTCACGATAAGTTTAATGAAAAGGATAACTACATTTATATAATTTTCTTAGTGAATTCTTTCACAATTTGAAGTCCAAGTTCACTCAAAATTTGCACATTATAACCACATCAAGAGGGACAAACCAACAATGGAAAAAAAAAAAAAAAACAGAACGTATCATCTTGGAAGCAAATTTGAGTATACAAAGAAATCAATCAAAGATCTGTTTACCTTCTTGAGTTTGAACAGGATTTTCTCTTCAGCCGTCATTCTCTGATAGTCTCTCTTCTTCTTCCACCTGAAGAACTTTAACCACCTCACAACAGCCCTCTTACCCTTGAGTTTCTTCCTCTTTTTCTTAACCTCACCAGAACCATCATCAGCATCGGTAATCGGGTTCCCAATTTTCTCCGCTTCCGTTTCAGCAGTCCATAAAACCCTACCGGAATGTATCCATGAAATGCCCCCAAGACTCCATCTTTTCATCCCATAAAAATGATCCGTTCCAGAAAATTTGCAAAACCCATCACGCAGACTAAGCCATAAAAGAGATTTAACAACAGAAACCAAACAAAGTAATCAATCAATACATCATTAATCGCGAGTAAAAGAAAACAATTAAGAGAAGGGTAGATTATTTAAGTTTTCTACCTGGGCTTATGGAGAATGGGGTGGTACAGATATGGAAAGAAGATGAAATGATGAGACAAAATCTGCCCAATTTGTGCTCTGCGCTGAGTAATCGAAGCGGAAGTTATTAAACTCCGAATCATGAGCATCCTCCCGGGAAACTACAGAACAACCGAAGCAGAACATGACTGACAAGTTCTGGGATTTTTCTTCGAGGAGGAAGAGGTTTTTCGGGCCCGAGCAGAGTCATGAAGTAAAGGCTCGTTGGGCCTCTCTATGGATGATGGGTTCTTAAAACGTGGGCCGGCTCAAAAGAGCCTTTTTTTATTTGGTGAAGAAACGCTTTCTTTCTTTCTTTCCTTTAATTTTTTTTTTTTTTTTTTTTTGCATTAAAGGAGGCAAACAAGCGCCTGATTACAATACTACATTCCTAGGGTATGATACCCCTATTACTTCGTGGCGTAGCTATTTCATGACTTCCGCTGGAGGGTATGATAGCTTTCGGACACCCCAATCTACTTGTTCCTTCATCTTTCCTTTAATTTTCTTTCTCTTATAGAAAAGAGGGGAGTCGTGCTAATCATACATCAATGTGAATATATCACCTTTTCTTAATGGTTATGAATTTATGCTACACATTTTGAAAACGAGTAAATTTATTAATTATGAGCTACATTTTGAAAATGAAATTAATCTTTCAAAACTGATCCATTTTTTAGTGCAAATTACAAACTGATTTCTGTTTGTGCCTGTCGTCGAAAATAATTTACTCTGGTAACATTTGTGAATGTTTGAATATATGTACACGCTACCTTACAAACCTTCAAATTAGGGCATTCATTACCATTTAATCAAACTATTAAAAAAAATAAAAACCAAGAAGGGGAAGAAGCAATCAAAAAGAAGATCAATTAGTCACAAGCAAATGATTCTTCATTTTCTTTCTTTGACATGAATCAAATCCACAAACACAATCTTCCAACCCTATGGATCTAGCTCTTGGAGACATCTATATGCAATTATAGCATAAACCATTTGAAGACCTCTTTTAACAATTTACATGGAAAAAAAACTACCTCCCTCCATGAAATCCCCATCTCTAAAACTTTAATTTGATGGGATAAAAAAACCAAAGAAACACCTCTTACGTTAAAAAATGTAGGGTCAGCTAGGACTCAAGGCGGCAAATCCACCGCCTTTCATCATCTGCCGGAATTCCTTGTAATTCACCATCCCATCACCATCTTTATCGACTTTCTTGATCATCAACTGGCAATCCTCGATCGTTCTCCCTTGTTTCAACCCTAAAGACGACAAAACCGACCGCAATTCCTCCACCGTGATGAACCCGTCTCCGTTCTGATCAAACACGTTGAAAGCTTCCCTCATGTCTTCTTCCTCGTCCCTTTCGTCCATGATCGTTTGGTACAGCGTCCCGAACTCGTCTATGTCGACGTACCCGTCGCGGTTCGCGTCGATCTTGTCGATCATCTGAACCAGTTCCTTCTCCGGGATGTATATTCCTAGGTTCTGTAACGAGTCGTGGAGCTCTTTCTTTGTGATTTTCCCGTCTCCGTTCCGGTCGAACATTTGGAAAACCCGTCGCAGCTCTGATGGATCCATTGAAATTTTGTTGTTGTTGTTGTTGTTGTTGTTGTAACAGTCGAGAAATGTGGAATCAAACTGTTAATAACTTAAAACTACCCGGGTGGAAAATCAGCAAATGCGCTATCTTAGAATTAATTGACAACAAAGTACACAGCACTGTATTTATATAAGGCTTTTATATTGCATTGAAATTAATTAGTTGGCAAAAAAGGAACAAAGAGTTTTTCCAGGAGCCGTGAAAGTAAGTTAAAGAGGGAAAAAAAGAGCCCAGAAAGAAGCAAGATTGGGAGATTGAAGATGGTGACAACAGGGGAATCGAGAATGTTGGGCAAAATGGTTGGCAAGGAAGGAGGGATAAAGAAGGATATATAGTAAGATCAAGGATGGTGTCAAAATGAAGGGGGGAAAGAGGTAAAAGGGGAAAAAGTGGATATTATGAGATTGAGGATATCCACAAACTTCGGGTATCAATGGCCAGAAACTGGGATATGGACAACTTGCTTAAAAAAAAAACAACAACTGCAATGTTGGCACATTATCATTGACGAATTCTAACAGAAAGACAGCATTTTAAGGATTTTATTATGTGTAACAGAATGTTGGACTTGTGGAGGAGCTGGCACTTGGAGAGCTCTCGAGTTAAAGACTGTTTAGAATATTGGGAGATCCTTGAAAATTGACACCCAACGACTTAGCCAAGAATATATAAAACCCGCATGATGTAAGTTTGATATGGTCAATTACAAGTAGCATTGATACTCCAGGAACAAGTAGTCCAACAGAATGAATCTTATGCAGTACTACCAAGTAAAAGGCAGTTAGAGATGATTTGTTTCTATAGGTTACTAGTGATGTCTGGTGCGTGACCCTGGCCCATTATATCTGTATATCTTAGAAATGTTTATATTTGGAAAAAAAATATTTTGTATATGACCCGATATATTTTAGAAATATTTGAAGAATTTAGAAATGTTTTATAAGTGTGATGTTTGTATTTGGCATAAAAATAAATTATATTTGGCCCGGTACATTTTAGAAATGTTTGAAGATTTTAGAAATGTTTTATAAGTGTTACTTCTTAAATATAAATAAACTTGATCAAATATATGTCTTGAAGTAAATGCTAGACAAAATATAAAAACATCCTAATAAGTTTAAATATTAGTAAGATAATTTAATGATGTTCTCCATTGGTAGTACCAAATCTATACTTAGTTTTTGAGATTTATAATAGCTTTGTAGTTAGCTTCTTCCAACGGGTATACGATTAATTGTTGGAACTGTTTCTTCCAAAAGTTTATAGGTAGTAAAATATCAAAAATATGATTTTTAAACTGGTTAATTGTTGAAACTGGTTGATCACAAATATGAGAATGAAAATAATGTAAATTTGCATAGGTTTCAAGAAATAGCAAAAAAGAACTCACCTCACCATGGCAAATAAAAAAAAAAGGAAAGTAAAAGATAGCCCATTAAAATTTGAGATTTTTTTTTCTGTAGGTAAAAATGATGTATAAAAATACAAATAAGTGTAGAAACATCATTCCTTCTCTCTCCACCTCAAATTTATAAAAGGCTTCCTCATAAATTAGTTAGAAGAGGCGACCTGAACTATTTATATGACGCGAAACTAAAAAAAAGTCCAAAAACCAAATCCAAAAAAGTATATTCTTGAAACCCCGGACACAAAAAAAAACGCGCTTCATTTGCAAATAAAATAATAATAATAATAATAATAATAATAATAATAATAATAATAATATTAATAATAACAACAATTGGTCAACTGGGAGTATGAAACAAAATCAAAAGTAATTAAACAAAGAAAAAATACACTTTATAACTGGCCATATACTAAAAAAAACAAGAGACTCCATAATTAAAAAAAGAAAACCACTCTAATTGAATGAAACATAAAAAAGAAATTTAAAAAACCACACTTTGTAATAAAAACCCAATTAATCAATTCAATCCAAATATAACTAAAATCATACAAAAATTCTAAGCTAACTAACCAAATAAGAAATCACATACCTGACAACGGCTACGGTAGCTGTAACGGATGGACGCATAAAAATAATAGTAATAACACTATTTCTGAACGGAAAAAATAAAAAATAATAAAAGTCAAACCAATGATCTGTGGAAATAAAATCATTTAAATTTTAATACCTGTAATGCCACCATCACAACGGCCGAAGCAAGATCAATAAGAATTTTTTTTTCTTTTGTGTTTATATAGAGGGGTAAAGAGAATATTTTTTAAAGTTGAAATTTTATCCGATTAGGATGTAGTTGATCATCATTAATGAAAATATTAAACATGCTAATAGGAAAGGAGTATATTTCACCACATACCTCCATATCGATTTTCGTGAACATGGAGATGAGGATTTGAATTTTTTATGAACTCGTGATTTTTTTTGGCGAAAATAGGAGGTAGAAGTGAATTTGGACGGCATTTGCCTTTTAACTCTAAGAGATGTGAAAATAAAAATTTATTTTAAAAATATGATGTGAAAATGCCACATGGCAAATGATGGTGCTTTCTTTAAGTGTGGTTTTTGTTTCTAATATAGTAAGATATATGCATTTTCCCTCTGTAACAAAAAAGGCCAAAACATGTTGCTTGGATGACGGAATGGAAGTGATGAAGACCACCATGAGAATGTATAAACAATAATACTTGGGTCTTTTGGACAGTTTCTTACTCCCATAGTGTTTACGCGTTTCATTGTTTTGTTGCATATCACAGTATTCTTTGTATATTGCAGAATGCAGAGTGCCGATTCACTACTATAAAGTAGTTAAATAATTGAGTTATTCAATTGTGGCTTTGCTGAGTCAGTGTATTGCTGAATCATTCTGGCTTTGCAGACCCAGTCAAATCCGTTAAGACAGTTTGTGATCATCCCAAAACGATTGTATCGCAGTAGTTATTGGCCAAAAATTAGCTTTCTTACACATCCTTTGCTGAATCAGGATTGCATCCATTGGTGTAGACGATTAGAATCAGACAAGTCCATGGCTTATTACTACGAACAATTGATTGTTTGATTCATTTCCTTTTTTGGGTTCTAGGGTTCAATCAAATCTCTGGAAATTGTAATGGGCATAGACAAAAATGTAGTCCAACCATGTGGCCAATTAGATCATAGCAGATTAGGATCTAATGGACGAGTAAAATTGGAAACAAAAAACATTAATTTGGCAAACGAAGAAATTGCCTCAAACCATTCATATTAGGGTTAGGGACAGAGTGCGTTTGCCGATCAACTTCTCACAACAAAATTAAACCATACAGCCTGACAATCTCGAATTTAATCTCTTCCTGGTCGAGATAAACAAGCCAAGCCAAGAAGAAAGACAAACAAAATAAGGAATGTACCAGTATTATAAGGGCCTGAAATATCAGGTTAATGATCAAATCCAGGCGAGTGATACTGGAATTCACTATCGCAAGTTTATTTGTATAATAATTGCCTGGATTGTAGAAATTCAATCCAGTCAAGAAGCTGACTTGCTTTCTCCGAGTAAATCATAGGAGAGAAATTTTGAGATAATTCACACACACACACACACATACACGCGCGCAAAAAAAAGAGAGAAACACACAGAACAGAGATACCGGAGATGATTCCCACCGTCTGATATTCAGTTCAAAGAGACACGGAAGGAAGAAAAGATGAGGCAGGAGCTGGAGTCTCTCTGCTGAGTTGCCTGAACTATAAAAGAGGAAACGAGGAGGAGAACAACGGCGGAAATTAGGGTTTTTTGGGGAGAATGGGCTTCTTGTTTCCATCAACTAGGTGATTCCTTATTGGGCTCACTGATCCGAACCTAATAGGGCCCAATTCATTTTCAGCCTCATTTTAAGCTACCTGCTTTGATTTACGAAAAAAACTGCGGTAATTGCGTAAATCAAAGTTAAAGCTCTATTGAAAGACACCATGAGGAATTGTTTGATGGATCACCTTGCATCTTTTGCCTATTTGTATTCCACATTAGGACAAGATTCTTGCATATATGTATTCCTTTGATGGAATGTTGAAATGTAAATGAGTGATGTACTAAACCCTTTTGATCTTGGACTGAAAACACAACTTTCGTCCAAAAAAAAAGTTAAAAGCCCTATTGTCTACGACCTAATGAGCGGATTAATTTTCCGGAGGTAAACAATATGAAAGGAAAAAGCTTGAAAGATTTAAATTTTAATCTTAGTTTTGCCTAAACTAAAAATTTAGCCTTATTGTCCATTTGCCTTATGCATGGCAGCATATTGCATATGTACTTGATTTTGGTTTTAAAATCTTCAACAAAGATTGAATTTCAACAATAAGCAGGATCAAATGGAGTAAAATTGTTATGCTGATTTAAAAGGAAAACCTGGTGGTCTATCCGAACATTCTCACGGTTTCTAGTCTGTAATTAGCAGTCAGCAGAAAGATAATGCTACGTGACAGGTGACACCTTGGATTTGGCTTCGAGCTGCAACTGAGGTCCTTGATGGAAACATTCATGATTTTCTCATAACACTAAATGAAGAAAAGGGCCTAACCGAAATGCAAACTTATCTCCATCAGCACTCAACAATATTACAATTCTTTGGTTCTTGTAGCTGCAGTATTGAACCATCTTTAATCTCCTGATACAAATGAGGTTGAAGACACGTAACAGCCACAGGACTCCCATATGATTAAAGGTAGAATGGGAGGCATCCGTTACGGTACAACCATCTTTGTAAAAACCCCATGAATGGGGTGCTTCTTAAAATCTTATCGACCCTAGAGACTGTAACTAAACGTGCAGCAAGTTGACCTAACTCACTTGTCTACATTTTCAACCCCAAAACACGGCTATGAGACTTCCATCAGACTTCTAACTTCTAAGGACAGACGAAGGCAGATATTTGTTGAGCAGGATGCCTGAAGTAAGGAGAGAATGTTATCATACCAGGACATAGAAGGAGTACCGGAGGTTTCTAGTCCTCATTCATGTTAAAGATATGGGTATGCCAATCCTCAACATCATCCTCAACTTCACTGACAACATAAGGTTCAGTAGCCAGACTGCAACAGTTCAGTACACATTTTACCATAGCCAAGACAAAATATATCACCAAAGGGCTACAAAGAAGAGCCAGAGGCAAAAAGAAGCAGACAGATCAGATTTCACTCATTTTGCTATATAGTACGCATCTGCTGCCCTTCACTAGGATCTTCAGAATATACAATAAGGTTCCAAGACTAGGGCTATACATATGTTCTCCATTCACCCGCTCTAAATGAGAAAAGCTCTCTTACGGACAATAAAGGTTCGATATCATCAGGGTTAACAAATATAATACACTCTCTTGTCCCCCGCCACTCACACCTCAAATCTGATGCATAGCAACCTGTCTCTCACATTGCATACATTACCATCGTTCTGTTAAATATATGTACGAAACATAGTCAAGAAACCTTTCTACTTCTCCTTCTCCAAAAAACACGGTTCAACTGAAAGTGAATCAAAGCCACACTAATGCCCACCTATTTACTGACAAGCATAATGACCAAAAAGAAGCATAGCTACAGTAAATTTCATTGGCAGAATTCACCACTAAGTTCCCTCAACTAAACAAGAATGAACAACTTAACATCTTGAATGTTCTTGAGATTTAAACGTCTAAAATGAGCAACATATACAACTGCAGTGAAGAAACTATGATTCCGTCACTCCTAAAGTGGGCAGCTCAAAATGCATTGCAATATGATACTCTTCTGAACCCTAATATACACTTACAACGAAAGCTAAAAGCTTCAAAAGCTCATTTAAAACAGGAATAAAAACGCACGTGAAAGTTTGGATATTTTCTTCCACAACCTGTCTGTCCTACAGAAACCTTACTATTGACACATTTAGTTGGAAACATGATGCTTTCATTTAGGGGGAAAACATGGTTAGGTTATCTAATTCATCCAAGTAGTCAATCAAAATTAGCCTGGAAGGCAACAAATAGGAACCTAAAGAATCACGAGAAATTCTCAGAGCTAATAATCCAAGAAATTAACTTCAATTAGTCCACAAAGCATCAAATTGAATGAAACTTGTAAATAACGTGCCACATAACATCATACCAAAATCTCAACTTCTAAGGATCCAATTGAGAATAAACATTATTATTACAATAACGAAACATAAATGAGTCATAGGATTTCATTCCAAAGGTGGACCTTACAGAACGTTTTCTCTCTGTAGGTAAATCATGAATGTACCACATAAACAACCTTACGGAATGTCCCAAGCCTTTGGCTCCGGCACGGCAACGACCATTCCCTGAAGCTCAGGAGTAAGGACCACCTGGCACCCAAGCCTGGAATGCTTGTTCAAAACTCTATTCCTAGAATTCCTCTGAAGGACATACTGCTCGTCATAGGTCGGAGGGGGAAGCTTGTCCAGCCATTCCTGAGCGATGTGGACCTCGCACTCAGCCGAGCAGGCTTCGATCTCCTCGAGCCTGTGGGAAGCCGGGTCGATCAATCCGTGGTTAGTCAACGCCTTGAGAAGAGTATGGCCAGATAGACCAATGATATCGCGCTTCAAGCCATCGGGATCGATCGCGGAAAGCTTGACGATGCGATCGGCCACCTTTGCGCTGGATGACGCGGTGGAGGTGGAGGTGGCGGAGGAGCGGTAGATTACGATTCTGGAAGAAAGGGATAAAGTGGGGGTTTTGGAGATTTGAGATGCCAGTCTCTGCAGAGTTGCAATCGCCATCTTTCCGGCCTACTGAGAAACTTTCGAGGGTTCGAGGCAAGGAGATTTTACCTTGTCGAAGTTTCTCGCTACGATGCCGTTTCGGTCAGCCACATTGGTTGCTCAATTTCGAATTGCGTGCCTCTACTTTCAATTTCTTAACTTTTTGGTTCACTTACTTTGAAATTTTCAAAACTGGTGCCCAAAGTTGGAAAAGAAATTTCCTTTCTATTTCAGACGCGAGGTTGAGGGATTTATGCTAAGTTCTTCAATGAAATTGAGCGCCATAAAGACAACAAAACTTTAAGAAGTTTTTTCATCTGAAAGAAATCCTTCTGTCCCAAAATTATTGTCCAGTTTGAGATTTCACTTTTAATACAATTTGAACTAAAAATAAAAACTCAAACTGGATAATAATTATGGGACGAGGGAGTATCAAAATTGCATTCTGATTTATAGTCTGTTCTTTAATCTTTGTAGGATTTTGTAGTCTTAGTTGTGAAATGTTGGTAGTTCCTCAACAACACACGGTAAAATTAACAAATGTTCGGAAAAATGATAGAAAAAGGTTGTACAGCTCATGGTTTGCTAACAAGGTACAACAACATTCCCAACATACTCAAGATCATAACATAAAAATCTGATGGATTCCCCATCCTGATTATTGATTGCTCCTGTCAAAGATAATCTACACTTCCCCGTCACAATGATATCTGCAAGAAATTTAGGGAGTCTTTCATAGCTTCTGAAAACCACAAAGGGACATCATAACGGAAAACAAAAGACAGCAATTGATGTTTTGGAGCCAAACCTGTTCACATAAGCTAACATTTCCAAATCTGGTGATACAAACAGTATTAAGAGGATCACATGAACTCGCTTATTATGAACTACACCGGTGAACAGTATAGGGTTCAGGATCAACTTTGGTAGGATTGCCCAATACCATATCAACTATCATTTCAGCAGTTCCCAAAGCCTGATGAACATGCGTCCATAGGATTAGAATACCCATATAGTAACAACTTAAAGAGAAGCTGAACCTGAATGAACCAAAATGATTAGTAATAGCACAATTTGAAATGTACCAAAGTCAGTCCTTCACCCTCATGTCCGGCAGCAACATAAAACTTGGACCATCCAGGAACAGGTCCAATCACTGGCTTCCCATCAGGCACTACAAGGAAAGATGTTGGATTAAAATAAAAGGCATCAAGTAGAAAAAGACTAGGTTAATAGCAGTGACCTAATCCTTTTCTTTGGTACTTACTGTAAGGTCTCAATCCTACTCTAACTGATCTATTTTTCTTTAACTCAGTCAGAGATTTTTCTCTTAATGCAGGAAAAAACTCCGCTGCCCTCTCCCATATTCGAGTAATGATTGACTCATCTACGTCTGTATTGAACCCAACAAGCTGGCGGCTGCTTCCTGCAAGGGCCATTCTACAGATGAGATACATTTATCTACCAAATATTGAATATGGAAACTTTATGTGTGGTTTTATCACACACGGAAATACGTTTATTTTCCAAACATTAGATTTCCAGAAAGTAAAAAACAATGTGACAAATGAGACGCTACCAAGAACTAATCTTCCAGATGAGTCCATGGTAGCAGTCATTGAGACAGATGTAGTCTCAGCATCATAGGGGGTTTCTGCACCAGATACAGCAGCTTGCAGAGCCGCAGACTGATGATTCACATATCCAGCCTCCATAAGAGCATGATTCAGTTTGAAGGAGTCAAAATTCTCAATTAACAGTAGGTGACCCTGACAACAGATACAAAGAAGTTAGACTTCGCAACATAACTTAAAAGGCTTCCTTTTTTTGCAATTAACGACCAAACCAATTGTATATTCACTTGTTTATAGGCGGGACATATTTCTTTACTTCTTGACTAAACAAGAAATCTACAGCAGAGGGTAATTTTTGGTCATTTAGTTTTTCTATTTAGATTTATCCATTTCAGTAAGACAACAATGCATGGCGACAGAAATGGCACTGGATAGAATCAATGATAGCACTTCAACCCTGAATAATACTCCACTTGGGCAAAAAAAAAAAAAAGGAAAGAAAGAAATGGAAAGGAAGGAGAGGGAGGGAAACAAAAGAAGGAAGCTACTTCTGGACTGTTAAAAGCATCACATATTAGACTCTAACCTTTCGAGGCTTTACTGGGACATCTATATCCATGTTTGAATTTCTAAATAGGCCATGCATCACCGACCCACTCCAAGAACCAGCAGCCAAAATAACAGCCTTCTTACTGTAGATGGTACTCTTAGAAGTCTGCACAGCATCAATCTCTCCACTGCTCTCAGATCTGAATAAGTATTACAGAGACAACAGTGTGAAAAGAGATCATTTAACTCCTCCTTTTCACTTCAGAAAGAATAAACATCCTCTTGTGAAAAATCTTGAGTAAGAGGCAGTTTTCACCAAACCTCAGTAAACCAGTGGCAGGCTCATGATAGAATTCAGCATATCTTCCATTAAGGGCAAACTGTCTGTTTCCCTACAAACCAAAGATCACCGGCATTTCAGAATCCTGGAAGCTACATGTACACGTGAAGGAAACAACTGCACCAGTAATCAATTGTTGTAAACTGAACCACTTAAGCAACCTTCTCAATAGAGGCGACGGCACGGTGAGCATCTAATTGGCAGTCATCAGGTAAGAAAACTGCGGCTCCTCCCTCCTCAAGCACTAGTGCAGGTTCTTTCATTTGTAATTCACGGTTTGACAAGAACTGTGCTCCAAGCCCAGCATCACGAAGGTGCTTTGCCCTACTCTCTAACATGGCACATTCCTCTTCTGTTTTTCCAACTAATAAGCTTCCTGTTCCAGAACTCATAGCAATGCATATTTTATCAGCTTTACAAGTTTCTTATAAGCTGAGCAATCTTGTAAAATACACAAGAATGATGGCATGCATACTTCTTAAGTCATTACAAGTTAAGTCACTGTGGATGAAGGAGGGAAGGAAACTTACCAGTTTTCTTCCATCCAAGTATCTGTAAAGGATCCATGCCTTGTTGTTGCAGGCTATCTGCCAAATTCACCCACAGTTCATGGCTTCTTGAGGCAAGCTCCCATTTTTCATGTCCAGGCTCCTTGTTTATCCTCCAAATGTATCCCTGGCCTATAATCGGCTCAATTACCAAAGAGAAGCTGAAGATATCCTACAACCTATCAGAATGAAAATATCTTGCATAATATAGATTGCAATAAAAATCAGCTTATCTAACCATGGTTCATCCCTAAAATTGTCCTTTGACATTTGACTTTATTTTTATATCCAGTGAAGGAGGCCATGTAGTTTTTTTTTCCTATAACAATAGTCTTAGAACTTGAGGCTTCTTGTTTTTAAAAGTGCATCAAAGTGTATGTACGTTACTCCATTTTAAATAGTTAATCCTCTAAAAGAAACAAACAATCCCATATTATATGATCAAGACTACCAATAGTCAAAAATGAAGGACTCAACCATGCCAGAAACTATGGAATTGACCAAATTCAAATGAGCCTCGTATGAAGAGGTCAATGAAACCTTGAATATGCTTCATCCATATCAACTAGGACGCATACAAGGAAAGAAATTATGCTCAACGAAAAGTGCTTCTACTCGTCCAATGAATTTATCAGAGCACAGAACAGGATCAGAGAGCTCAGATATTGGTAAAGCTATTTTCATTAGTTGGTAGTCACAACTTTTACAATAATAATTGGAGAAACACGGTGATACCTGCACCAGTAGCACCAGCGCAAGGAACATCAGCATCAATGATGGCGACTGAAAGATCCGACCCGAGAAGGAATTGGCGGGCGATAGTCAACCCGATGATTCCGGCGCCAACTATGACCACATCGTAAGAATGGGATTGAGCTTTTATATCCCGTTGCAAATTGGCAACATGTACCGGCTGGGCAAGATGTCGACGAGTTTCACGGCCACAATAGCTGGATTTGTGGGAAGCTAATTTCCGATGAAGAAGTTGATTCCGACAAAGTGAAAGGGGATTGGAGATGGCTTTTAAATCCATCATCGCCATTTTTGGGCTTTCTTTGGAAGTTTTGCTTGCATAGTCAACGGAGGGGGAGATAGTGAAATGAAGAAAGCGAGCACAGCGTACCATCTCGGAGTTACAGCTTCCGGCTATATGCTAGAATATAAAGAGAACTCGATAAAAGACGAATCGAGAAATCCAGTCTAGCTTCCGGATAGAGCTTGGTGATTGAGGGAAGAAGCAATAAACACTATTGAATAACTTTCAACATCGAGGAACTATGTCAAATCCTAGTAGTGAACTGAACCAGTAAGGGAATGAGATTGAAAGTGACGGCGGTCGGAGACGAGCGGCGGCGGGCCGGAGTTTTAGCCTTACTTTTTATGGTCTGCTGGTCATTTCGAATGTTAGTCAATTAAAAATGAAGTCGTTGTTTTGAAGAACGACTTTGTTTGTCATTTAGATGAATTGATTTGGAGTATATAAAGGCGTGGAATGAAGATGCTGTATCAACCACGATTTCTTGCCTTACGGAACTGGAACTTCTGCCAGCCGTTTCCCAGCAACAACAAATGCGGAGCGCGCCTTTCTTTCCATTAGCCAACGTTTCTCATAGATACTCATAGTTTCCTCAAATGGAAAGTAGATTTTTATCACAAATGAAATTATTAGACGTAGGATTCTGGCAGTATGAGTGATCTTGAATTTCCTCATTATATTTTAAATTTCATAAAACATTATTCCTAATTTCAGAGAGAAGTATGAAGCTTTTCCTTTCGTTTATTGGAATGTGGGACTTCTCAATATATATTGATGATTTCAAACTGGTTGACAAAATTGGTGGAAGCAACGATTCTAAACAGAGGAGATGGAATGCCGCTGGTGGGAGAATATAAGTATTTGAGAAGAGTTTGAAGCTCAAAATTCGCAATTTTTCTCTCGTAGTTAAAAATTGCGCTTATATTATTACTAGTTAATAAGTAGTATATGAATAAAATCTGCTCTTAATTTAACAAAATTACTCTCAATATATTAATATCGTGTAGACATAAATTGTACTAGTTTCGTCCCAGAAAAATAGTCCAATTTTAAAAATGTAAATCTTAAAATTAGACTTATGAGATCGGTATAACATAAAATAGATTATCAAATTGATAAATGATCATGAAAGTTTATTCAAATTTTCATATTAAATTTTTAATTTACAATATCAGGTAATCTAATTTGTACTCCATATTATACTTTTTTAAATTGGACTATTTTTCTGGAACGAAAGGAGTAACAATTTAGAATCTTAAATATAATTTTTAATATTGTATAACTTTCCATATTAAATTGGCAGATATGTTTCATCGATATGTACAAAAGCATACTAAACTTAATCCCCCTTCCCCCCGCTCAATTTTCTTTATTTTATTTTATACACCACTAGATATTAAACCCGCGCGATGCGCAGGATTTATTTATATATATTATAAAAAATCTAAAAAAAATAAAAAGTGTAAAATGAATTTTACTATTTTTATTTATGATCCATCAGTAATGTAGGTGTTTTGGAGTATATTTTACTATCCAAAATTTTACTATCCAAAAGTGGAAATAAATAGAGATAAATTGGGATTGATGATAATTGATTATCCAAAATTTCAGTGATAAAGATAAAGTTTATAACAACTTTTGAGATATTATTAAGAAAATATTATATTTATTTGGGTAAATATGATATTACACAAATAAATGCATTGGTTTGAAATTCAAAAGATAACATTTAATTATAGTTAAATCCCATCCTTTTAGTAATAATTGAAGGCAAGTTTTGTACCTTTTTTTTCTTTTTTATTAGAGAAAAATACAGGGTCATGTTTTTTGGAGAAGATTTTAAAGATAACATTAATGTTGAATGATTGGATTTTTTTTTTTTTGAATTGTAGTCTATTGATTTACATGATTGGAAGAGAGTTTTTTTTTTTAAGAAATTAATTAAATGAGTCCAGTAGTAACTTTGGGGATTCTTTTGGGGAGGGAATAATTCTGGTGCATTAATATTCATTAATCCCGATCATTAAATTTAATTAATTTTTATTTTCCTATTTTAAACTATAGTTTTAAATGATATTTGATAAAACTTTATTTACATAAAATTTGAAGGACTATTAGCATAATTGTTGTAAATATTTTTTGACTCAACCATTAGAAAAATGACACATAGGATTTTATCCTATGTGACACCTTTAGAATTCTTTTTTGTTTTCTCTCTCTGGTTTCTCTCTTAGTATAATATACTATAGAAGATAATGATATTTTTTTTTCAAGTTACTTGTATATTGTCATCTAAATATGCTCTTAATACCAATCATTTTTCTCCCTTCTAATTCAAAATCTTTACTTCTTTTCTTGCATTTTTTTTCCCTTCCTCTATTTCCCTTACACATATTCAGAAATTTAGAAAAAAGTTTGAAGTTTTGAAATAAACACAAATAGACCGAATGGGGACTGTTGGATGAAAATTTCAGACTAAAACGCGGGTTCCCCCTACAAGCTAAAAGTTGACTACTATCATAAGAAAATCTTCATGAAACAATCATATTTGAGGAGTTATAATCACAAGTACAGTCATATGCAGCAAACCAAAACATGCAAAAGAGTACCAAATTCAGCTTGACTGAACTCCCAATCAAGAGACAAATAGTACATGAATTGCCCTCAGCAAAATATTCCATACCTTATTTGCTTATTTTGATAGTACTGTGCACACTTTGTTAAACCGAAAAAAACAAGCTATATATAACTATCCGAAAAAAAGGGAATTGAATTACAGCCTAGTGGTTAGGTTGTTGTCTTTCCTGGTAATAGACCATGTTCGATTCCTATTAAGAATTGTAAAGGGATTTTACGCATATTTAAGTGGGGTTCACTAGAGTGTTTTTTTCGGACAAAAAAGGAGTAAAAAAGAATAATTAGTACATTTCCTAAGGAAAATCATTTAGTACACCAAAGTAGCAACATGAGAAACCATGAAAAATAATCAAACAGCAACGTCGTCGAAAATTGTAACAGACACAAAAACAACAACCAAAGTGGAAAACTTTGCCTCAATTGTGGGTATCAATACGGAGTCAGCATTACCCTTTTGCAGTTATAGTACCATTCTTGAGAGCTTTTTGAACCATTCTTTTTCACCCCATTTTTTCTGTTATAAACTTACAGCCAATTTTGTCGATTCACTTTTTTTTTTTTTTTGTACATCAGAGAAATGGACTACTGTCTCTTAGTCTCCAGTTGGATTAATCGCATGGCTATTCGTTATTTCTTTAGCCAAAAGTTATTTTGATTCTTTCTGAGTTCTGACACAGATTTTGTCAGAGAGATAATAGAGGACCAGTGTAGTGGTAAACTCGGTTATGATGTTGCATTTATTGAGGTCCTGAGCTACAAACAAAAAAGGGTAAGGGAGAGAAAACCAGAAGAAAACAGAGCAAGCCCACAAAATTACAAACAAGTATTCAAAAAGTTTGTGCCTCTGTGAGGAGACATGGCAGCTTCAGACTGGGCAGTGGAGTGTTTACGTCCCTTTGTTCAGTCCAGTATGTGGGACTATTGCATCGTTTGGCAATTTGGTGTTGACCCTTCCAGGTAAAAAACAAAAAACTTGGTATTAAAAGGGAAATTGCAGATACCCTTTTAAAATTTGGTTTTTCTCTTCGTTGGAGATCAAATTTTTTTGTTAAGATCTTGAGGGTTATTGATTTTGTTGGCAGTTTTATGCAATGGAGAGGTTGCTGTTGTCGTGGAGGAAATGATGAGGAGTTTGTTAATGTAAAAACGGAAAGTGGGAGTGTTGATCATTCATTAAATTCTCGGTGCAGAGATGAATACGCTGAGCATCCTATAAGAACCAAGGCTTGTGAGAAGCTCTGCAAGTTGCCTTCTTCTTTACCTTTGTATTCCGGGTATGGTAAAACTGTTCCCCTTTTTTTCCATTCTCAGTAGCTTTTTCAGATGAACAACTGATTTAATCAGTGGGATTTTGAACCAGGATCCGCGGAGAGGTTGTCTTATCAAATCAACCAAGGTGGCTAGTGGAAGACGCCCGCGGCGCCAATTCAGTTGAAGGGTGAGTCAATGAATCCGTACCTTTTCCCTTGCATGTTGATGATTTGCTGAAACCCATTTCTCGGCCGCCTTTCTATATGAGATCTCTATTAATGAAATTTCGTGCTGTTATGGCATGATTCTCATGAAGATGGTAAGAAAGGGGTGTTCCAACTTCCAGAATATATGTGTTCTTTCTACTGTTTCCGATTCATGAATTTCTGTGTAAAGTTTGTGAATGACTTGCATTTAATTTGATTTAAGCTTACACTGGAATTCAATGAACTCTGGCAATAGTGATACATGAAGAAATTGATAGATTGGTTCCTATTATTGAAGCATATGAAACTTTAATCATTATTATCAGCATCCTTTCACAGAGTGAAATCTTTACTGGGCTTTCTTTTTCCTGTTGTATTCCTCTTTGCAGACTTGAATCTCAAGTATTGGTACCAGTTGAAGGTGGATTAGTTGAACTCTGTAGTACCAAGAAGGTAGAGATTTTATTTCTAGAGCATGGAATTGATTTTCTCATCTCTAATCTGCGTATAGTAATAATAATAATAATGGTGATATTTCAGGTTCCAGCTGATCATCAGATAATCAACTTCATATTGGCTCTGTTCGGTTGTGTTAAACAAGAAACAATGGCTGGAGAACCACATTACAAACAGTTTCTTGATGAAGGCTTTCCTAACTTTCCAGAAACTATGGTTAAAGCTGATTCTACCTCCACACTACAGCTTCCGGTTCCTGTTTCCAATTTGGGATTTTATCCTAGCTTTGAAGGATCTTTTGCCTGTTCCAACATTTCGAAGGATTGCCAGTTGCTTACTTTAGGTCCAGGTCCTGCATCTTGTCAGACCTCACCTGAAGAGTCAAGTGCAACATATCCAAGAAAGTTGAATTCAATAACAAGGAGAAATCCAAGATGTCCTGGTGTTGCTGGGAATGAGGGTCCAAAATCTAAAAAGAGGAAAGATGAGGGAAACTATAAATCGAAGAATCTCGTTACAGAGAGGAAACGCAGGCAGAAGATAAAAACTGGAATATTCAGGCTGCGTTCACTGGTTCCCAATATTTCCAAGGTTCTGCTGCTTGTGCCCCTTGTCAATGACAATTGAATTGTGTATTCAATTTCCTTGTTTTTTTTTTATATGTATTGTCTTTTATGTTGCCACTAGATGGATATTTCCGCAACATTAGGGGATGCATATGACTACATCCAAGAGCTGCAAATGACTGAGAAAATGTACAAAGAAGAACTTAAAATTTTGACAGAGGAGTGCAATGAGTACGAGGCAGAGCAGGAAGTCCCCAAGTTGAATGCAAAACTCAATGCAGCTGGAGATCGCCCTACTTGCGAGCGTGATTCATGCACTGATTATGAGGATCAAGCAAAGGTCAGGACCTGAACATTGTTCAGTGTCACTATTCTTCGTTATACTACCTGACAGTTGATTTGAGAGTTTTAGGAATTCCTCACTTCTGTAATGTCTATTTTACACACAGGAAGGAATTGCAGTAAGCCAGCTTGATGCAAGTGACTTCTTAGTAGAAATCATTAGTAGAAAAAGGCATGGTGGTTTTTCACGGTTAATGCAGGCGCTGGATTCCTATGGACTTCAGGTGATTGATGCTAATGTTACAACTTTGAATGGGCTGGTCCGCAGCATTTTCAAAGTTCAGGTAGAAATTCTAATTTTGTATTTTGGTCTATGTTTTAATGTCAAACTCGCAAAATCATTGAGTATCTCAGTCATTTGACATTTCATTGTTCTGCCAACTTTCTTGTAAGGCTTCCAGCAAGGAAATCCATCCGGAGAATCTAAAGGGTTCTTTAATGGAACTTCTGTCTCAAGATGTTTAAGAGGAAACTGGAGGCAAGAGAAACAACTGAGAATCGAGAAGACAAAACAGGAACCAGAACAACACTTCATTCCTGTTTTGTATCCTGATATTGTGCATTTTCCTCTCTGGTTACTATAAAAGCCAAAAGAAAAAAAAAGGCAAGCTCCCACTGAAACTTCATTACGCTCACACACGTATCTCCTTCAAGAAGGGCAATGTAGAACTGTAGAGTTATTTTCTGTTTGCAATCCTATTAGAGTTCTCATGTTTTCTGGTGTCTCCGATTCTGGATTCATTTTTGGAGTTCAGTGCGGAACTTTGCTTTATATTGTTGCTTATCTCTTGAATCATTAGAACATTTGGCTACAGCTTCATGCATCAGCATTCAGCATTGTTCTTTTATTGCTTGGAAAAACAACTCAATACATGCAACAATTTAAGCTCAAAACATGGCATCTGATTGAAGTAGTAGTAAATTAACCATCCATCGGCTTTCATTGACAAAATTCAATCTGCTAAATAATCTGTGTGTCTGGAAAAGAGACCATTCATTGTTGCTCAGAACTGATCACATAGATGTCAAATCTTCTGGCCATCTAACCAGCGGGTATAAAATGCAGTGCTTCACACGGTTTGCACTCCAGGACAGCTCCCTGCATCAGAACTCAAAAAGTAATACTCCCTCCATCCAAAAAAAAATAGTCCACATTGAGTTTTCAAATTTATACTAAAAACAGTATAAAACTCAAAACTCAAAGTGGACTATTTTTTTGGGACGGTATTTTTATTAGGCATTCAAATGCATTGGATATAGTGATACAATTTCATTATAATTTGAAGAGCTTCATTCAGTTTGAGATTGATTTAGCATCTCCACCACTAATGCAATAACCTTGATGGTGAGAAATGTCAGATTATAATAATAAGCCTGCAAGTATCTGCACAAAACACAGACACCATTATAGCTATTTTCCACGAAAAATGCCTTTGGCGTACAAAAAAGAAATAATGAAAAATGTCTTTGACGTTGGTAACAAATCATTACTTACCTAAATTGTCAATTAACAGAAATCTTCGTAACCACAAATTGTTGAGATATGTGCTGAATCAATAAGAACTTACCCAGCAACCTTGAAGAACCCAGTTCAGGGCAACCAATATATACAGTATAGGTCAACAAGAAATTCCCAAAAATGATTTAAACTGGAGACCAAACAAACAGAGTGGAGTTAGTCCGTATCCAGCGTAATGATTAGAAGGTAAAGTGCCTTCGGAACCAGGCAGCGCTTTCACAAGTGCACTTTCAGGAGCTGAAAGGGTCAACTGAAACCTGAGGGCAAGGCAAATTACAAGAAGATAACAATGCTTGAAGATAACAATGCAGGTATTGTTTTTGGTGTTTTTAGAAGACTCCATTTTTCTCAATGATTCTGTGCAGGATGGACTAGTAACCTACTGAAATTGATTAGATTACTCTGTTAAGGAAAGAAGACTTGAATGTGTTAGCCACAAAAAATCTCTCAATTCACAAATGCAAATCCAGGATCATTAAGGAAGAAGATGTTGGAAGATTCCCATGTAAGGAAAGTGCAGCAGGAATTCAAATACGGGAATCATTGCCATATATAGACACCAAATGTATCTCATATATAACTGTTTTACTTCTCTGCATAAAAATTAGAGTTGAAATTAGTGCATAGCTTATGGAAGAAACAGAATAGTATCATGATTATCATTTCTGATGTACTAAACTTCTTCTAACTGGACGTCATCACATCATCAGATCAACAAGCTAGTTGCTTTAAACTAAATTGTAATGGAGGCCTGGAATTATTCAAAAGCGTACTCCTCATTCCCTTCCTGTTCTTCCAATCGCCTACTAATAATATGTTATCATTTGACAATTATGCCATCTTTTACAATTTTCTGCACTTTACTCGTTACCAGAAACAGTCATAATTGTTGCTTGACAATAATGAATTCCCACGAAAAGCTTCAAAGCCAAAGTATAGGCAGAATAATGTATCACCATCCTACTTTATAGATAGGCAATATTGAAATCTCACACAAACACATACTCAGAAGACTGAAACAGGGTAGAGCAGTAGTAAAGGAAGTAATCATCATCATTCTAAGATAAATGAGGTAAATAATCGTGTCTAAAGGAAGGAAAGAATGTTCACTAATTATTATGGCGCTGCCAGTTTGCGCCCTTCATGTCCTTTAACAACTTTGGCTATATATTATGACCCTCTTAATCTCTGTTCTCATCATTTTCTGAGGCTCATTGAAAAATGAAAACAATCCTCATTCTAAACTTGTTGAAAGTATACTTGGGCTGCCTAGAAATTACTCATATGCTTTCTTCCTTTCAAATTGTTATGAATCTAATACACTTCAAATCTTCTTGCCATCCAACCAGCGGGTATAAAATGCCAGCGCTTCACGTGGTTTATACTCCGGAACAGTATGTCCGGCACCCTGTACCAGAACCCACAAGTAGTATTAACAGATGTGTGAAAAAAGTTTCTTATACTTTGGATAGAGCTTATTTGTGATATTGATTTCGTGTGCTGTACTAACCTTGATGGTGAGAAAAGTTAGATTGTAGTCATAACCCTGCAAGTATCTGCATAAAGGCAAAAATGTTTAGGACAAATGACTTTGACTAACATATAAAGTTGGTAGTAAGTGCTTACAGTGAAGACTGACTACAAACTTGTATATACAAGATTTGCAAAAATAAAAATATTTGCAACCTCAAAATTGTTATTGGAGATAGATTATTGACAAGAACTTACCCAGCAACCTGTCTATCTACAATCCAGGGCCTCCATTCGTCCACAATTTTGTAACCCATTGATCTTGTCCAAGCTTGGCTCCCAGTAAATGGAACACACATGTCATGATCCCCACTGCAACAAATTAACTGGAATTAACATTTTGAGTACACGAAAACTGCATAAGAACACCTTCATTACTAAGTGCAATGATGATGGCACTACACTTGGGAGCTCCAAATTAATAGTTCTCTATACTCCCCAAATGTTGCAGCTTACAATTGAGAAAGAGAGTCTCCTAAATACTTTCTGGCACCACTTCATGAACTTTTAGTTTAAGCAGAGTAAGTTACCGTTAGGGTTGTGCTTTACAATGTAATCAGTGACATTCAAAAGAAATGATTTCATAATTCAAATAGAACCAACCCTATAGTCCCATAATTTTGAATTAAGCAGTTTATGGAAACAAATCATGGCCTCAAAGCTTATTTTCAAGTAACCAAAAAGTCAGGTAGAACTTACCAAGAGAAGACATAAATTCAATAAGTTCTTTCTACCTGTATATAAGTGATCGATATCCCCGGGATGTTAGATTCTTGTGATACTTGATCATGCTCCCAGCATCATGATGAAAGGTTAATCTGCCTGTACAGAGCTCCCATGGGCCTGCTACATTTACCTAATGCACCACAGCATCATAAAACTATCCTTAAGTGGCTTGATGAAGTTGCAATGAGAAACCTTACCGATTCAGCATGAATTGCAGCTCGAACGTCTTCATTGTCAAGCCATGCTGTAGCAACTTCATCACTCTGCATGTTTCATTTCAAACACCAAACAATTTTTAATTAGACCAATGCGCAGACAGTTCGGGGAGCACCGAGCACATTATGCCTGCTCTTCATCATATTAGAACAAACATGCAGGATGTCATTATTTTGTTTGTTTGTTGCTTAAAGCTACATGATTGTCATACTAACTGATGCATTTGTTCCTCTCTCTTTTACAACTTTTTGGCAATATAGTTATTGACAAGGGTGAATAGATTGTTATTTAAGCAAAGGTGAAGATGACGACTGACAAAAAAGCTAAATTCACATGCATCTTACTTTTCAACTTGCACATTGTCTAAATTAAGTTCTAAAGCAAATAATGTCATGGCAGAGGTAATTTATTTACTATCAACGCTTAAAAAGTTATTTACTCCAACATGGCAGTTGTACTAAGACTAATTAATTCTAGACACCAAAATCCTCTTATGGAGATAGCAAATATCCTATACCATTGTTGGCTACTTGCAGTGTATTTTAGAATAGGAGACTAGAAGTCTGAGTTTCTCACAGTGCAGGGGACATTTTCGCTTTTGAGAAGATGGGGCCAAGTTGGGACAATTCCAGCTCTTACAGGAGCTCTGAGAGGCCAAGCCCGCCCGAACATTCTTACTCTGACAGGAAAAGGCCTATCTGTCTCACCTAACTTTCTGAAGCTCAGTGGCAGCTTTGTGTTGTCAGTAATCATCTTAATTGAGTCGGAAGAATGATAACAAGGTTCCAGAATGTCATAGATGTTTATTCCATCAACTTCCTGGGGAAAAGAAAAACCAATAAATTCTATAGCATTATATAAAAGGAAATAGAAACTACGGTGACAGCATAAACGAATTATCTTACTTCGTCAACTTTGTCAAGCTTGCTAGCACAACTCTCGTTTGTTGGTTCATAATAGTTCCCATTGCACTCAGAAACAACGTCCTGCATTTTAAGGTGTAAAATACAAAAAATTATTCCCCAGAATGACTAGTTTTTTAGCATAATATGCGACATTCTCTTGTTGATATCTGGTTTCATGGGGAAGTTAAAATACTTAAAATAGATTTCCATTGTTGGGACAGTTCCAGAAGAACTGACTATCAGAAGAAGCGACTTCTGATAGATTTCCAAGCTGTGAAAAAATAAGGTGCACTTGAACAAAGACATCCTTGATGGAATTTTGTAACAAAAATATGCATCAATCTTATGAAAATGACTTGGTAAAGGAGCTATCATCATCTATGTCTATCAGCTGAATCTAGAAGGAGATACTATTAAAACCATGATAGGTATAACATACCTTATATAGATCATCTGAGATTAGACCCATGCCATGCACAAAAGGGACTAAAGCATTACCATCAAACACTTCATCCGTAACTCCATTTCCCACCATGTAACCCTGCAGTTAGTGAAACTAACTAGTCATTACTCATACTACCAGATACTGAAAAACATAACTCAATTACTGAAATGAAAATGACATGCCTTAAAGTTCAGAATAGGCTTTACACCGGCATCTATTCCTGAAGATGAAATGAAACAAGTGAAATAGTTTCCAAATCTGAAGGGTATGCCTTTGATCTTAGGAGAAATCTTCACCTTTTACAACTTCATAAGAAAGAGTCGGCACATATACTCCAGCATACGACTCACCAACGATATAAAAAGGATTAGAGAGAAACTCTGGGTAGAGCGTGAACCACTACACACACAGCATCAAATTGTTATACAAAATAGTTTCAGTACCAGAAAATTGCGACAACCTATGGACAGAATGGATAAACCTCAAAAGTATTCTGATCAGGTGAACACCTTAAGAAGAAATGTGTGAGAATCAGATGCAGTCTTCAAGTCTCCCGTAACATAATCTGTTTCATTCCTTGAGTAAGATAATCCAACACCGGCAGGAGAGTCCAAATACACGATGTTGGAGACCTGAGCGCATGAAGTTTGGTTAGTTCTAATAAGACCTCTCATTTGCATATGTGTAGACCAACACAAAACTAACAAATCATCATCACATCTTTTAGGCAGTTATAACTTCTGGAACAGAGATATATAAGACACATCAGAATGAAATATTTTCTAATTATATTTGCCAAATCAGGAACTAAATTGAGAACCTTGGTCCAGCTGTAGGGATTAATATGCAACTTGGGCAAGCTACTTGGTGTCTTTCCCGCTTCAAAATTAAAGGGACCTGGAATGCAGTTGGATGATCCAGTATTAGCTTAAAAAAGTAAAAAACAAAGAACTTCTCATATCCTCTGCCACCCTTCATCTTGTCTTCCAAAGATAGTTAAGATAATCACAGATAAAATGAGAGCAATTACTCTGTTTGACAATTGACATCAATATATGAACCAACAGTTTTCACCTTGAATGACTGCGCATATAACACACTCCTTTCGACTACACTACTAAAACATGGAATATCCTCTGCTGAAAACTGCACTAAAGCAGAGAGAAAAGCTAGCTACTTTAACCTGTTCTTAATTTCTTAAAGCCATCCCAACATTGTCTAAAGGACTTTCTCCTTAAAAAGGGAGAAGAAACAACCTGAGAATTCTCAACGACAGAGTACTAAGACACCATACCGTGTTCATAGACAAATGCATCAAAGCTTGAGCAACCAGGACCACCATTCAGCCACAGTACAACTGGATCAGTAGAAGGGTTCCTTTCCGACTCAACAAAGTAGTAAAACAATTTCTTCCCATGATTCTCATCAACGGTCACGTACCTTCAACAGCCCATTTCCAAAAAAAAAAAAAAAGAATATCAACTCATAAGAAATGAAACACAAATTAGCAAAATTGACTGCGACAAATGATCAAACAATTCATACCCAGCATAATGTTTAGAAGGAAAAGTGCCATTGAACCCAGGAAGGGTCGTCACAAGAGCACTTTCAGGAGCTGATTGGGTACAAAGAAACCAAAGAGCAATGCAAATAATCAGTAAATAGCAGTGCTTGGGAATACTCTCAGCCATACTAGTGTGTGACTGTGTGTTCTTGTGGTATGTCTCTTTCCTCTTTCCCAGCAGGATATAGTTCCTTCAATTTATATAAGTTTTATACACTCGAGCCCAACTTGAAATCTTCTTAAACGACTTGCCCAGTAAGCAAGATAACCTGAGTTTTCATCCGATCCTTGCTCTTTTTTGATAACGTAAAACTGGGTCAAAGTAAATTAAATTAGGATAACTGCCCTGTCAAAATTTAGAACATGACTACTGAGAGTGAGAGACCATCATCAAGATCAGTGCTTTCTTAATTGGGATTTATTATTTTTCCCTTGAACCTGCTAATCTTGAATAGTAGATAATGATGCAGTATTTTGAATATTCTTTTGATTAGTAAAGTATATATCTATTTTAATTTTTAACCTTGTGGTCTAAAAAGAAGAAATAAACAACTATAAAGACGGAGAGATCAATTTTCCATTCAATTCTTGTTAAATTAAAAATTACTCTCTCTGTCTCATAATTATTATACAATTTATATTTTTATTTTTAGTTCAAATTGTATTAGAATTGAAAATAAACAGAACAATGATTTTGAGACGGAGTCACAGTAAATGAGATGGGGACACTGGGGCCCTTATCACCTTATAACGATGCTTACAAGCAAATCATGGGGTGGAAAGTTCTGGTGGGCAAAGATATTTTACAGGTCTTTTTTTTTTTTTTCTTTGTCAAAGTTGTTAAAAAAAGAGAACTCTCTATTTTCTACAGTGATGGGATTGTGTGATACACATTCTCGTCTGCCCATGAGATGAGATGATGGTGATGATGATGTTCAATTGAGTTCTGTGTCCTTATGGAATGAATCCTTAAAAGAACAGCTTTTTTTTCATGGTTTTGTGCGTTATTGATAACTGATCCTCGTGTCTGTTACAAACGTTATAACAGAACCGATCCTTGTCCAAACTAACAAAGGAAGTTTTTGCCACACAGAATAAATGTGAGTTCGTGAAATGACGTAGAGAAAGAAGATAATCAATGAAGAATTATACGTACACTGCAGGGAAAAAAAAACATGGAGCTGTCATTTCATCATCTCAAAGTTCATCCTGACTGATTTCCTCATTCCTAAGCATATCCACATTGGTAGACTCAACATTCAACTTAAGCGAATGACCCATTACCATCTTAAATAGAAGTTGAAGCTTTTCGCCATGTTTTTATGCATTTTTAGTTTCTCTGCAATAACTGGAATGGCCTTGTAACAAACCAAGATGCATTTTTTCTGCAGACACATTTCTATTACATGAGAAACTCATGAACATAAATGCTGCAAAAATAGTTCAGTCGTTGCTCGGTAGGGAGTAGGGAGTAAGGACTAAGGAGTATAAACAATAACAGTAATAAAGCAAGTAATCATCTTCTTTATTTAAAATCATATCTGTCAAGAAGACAATAATGATGCAGAGAAGAGAATATCCAATACAAGCTCATCTCTGGTTTTGTTCTTATTCTAGCAGGCTTAAGGCATACCTGAGTTGCTTAAAGGATTATTATACACGTCTTATCAGGCATAATTTTTATTTTCAACCATAGCATTTTTAGATTTCCTTTCCCTCCAGCCAGCGGGTGTAAAATGCTAATGCTTCTCTTGGTTTGTACTCCGGAACAGTATGTCCAGCCCCCTGCATTATCATTAACAACTTGCAGTCACAAATGAGTTATCAAGCGAGATCAGTGCAAGAAATATTAGAAAATCATTTGAAAAAAGGGGGTCATCAGTCATTCCTTTGAAACTGATTTAGTGAGTCAGGACCATCGTACGAACCTTAATGGTGAGAAATGTTAGGTTGTAGTCATAACCCTGCAAGTATCTGCACATGGCAGCAAAGAGGATGATGAGAAATGTCCTCGTGATGATGAGACATGCACAATCGATATGTTTCAAAGTTAACATTTCAGTGGCCAGCAGAATCTAAGCTAGTTTCAGATTGAAAAGGGGTATAAAAAGCAAAGACATGATCAGTGAGGTTAACAAAAGCTTTCAAGATCATACCCTGCAACCTGGTCATTCACAAACCAAGGCCTCCATTCGTCCACAATCTTGTATCCAAGTGATCTTGTCCAAGCTTGGCTCCCGGTGAATGGAACACACATGTCGTGATCCCCACTGCAACAAGATAGTTTATGTTTCAAGTTCATAAAAACTGCATATGCACTCGTTCATTACAAATTACTACTTCATTATTTGTTCTGCAGATTAACAATTAGGGACTGAAAGAGAGAGTCCTTTCATTAGCAGACTCCATTGTGTGGCAGCACTTCACGATCTAGTAGTTCGAGCCCTACTAGTTACAGTAATCTTTTGCTTGCTGTATTATGTAAGTTACCCACATTTGGACCCCAGTATTTGAAATACAAAATCTCTATACAGATAATGAAGCCAACCCTATCTTCTTCTACTTGAAAAATTGATCCGTTTATGGTCATAATCATGGCCTCTGACCTTCTTGTTGACAGCTATTCTAATCCAAGTATAAATTGGTTTGCCTTTTAATCTAAGTTTAGCTTAACAAAGATTAAAAAATTCGGTATTGTCTTCCTACCTGTATACAAGTGCTCGATATCCTCTAGAGGTTAGATTCTGGTGATACTTAATCATGCTCCCAGCATCTGAAGTGAAAGTGATTCTATCTGTACACAACTCCCATGGGATTGATACGTTTATCTGATGAATCACAAGAGCATAAATCTCTCATTGGATTGATATGTTCATCTGATGAATCACAACAGCATAAATCTCTCATTCAGAAGCTTGTGGAGTTCTAATGAGAATACTTACCGGTTCAGCATGAATTGCTGCCCGGACTGCTTCATTGTTAAGCCATGCTGTAGCAACTTCATCACTCTGCATGTTTCATTCCGGTATCAAACAAATTTCGATTATGTCGAGGAACAAACACTTCAGGAAGCAGATAATGTGTCCTCGTCATATAAGTAGCAAGATGCAAAAACTCGTTCGGTAATTTAACAAACTGTGAATAATTTACTACTTGTTTGTCATTTAAGGTACATGGTCATCATGGCAATTGATGCATCAAGCAATGTAGTTTGACAAGGAGAAATATCTTGCTTTCTTCCAGCTTAGGTGACTGAACAGTTAAATTCACATGCATGTGTACTTCTTACAATGTTCACCTAATGTATAAGCCAAGAACTGCAGTGACAATGATTGAGTTGCATCTGCTGATTTCAGGTCATCTTAGCTTAAAAGACTATCCAACTTAACATTTTCCAGGCTAGTGAAAAGGAAAAAGAGTTCTATTAACACTAGATTAAAAAACTTGTTATGGAGATGACTAATGTCCCATATTGCTGCATGAGAGAGATAGAGTGGGAGACTAATAGTTTGAGTTCTCACAGTGCAGGGAACTTCTTCCTTGAGAAGCTGGGGCCAAGTTGGCACAATTCCAGCTCTCACGCGAGCTCTGAAAGGCCAAGCCCTGCCAAACATTCTTACACGGACAGGAAGAGGCCTATCTGTCTCACCTAGACTTCTGAAGCTCGATGGCAGCTTTGTGTTGTCAGTTATCATTTTTATTGTGCCAGGAGCGTGATAACAGGGTTCCAGAATGTCATACATGTTTATATCATCAACTGCCTGGAACAAACCAGAAATTACACAAGAAAGATATGAAAAGAAATAAAAACAACTGCACCAAAAAGACATATCTTTACCTGATCAACTTTGCTAAGCTTGCTTGCACAACTCTCACTTGTTGGCTCATAATAGTTCCCATTGCACTCAGAAATAACGTCCTACATTTTGTGTAGTGTAAAGAATTATGACTCTGAAACTCAGAAAGAGAAAAACAATAAACCAGATAATCATGAAATTTTACAAGCAATATACGACATTGGTTTGATGATACATGCAATTCATAGAGAAGTTAAAATCCTTAAACAAAATTTGTAAGGGTTTTATGCAAGATACCGAGGTATGAATGAAAAAATTGCCAAAACGAAGATACTTTTAATGAATCTATAGCAACAAAACACATTCAGATTCATGCTTCTGACATGGTTGAATCAACATCGATTTGTTTACCTGCTTAATCTAGAAGGAGCAACTATAATAGTGACAGGCACAATGTACCTTAAACAAGTCATCTGAGATCAGACCCATGCCGTGGACAAAAGGCACTATAGCATTGCCATCAAACTTTTCATCTGCGACTCCATTTCCCACCATATAACCCTACAGGTAGAGGATTGAAGTAGTTAATAATTTACTGAAAAAGAAAAATGACAAAAATAACTCAGTTTCCATGATGAAAATGACATGCCTTAAAATTAAGGATAGGTTTCACGCCAGCATCATTTCCTGAAGGTCACAACTCAGAATAACACAAGTTAGCTTCTGTCTCCGAATTGTATGTATTAGATGTTTGGAACACTCACCTTTTACAACTTCATAAGAAAGAGTTGGCACATATACTCCAGCATAGGACTCGCCAACAATATAAAATGGATTAGAGAGGAACTCCGGGTAGAGCTCGAACCACTATTAATAATGCATCAAATTGGGATAATATTATTAAGTATGGCAACAAACCAGAGACAGGCTAAAAGGCTATAAACTAGTCTATTCATGTTAATACCTTGAGAAGAAATGTGTGAGAATCAGATGCTGTCTTTAAGTCTCCTGTCACATAATCTGATTCGTCACCCGAGTAAGATAATCCAACACCAGCAGGAGAGTCCAAATACAGGACGTTGGAGACCTGAGTATATTCAATATGTTCATTTTTTCATCAGATCAGAATAATTACATGTGATATGAAGACCAACTCAAAACTTAACCTAGAAAATCATGGAGACGTTTACAGTGTAGTTATCACTTAAGGGAACAGTGATACACATCACACTTATGAAATGGACAATTTCAATACTTGCTTCATAGTATTTACAAAAACATGCTACAGGAACTAAATTCAGAACCTTGGTCCAGCTATAGGGATTGATATGTAACCTCGGCAAACTAGTAGGTGTCTTTCCTGCCTCAAAGTTGAAGGGACCTAAAATACAATTGGAAGATACAGAGATTACTATATGACATTGAAACCAAAAAAAAAAAAAGAAGCAAAATTCAGGATCTCATCCGGTCCTTACTCCTTTTATTCTTCTTTAGATAGTTAACATAAAACACACATGACATGCTAGCAATTAGACAAATGACACGATTACATCAACCAAATGTCAGTAAATACAACACATCTTTCCGCGAGAGAACACATAAAAGTTGGAATTTTCCATTACCAGACATCACATCTTTAAGTCCAAACGTAGATGAAGAGGATTAGAAGACTATGTGTCAAGGAATAAAGCTAGCACCTTTAACCTTTCTAAACTCCTAAAAAAATCATGCCAACATTGCCTTTCCGTACTTCAAAATGAAAATTGAAGGAAGAAAAAGAAAGCTTCAAATCTCAAACGAAAACAGCAGTATGTAGTGGATAAGACGTAAATACCATGTTCATAGACGAAACCGTCAAAGCTTGAGCAACCAGGACCACCATTGAGCCACAGTACTAACGGGTCAGTAGAAGGGTTCCTTTCCGACTCAACGAAGTAGTAAAACAATTTCTTCCCATGATTCTCATCAATAGTCACATACCTTCAAGAACCCATTTCAAGAAACTGATCATCAGTATGAAACTGAAAAGAAATGAACGAAAAATTGCAAAATTGAGCACCCAAAAAAAGGGTCATTTAATCAAACGATTCATACCCAGCATAATGTTTAGAAGGTATTGTGCCATTGAATCCAGGAAGTTGTGTCACGAGAGCACCTTCCGGAGCAGATTCAGTTAAGAGAAAACAAAGCACAAGGCAAATAACCAGTAAAGAACAATGCTTTAAAGCACTCTCAGCCATGGCGGCCCCAAGCTTTTGGTCTGGTAATCCCTTACAGCCAGCAGGCTCGTACGAGAAAGACGCTTATCGTTAGTTGTGCAGCTAGTATAAGATATGAGCGTCCAATTTATAGTTGTGTCCATTGAGGACCAAGAAGAACAGTAAAACTACTTGCCTAAGAAGCAAGACAAACTGCAGTTTTCATCCATTTCTACTTGGACAAATGGCACATGGTCCTTTTATAATTTATGTATATACGTATCGTTGATGCTTGGTCCCGTGTAACGATGTTTACCACCACATTATGTGGCAGAAGATTTTGGTATGCAAAGATAATTTTTTTACCGATCCGTCTGTCTCGAAATTGTACGAGGAACTTTCTACTGATCATATGTTATCAACACATGATTGATTTTTTTAGTTTTTGCGCACATGCGTATATTGTATGGCTCCAAGGAACTGTGCGCTTTATGGATATCCTAGAAACTGGCTCTTTTGCACAAACTGATGATGAAAGGAATCCGCCTCAAAGAAATGTGATACTGGGAATTAGATTACGAGGAGAATTGAGGACATGGGGGTAACAGCAGACATTTCTTCTTCTTTTACTTTTTTTTTTTTTCAATCAGAAGACTCATTCAATTACACTTCAAAGTTCAGCTCAAGCACAATGCACATCCTATCCCTCATGAGGAAGAGCATGTAGGTAATGTTACATTTTTAGAAATATACAAGTATAATATATTATAACTTACAGAAATTCTACTACTACTTAAAGAATGTCTCCACAATCTGACCCTAAAGGAAACTATTACAAAAATGCAAGGGAATATGCTGTGATTACTCCTATTCTCTTTCAAAAATCTAGCTTTTAAGCATGTCAGAACTAACCATAGTGATTTACAGTTTCCATCTTGCTTCTTCATGCTTTGCAAGAACTCACAAGCAGGTCAAAAACAATACCGCGAAGATTGCAGCAAGAATTGTTGCCATGCTCTTAGAACGGGATGAAGAGCGAGAGAAGAAGTTGATTCTCTGAGCTTGGTCCCTGCAAGAGCCAAACAACGCCCACGAGTTAAATGCCTCACATTCGGCGCTCAAGAAGGTCAGTATTCAAACTAATGCCATAAAATCCGAAAAAGAATACATTCAGCCCCAAATGTAGGAAAATTCACAGTAAGTTATACACAGAAGTAAAGTTAAAATCAAAATATAATGGATGTAAATCACAGCACAGAATGGGTTTGGTATTAAAATATCAGAGCGTAAATTTCCTTCCCCTTCTTCAGGAGACAAAAAAGCATAAACCACAACAAAAGTAATGGCAAGGATAGTGGTAAGAGCATATATCTTACTTCTGTAAAGGGGACAGTGCACCACAGTATATGGTGTTATCTGGCAAAGGAACCTCATCTTTGTCATTTTCGGGATTCACCACACTTAAGTAAACTTCCTGACCTAGGTACCATGAGTCAAGATTCTGTGCCCGAAGATTCCACATGCCAGCATTGTCTAGCGAAACCAATATTGCTGTCCAAGCTCCAGGAAATACCTGGACAAGTTAGCCACATATTGAAGTCAAAAAGCCTTTAGAAACCTTGGTACGGGAATAAAAAAGAGTAATTGAAAAGGCCAATGCCTTTCTAACTATACATGCCGATAAACACCACCAAAAGAAAAGGCTCAAGAAGAAAAATGCAGAATAGCAACTTTTGACTTCTCTTCTTTCTACATATGAAAGATGCTTCTCTCAACATTCAAACTATCCTATAGCATGATCTGAAACAGAAGTTTTTGTTTAACTACTTCGTACTGAATATTTCTCGTTTCACATTACTAAAATGCATATCCAGATAAGTGCTTTACAGGATAGGAATAGTTAACATGATCCTTGGAACTGGGGATACCTGGGTAGTGCAGCGAGCCACACCATCCCATTTATTGTATGTAGCTCTACTGCTCTCTGACCAAACACCATAATCCATCCTGGGATTCAAAAAATTGTAAGCTCATTGATTAAATGCCCCCTCTCAAAATGTTGTGAAAGTCGAACATCTTTAAATTATATGCTTACCCGACAACAAAGAAAGCATAACCATCAAGATGGTAACTCTGTACAAATGTGTCATTATTTTGGAAAATTATTTCCATAAATCCTTTGAAAGTGCCATTAATCACAGATGTATCAACTTTTGCTGGTCTGTTCATCAATTCATTGGGGAAGTCAAGTTTATAGACCCCACGAACGTTAAATTGCTGAGCAAGCCTTAATGGTGTTGATGGTGCAAAGTATGAAATGCCGTTTAGAGTATTGCGCCACTTTCCATCTATAAGCTCAACAGGCCTATTGAGGATTACATATACATCAGTCACGGTAATCTGGCCATATTTGAAAGACCCTTGTGGGTTTGGGCGTGCAGCTCCAGCAGAGACATTCCATCTGTTAAAGATTATCACAAAATTACTGGTGTAAGACAAAGGAAACGTGGGCAAAACCAGAAGTACAATAACAAATCAACTCAAAAAAATTGGATGTGTTAAAAACTTTTCAATTGAAACCATGGAGAGGCTTAAAGGCCTCAGCATACTAAATTTTTAGCTCGAAATTATCTCATCAGCTTTAGAATTTTATGATCATAATGAAACTTAGAAAGTTATCATGAAGGCCATGTGAATAAACAATGTGATACTAGTGGATGTGTGATACGTGGTAAAGTGTGAAATGTAAGACAGTTTCAAAATGATATCCTAATATTTATTTCCCAAATCAACCAAGTTTAACTACAACCTTATGGATCGTGCTTGATTCATTGAGAAATGAGTGTCATATTCATTAGGAGGGTCTGGAAGAGGACCTGATGCAGGCCCCATTGAATTTGAGTAGTGCAAAATAGCAACTCCAGGAGCCTTAATCGAAGCAGTGGAATTTACAAAACGTGGACTCGCAACAATGTAAAAATCACTGCCAGAAGGTTGATCCATGGTGACCAAGAATGAGTAGGACTGCCCAACATGGATATCCATGTTTGTGTAGTTCTGCTGTACTGTGTATGATCCTTCAGTTTCTACGAGAAGCAAGTTGTGGTTTTGGATTCTAAAATTCAAGCTAGTGGTTATACCAACATTATGCACTCTTATCCGGTACGTTTTGCCTGTAAAATATAAGAGGAAAAGAAACTTGGTCATAAACATGACAAAGCGATAAAGATTAAACCAACCATATCCTAAATAAAAACTTCATTACTGTTAGGGCTGACTATGATTAAATCATCTGAGATTAGAACATGAAAAGGACGAACCAGTTGGTGCAAGATAATTTTTGTCAGCAGGTAGGTCTATTAATAGATCTGAATTGTCACAGGAATTTATATAAAAAGGAACATCATTGCCTAGATAAGTACCTGGGTCAACAGTTATTGTTAGGTAAGCAATACCATCGGGTACAGCTGCATTGTCATATCGATAAGGACCATGTCCATTGATTAAGATACCATCTGGAGCTCCAAGGCCAGCTCCACTTTCAACTTGTTCTCTCAGTTCCTATGGATCAAAAGCAAAAAATCAGAAACCATAAAGATTAAGAGCATTGTGTATAGAACGATGTACACTGTTGACCAACCTTATGGCTCTTTGTGTACCAGTCACTAATGAAGAGGGTAATATCTCCGTCAGGTGCTGGAAAAGGTACAGCAATGACCTCTCTGTTGTTGACAACAATCCCTCCATATCCACCAGCAGCCCTCTGGAAGTTAAGGGAAGGAAAGTAAAAGAAACTGCCAATCTGATCTTTGACTTGAAATTGATATGTCCAGTTCCATCCGGCAGGAATGGGACAATTCGTGCCAGAAACTCCATCTTGCCAAGCATTTTTTCGCTGTTGAATGCCATTCCTGCAGTAGATTTTGCCACCATTAGATCAGTTAATACCCATAAGGTTAAGGGGTTCGGTTTGAAAAGTGTACCATGTCAGAAGCAAAGGCTCGTCAAGGTTATTCCTCACATTAATGAGAACATTCCAGTTAGTTGTAACATTCAGAATTGGCCCTGGAAACTGTCCCTCAATTCCAATCACCTAAAAAGAAAAATACAAAAAAAAAGGAGTACCAAAAGAAATAAGCAACCACAGGATACACAAAACGGGTTAAAGCGATGATAGCAAGCATAATATTGGCCGATATATTCACATGATGGCACGAAAAATATGCACAATCATGTAAATGTAACACCCAAGGTATATTCTATTGTTCTCTTCTGTGGTTTTCTAAATGATTTTCCCAGAGGCTGAAATCGACACCCAATTGAAACTTGACGAATTTCCCCGGGGAAAAAGGTTATGCAATCTTCATCATGTCGTTCTGAAAGGCCAAGCTAATAGAAAATCTAGAGAAAAGAAAATCTAAAATGCAACTTCAAAATTTAACCTTCATCAAAATCATTCTCGTAAACCGAGTGAAACTTAAGTTTAAGGGTAATTTGTAAGTGGACTTGAAACCATTTCTCAGCATACTTTTAAACAATTTAGACATGCACTGACCAGACCCCTGCAACTGGATCAATCAAGTTCAAACAAAGAAAAGTAAAGACATTCAACAACCAACGTGATTCAAATAATCCATCAATGGGAAAGCTGGTGCTTAACGTTTCATAAGCAAGGAGTGAGTAACAAATTAATCCAAAACAATAATGTACAATCTGATTCCAAAGATGGTGTCTTTAATCAAGCATTAGTGAGCTTATCAGCTATTCCTGAAAGTTCAACAAACTCAAACTTATGGCAATTGAATTATAACATCATCATAACACGATAAATGACATGATTGATCAGCAAGAATTTAATTCCCAACTCAATGCCCACCGCCACCCGCCTGCACCCCTCTTTGGAAGAGGTGAAACGAAGCAAGAATAGAAAAAACTAGTAGAATTCAGAGCAAAAGAGAAAGTACCTTTTGTGGGACTCCAAGAGGGGAGGCAGTGATGTAAGAGATGGACCAATCAAAGGACACATAAGGGTCTTCAGCTAAACCAATGGTAAAAAAGAAGCAGAAAAACCAATTCAGCCAAAAGAAACAACAATCACGGGATGGCATGTGCATTTGACGAATCCCAGTTATCTATCTCCCAGCCAAAAAACAAAGAAGGAAAAAAAAAAAAAAAAAAAGACCCTCTTCCTAAAACTTCTCAACTCAGCTGAAATGAGCAGCAGCAGCAATCACAAGCGCAAGATTTGGAGGATCTTGATGATCAGGAATCTGGGTCGATTCAGTTCAGTCTTTGGGATTGGGGCTTTTGGGTGGGCAACTTTGGGAGTTTTGCTTTGCTTAAGATTGACGTTGATAAAACAAAGAGTGTAGAAGCTGCTGCAGAGTGAGTGACACAGTGTGTGAGTGCGTGTTTTTGCGGTGGAAAGAAGGGAAGACGCAAAAGCAGGGCACGTGATGGGGTGACATTGTTATAGACAAACTGAGCGTCTGAAACGCCAGTCTATGGCTCCTTTCTCTGGGTCCCGATCTCTTTGAGAATTGAGCCGTTGCATTTTCTTTCTTTCTTTTTTGGTCATTTCCTCTTTTCTAGTCTCTCATTTTTACTGTTTTTTTCACTCCTCATTTCCAGTCACCCAACTAAATTCAGGAAATTCTTATAATAAATGCTCGGACATCCTATCATTATTGATGTACTAAAGTATTATTACACTTTTTTTCAATTAAAAATATAAAAAAATGTATTAAAAATATAAAAAAAATATGATCGCAATTATAATAACGGTGAAAAATCATGAAAAAAGCAATCCAAAGAGATATATATTTCCAAATGGAATGGTGAATGTGACTTTACTAAATTAATAATTTTGTTTTTGTAGCAGCATCTTCTTCAATAACTAATTTGATAGTGATTCTTAATTATTTCTTATGGTGTCTTTATTAAATTGAAAAGATATTAAGAAATTGCCATGTACACGTCAGTTTTGTTTTAAAAAATAATAACGAATTGACGATCTCTGCCATATCTTCATTTGTTTATACTACTATGCAGACCGTCGCCGCCATTTCAATCTCTGTGCTGGACTGGAATTTGTGTTACAGTTACATTTTTTGGAGCAAGCTTACCAACCAACTTAGCCTAGTAGGCTAGCCCATTAATTTTTTGCATGTGGATCTGGGATTGAGACGACTAGATCCACATTAAATTGGGCTGCGTATATTAAAACGTCGTCATGTTTTCCAGGAAAGGTCTCTGCCCAGTAAAACAGAACACTCGAGGAATACCTTCCAAACGTTATTCATTTTTGGGAGTCATATGTGGATCAATAATGATCATTATCCAATTCATTTCATTCTTGTTTCTAGTACACAAGTACGATATTTCAGTAAACTTCGTTTGATATCGAGTCAGTTTTTTTTCGTCTTAAAAAAAATTAGAATCAAACTCATATTAAATAAGAATAGAATAAGGAGTCTTTTATGTCTCATTACCGTATAGCCCAATATTAAATTGTGTATATGTAAATACGACTGGAAATAGTACTTTCTTTGTTAAATAAAATTTTTGTATATTTTGATTTTCACGTTTAGTATAAATTTTTACTCTGAACGCAAAAATTCAAACTAAATAACTATTTCGGGACGAAGGAAATATTAATATGGCATATTCAATTGTATGAAGCGCTTCTGCTTTTAATTTATGCTATTGATCAAATGGTGCATATCAATATATCATTGGTAGACAGCTAGCCTCAAATATTGCTGCTACATTCCATTCCAGCAAGCAAGCACCAACTAAGTTTAATCCCCCTTTCTCAAACGTTAAAGGTTGTGCGAATTTTTTTTTTTTAGAAAAATAATCATAAAAGAGAGTCCGCTGCTTTATTTTGAACTTCTCATATTTTTCTTCAGTTTTCTCATCAACCACACATCTTTAGCGCGTTGGAGGTTATATCATTCGTTAATCATTTTGGACCTGACATAGGAATTTTATTTTTTTGTTTTCTTCCCCCTCTCTTAATATGCTATTTTGGGGAAATGCAGTCGTGAAATAGGTGTGGAGTAAATAGTAATCTACTCACGTTTGAGGGATTTAAACGTAAACTTGCAGAACAAGATGCATCTAGGTGCATTGGTGTACATTGACATGCAAATCACATTTATAATTGTTTCCATATAAATTCATCAATGCTGGTATAATATGCTTTCAAAAGTAAAATCCTAAACAATAAAAATAAACTATATTTTTTTCTTAGATGTTTCTTTGTTCCTTTAAAAAGAAAGTTCTCTTACAATTTTCTCTCTACCTATTTACGTTCATGAATTTATTTAATATAAAAAGCTCGAAACTAGGAGTATAATGTATTAAGGAGCAGAATCAGAGAGCCTGGAAATAATTGAAATTCATTTGTAATTAATGTTTTTTGTAACTTCATTTTTTTCAATGCTATTGAAATTTCTAATTTTTTTTTAAAAAAAAGAAAGAGTGGAAATGATTATAACAAAAATAAATGTAATAACTTTCTTATGTTTCAAAAAGTACATTCAAGAAAAATAATTCATTTTATTAAATAATTCTTTTGTAAGACAAGTGTAATAATAATATAATTAGTAAGTGATTGCCAAAACAATCTCTGATAAAATGTGCAGAATGTATATCCAGGAGCCTAGGAATAGCTAGCTAGAGAGAGTAAGCTTATCAGGAAAATGATTAAGCCATAAGCTATTGGCAATATTCTTAGAGACTTGCAAAAATATATCCATGTCCATAATTCAACTTGTTACCCTAAATTCCCTAATCCCTATAATATTTATCTATACACTAGATGAGAAATCATTGTATGAAAACTTAAAAATGACCAGGTATTAGTTCATATCTCCGGACCTTGAAAAAAGCATCTCAGTCTCAAAAAAAAAAAACCATATTGAATTTTAATATTTGTAATAAAAAAAATTCAATGTAAACTATTTTTTTAGAATAAAAAAGCAGGGAATAAGAAATTCAAGTCAAGATTCAAAGGAATACATGAATATTGTGTGTTGTTAATTGAAGTCCAGGCACTACTCTCTCTAACCATCAGATCCCTTCTGCGATTAATATTAATTAAATATCAAAAGTAAATAATTAGTCCATACGGCGGAATGATTTGTTTATAGCTTCGCGGCTTAATCTATGTTTCTATATAGTGCAGATTGCCGCCCCGCTGCTACTCTTTGGTAGACATGCCATGCTAAGTATTATATAGTTTACTCCTTTTTACTTTTTTGGTGTGTAAGAGGGTAAAATGTGTTGTTTTTTTTCCCCCGGCTCATTTCAACTATTCGTTTCATGAAAAAAAATTAAAAAATTAAAAAATTCGTCGAATACAATAAACTATCACTTTTTTATTTTTTATTTTTGTTTACAATATAAACTATTCGTATTTTGATATGCAAGCACCATCTCTACGTACTTCGTCTTTTTGTTAGTTTTATGTCCAAAAGCTAATTAATACTTAGATTGAAATTTATATTTATTGCCAACGCTTCTGTGTGGCCTTTTTTTATTTTTTTGAAATGGTCTTTGGATACCTGTTGTTAACAAATGTTTAATTATTACTATCATTTACTTGGATTCGTGAACAAAACAGGTAAAGCATGCCGTCTCTAATCCTTTACTTTGTCATTTGTTTATAGATTCATTTGCAGTTGTTTGTTTCTTTTGACAGACCGTAAGTACGTTGACTTAATTTCAAGTTCCTTTTTCCTCGATTCATATGTACTACGGAACAACTTTTCAGATTTTCACCTAATAAATTGACTATGCTTTTGGTTTTTTCTTGAATGTTTCAGCATCATAAGAGCCTTTTAAACTTTTTTTCTTCTTCCTTTCCCCGGTTTTTAATTGGTGTAAGAGTCTTTTTAACTTTATTAACAGCACGCCAATGGTTTAAGTAGAGAGATTAAAAACAGCAGAATTTGTGGGAACAGTACAAGAAGATACTTTTCTTTTCGTGGAAATTAAACCAATTAGAAGTTATGGATTGCAAAGATTAATGATGATTGAATACAATGAATATGTAATTCTTAATTAAGGAATTATTATATGCCGTATTCTGCGGATGACTGAAAATGATGGTATCCGTGAAACATGACACTCCATGGACTGAGATCAACCAATGTGGGTGCATTAGATGTTGTTAACTAGAGCAAGAAAAATAATACCCCTCCATACGCAAAAAAAAAAAAAGAAAACAAAAAGCTTATTGCAATTTATACTTTTAATTACTTTTAGTACAAATTACAATGTGGACTATTTTTTGAAAACAAAAAAGGTAATTCATCTCCATCCCTTCTAAAATAATTTTTTTTTCATGTACACAAGTAGATGCTTCATGTAATTGTGACAGCATTTTAATCCTGTCATAAAAACTATAAGGACTCATTGGTGTATTATTACTACTACTAGACATTCTACACTCTATACATCGGTGTACTTGAGATGAAAAATGAGTGCAAAATTATAAACACGAAGTTTAGACGTTCAAACTTTAACATGAGTACGGATAATAAGAAAATGAAAACAGACCAACAATCCAAAAATTTAAAGGCGGTGAGAAGATCAAGAGAAATTGCACGCAAATAGAGTTTTTTCTTTTTTGGTTACGGTGAATGAGGCTCAAGTTTACATTCTCATATTTCGAGAATATACAACCCTTATTAAATCATGTTTCAAATATGGTCTGATCCTCCGAAGATTGAGCTTCTAACTTGTGCACACCCCCTTGACCTATGAGATGCTAGTGAAACTAAATAGTTTACGATAAAATTCGTCTCATGAAATACGTGTTTTAACTCAACAATCCAATCTTTCTTAATAAAATCACGAATGCCATAAATCAATCCCCGTTCAGCCCGACAATGTCTTAGTCACCCTTATCACCCAAAGAGAGTATTACACTAGAAAAAGATGAAAAAAAATACTACTCCCTTTCTATTCAGTACAAATGTCAAAGTGTCAAACAATATAAATTATTTTTCTGGAACAGAACAGAAATAGTATAACATTTCTTACTTCAATGCATATATATAGTGAATTTAGGGAAACAAATTTTTTTTTTGTACATTTGTGCCTCAAATAAGGTCTTACATTACTAACAAAAATAAGAGAAATAAAAATAATTCCGTTTCAGAATTAGAGTAATGTTCATTGTACGTTGCTATATAATACAAATATCGACTCGACGACTCTTACTATGAAATAGACGGAATGGTTGTTACGGGGAGATATTTAGTGAAAAAAATCTAGCCGAGGGATGGAGAGGAGACCAAATTCAGGTGGCTAAAATAAAACCTCCAATTAAAGCCCACAGAAAGGCGGTGCGGCCAACATTGACTAAAGTCTGATAACAAAAACAGTATAACCGCCGAAACTGAACAGTGTTAGGGTTATATACACAGTAAGTTGTTCCTCCAAACACCCAAAAGGCCGAATAAAAGGAAGAGAAAGAAAAAAACATACCTTAAAAACATAAAGCCCACAGAGATGAAATGAAATAGTATATAACGGTACAATGATAGCAAAATAGGCTGTGGAAACATAACTCGTTAATGCTGCATGTGTGATCATTGGCCCTTTCGCATAGGGAAATGTCACCTCAGGTATGGTATCCAATACTCTATTTCCCTCTCCAAACATGCATTATTACTTTTCCTAGTTGATGTCCTACATGGTAAAAAAAATAAAAACACAAATTATTTTCACCATGCAACAGTTCCACGTCCCGAATGGTAAATTATCAAAAGAATGTTACCCTAAAAAGTTCTTCTGAATAAATACTCGACCTGGACCATCTTTTTGAGACTGAAAGAGTATTATAGGTATCTGTTTGTGTAAAATTACATCTCATTCGGAAAAATGACAAATTGACAGTCGAAATTGCTGCTATGGTACCACAAACTAACTTGGTGGTCAAAATTTTGGGATGAAATGTGGCAAATAATTGTGAGGAAAATGACATGTTGGATTGTTGGGAGGGGTTGAGAGGTCGCAGCCCATGAACAGGAGGAATTGATTGATTATTATTATGAACATTATTATTAGAAGAGAGAGGGAAAAAAAGGGGGTGAAAGACAAAATGATAGTGATGATGATTCCAATTTCCAGCCTCTCTCTCTCTCTCTCTCTCTCAGAGTCCAATATGGCAAATATGTTTGCCTCTTTCACATGCCGTTTTCTTTCATCCCCCCAATTATGCACATCTCCAGCTATATACACCCATTTTAGATTCTTGGATCATTGTACCCTTTTTCCAGCATCTGGGCCTCCCTTCTAAAACTACGTTTTGCTCTTCATCCCTCTCTCCCAATTAATTCCCCCCCGAACATTATTTCTTCGTCCCTATTCTTACAATCTATTTTGTTAAATTGAAACGGTATGAATAATATCACAGTCTATTTTAAAATTGAATTGGAACAGTATGACTATAACAATTTGTGGATTATTAAATTGGGACCAAGCAGCCATTCTCACTTTTCTATTGCAGTCATCCAAGTTGGAAAAAGAGACACTATTTCTTTGAAAACAATCATTTTTGTACACTTAATTAGCTTTCTTCTCCAAGCTAGTAACTAAGGATCTGTTTCGTTGGTTTTTTTTTTTTTATAGTTTTTTCATATTTTATTATTATTATCTGTCCCATCCCAGCATATCTTTTTATATTTTCAATGCATCTTTTTACATTCCTAATATAAAAAACACCTAAAAATACACACTAAAAAAACAATCCAAACATACCCTAACCTTAACCAAACTTATTTGAATATTGTCAGAGATAGTAAAACTTGTGGAATTTATTATGTTTGCACACTGTCGAAAAGAATAACGACATGATTAATTATTTTGTTCTCAATATCTCAACTAAGGTCTCAGGCTTTATCTTTAGAAAGAAGAAATTTTATCACATTTTACCTTTTTACTATTCTTATCGGTTAAAATTGGATGATAGAGCCAGCATCAGTAGTATCCAATTTCCAAACGTAACAGAGTTTGATGACATTAATGAACAAAAAGTTTATATGAAAGTAAGCAGCTTCAGCAGCTTACTGAATCACGCTTTTGTCCGAATCCTCAATCTTTACAAAAACTCTCTCTCGTACTTATCGCAATACCTTTTTCATGCCTATCACACAACAAGAAAGAACCCAAAGAACAATTTGATTGGGAAAAAAAGGAAAAATCCATCCCCAACTCTCACCACGCGACGCGTGTCTCACACGACCTCATCCGACGTGGCCGGACCCCATTTGTCATAAATTCAACAACAAAAACAAGGACTCATGCCTAGATAATCAAAACCCCCCCACTGTGGGACCAGCCTCTCTTGAGTTGGGACCCACCCCCTCACCACCAATAATTGATCATTCTCCTAATCCTCTCTGTATTCTTGCTGGCAGAAAATACAATACTCTTCCTCCTCCTACTTCTTCTTTCTTCTTTCTTCCCCTCCATATGAGTATGACCTTTATTTTTCCTTCTTCTTCGTCTTCAAACTCCAAAGCCCACTATTGAATATTGACTGAGAGGGTTCTCTCTCTCTCTGTCTCTCTTTCTTTCTTTCTTTCTTCCTCCTTCCTCCCAACAAATTCTTTCCAGTTTATACGCTTTTTACACTTTTGCTTCGAAAAAGTTCAAAATTTTTTTCCATAAACCCCGGAAATTCTTTGATTTTTTTCTTTTTTGTAAAACCCTTTAGTAAAAATCCATGCTTTAGCACAGCCCATTACCCATTTCAAGGCCAAGAGAAAAAAAAATGCTTCCTTTATTGCAGCTTTCCATTTTTGTAATCTCCATTTTAGTTCTTCCTTCCCTTTCAGTACAGTCAAACTTTTCTTCCATATATGATGTGCTTAAATCTCACGGACTGCCAATGGGTTTGCTTCCAAAGGGTGTAAGCAACTTCAGTTTTGATGACTCTGGTAAATTTGAGGTGTTCCTGGATCAAGCTTGCAATGCCAAGTTCGAGAATGAATTGCACTATGAAAGGAATGTTTCGGGCACTCTTAGATACGGGCAGATCGGTGGGCTATCTGGGATTTCTGCCCAGGATTTGTTCTTGTGGTTTCCTGTGAAGGAGATTAGAGTCGATATACCCAGCTCTGGATTGATTTACTTCGATGTTGGTGTTGTGTTTAAGCAATTTTCTTTGTCCTCTTTTGAGACGCCGAGGGATTGTACCGCGGTTCAGCTCACGGATCAGATTGAAGATGGGAAGCATATGTTGGAGGCTGTCTCCAAGGTCTCTCATTTTGATTTTGGTCCTCTGTTTTCTTTCCTCTTCTCCTGAAATTTAAAAGTCAATCCACTGTTTTCTGGATGTAAATGGCTTTACCGTGTAAAAATGAAACAGAAAAAAAAAAAAGAAAAAAAAGAAGAAAACATGAGAGGGATTCGTTATTTGTTGCTTGTTTTGAGATTTCAAAGCTTTTAGTTTTTGTCTATCTGTAAACATAATGTTTGTCAGACACTTTTGAAGATTTAAACGGATTAAAAAGAAGCGCCTAGCACTTTAAAATGGCAATGTCGTGTCTCCGCGGATAGATGCTTGAATTGATTTTGTTGACTGCCAGTGGACTCAGTTTCAAATGGTCACGTATTAGATTTAACCCATCAACAACATTGATCAGTTTACAGTGTTGAAAAGTCTGCAGGAGTTAGACTAGGAAATGTTATTTGCAGTGCGCTAGTGAGTCTTCACATTATTACGGTTGCTGGCATTTCCCGGTTGCTTTATCTTGTTCAGATAATGGCATTGACCTGTTTCGTATATGTTTGCAGAGTCTCGAGGGCGAGCTTCAGTTTCAGCTAGATCAGGGGAATTTTGCACGGGCTGTTTTGTAGATTTTCCTTGTGAAGATTTCAATTGCACTCTTGCTCAATCATGACACGGGTCTTCCACAATTCATTCTATGCACATGTCTGCCCGAAGTCTTGTTTAGCAGGTTTTATCCTTCATTCAGGTGTGCTTGCTTGCGGTTTCATGTATAGTGGTGAGTCTGCAAACTAGTCACGCCGGCTCCTGTATTGGTGAAGGCAGTTTTGACTGAACTCTGAGAGGAAAATTTGGTTGGTAGCATGGATACATCAATGGTTTATAAATTTTGATATACATGAGACAGAGGATATGAAGAGATACAGGAGCATTACATACTTGTTGGTGATAGATTTGCAGAGGTTTGTTTTCGATGTTAAAATTCATTATGAGAACTTAAATATGTTGTTACTCAAATTTCATTTTGTAGTTGATGAGGTATACATAATTTGAAGAATAAAGTTTATATCATTTTCATTCTTAAGCAGGATGTTCCATTTGTTGTTGAACTTTTTTCACTTGCCGTGCTAATATTAATCTAACTTGAATGCTATGTGCGCGACTCAATCTTCTTGTTTTGGTTTATTATGGTGCTGCAACTTCATCCGGTTAACAGTGTGATACCGTTTCAGTGACAATGCTCACCCCTAATTTCAATGTTCAGTCTTTTCGAATTTTTGTCATCTATTGATGTGTCAGAAGATTAAGAGAAGTTTTTTGTTTACAGTTAGTTGAACATGTGGAATTTGTCTACTGAAATTGTTTGTGTATTTGATATTGTGCTCACAATTAACCTGTTCTCATCATTTTAGAACCTTGTAGGCTTTAGTTGTCATGTAGAATTGTATGATGGAATTTGATGAATCCTGTGCCGCAGTTACAAAGAAACCATTTCTGTGTTCTGCTGACAATGTTTCTTGTTTTAGCATCCAAGGAATTGACTACATTGTTCAATGAGAATTTTATAGTGCTAAAGTGATCTATCTAGCTAACCATTAGTATATACGTCTTTCTCTGAATAGAAATAACTGACATAACTCCATTTTTCTTGTTTTGGGGAAGGTCTTGGTGCCAATGTGAAAGTGCCTGATTGGGTTTGATTACATTTTGAAGCACAGGGGACGGATGCGTTAGAATGCGAATCTTATATTCCCTTTTCCCCTTTGCATTTGCCCTTGGGGGTTCTTGAGCTTGTTGTAGTTCTAGGTTTTAACCCTTGATAGTTTTAGACCTAAGGTTTCGAGCGCGCGCCCTATGTCACTGACGGGGGAAAAGGTAATTTATCCCCCTGATACGGTACTTCCACCGAATCTTCCTTCTGAATCATTGCGCAACTAAGTCGAACTGCAATGCTGAGGTTTACAAAGAGACGAGGAGATGAAAGAAAGTACACCAGGAGAAAAACAGATGTTACTGTTAGTTTTTTATCTCCCATGTTACCTATTTCACAACAGCTGTTAATTTGTTCCCTTGGTTGGCATATAAGGGAACTTGAAACCATACAACATGTGAAGACTAACTGAAATCAGCAATTGTTTTCAACCCTTTTGTTCCTGCAGCATCTGAGGTACTCAGAACCATGTTCTGCATTATTTTACTCTGATCATTAACTGGACTCAACTGGTTTGCTGTTTTGTTGTGCAAGTTCTTTGTCTGGAATCCAATCAAGAAAATCTATGATGGGATTATTTTATTAAATAATGGGCTCCAATCCAACTAACTAAAATTATCTCAAGAGCTGGTACAGAAGGAAAAAAAGGACTCTCTGAATGCTGCCAGCTGCAAGCATTTCTGAGGCAAACTGGAAACAAAAATGATATTAATTGTTGAGAAATTGGCTGGTTCCTTTTGTTCTTTTTAGCTTCTGACAATGGGAAAAAGGGTTAGGTTATGTTGAAAAGGAGGGAAAATATAATCTACCAAGTTTGAACTTGATATCTACCAAAGTCAATGTTGATTTTCTTGAAATATGATATCACATTTTATAGAGCTGGCACAGGATGTTACATCATCATCCCACCAAGAGAAAAAGAAATTCAATAAAAATCATGGACTTTGTGAGAACTGAGTAAGGATGGAGATGATGAGCACATGGAGATCTAGAAGGGTGGATGAGAGTTGCATATGATTAAATTCCACTACCAATTTACTACAATTTCATTTTCTGAGCTGGACCCAGTTTTCTTTGCATTATTCCTCCCTCTAAAGTCGTCATCTTTCAGTCTTTCAATCTTGAACCTTGTAGTAGTAGTAGTGTTTTTTTTTCACTTGGTTTGCTTGGATGATGGCTACGTTGATTTTGCTTTTAGAGAATTGAGGGCTAATTTTCTTTTTGTTTGTTTCTCTTTTATTTGCCCCTTCTGGACCATTTTTTCGCAAAGAAACGAAAGGTAACATAACACCATGTCACCATCTTGACAAATATCCTCAAGTCAATATCTCGAATAATGTATCGCACATTCGAATCTTGCACTTTTTCCAATCATCCATGTTAGAAAATGGAACTAAAAGGGCTACACAATGTGTTACAAATAGAGAATTTTTTGGACTTAGATCACTAATACTAATTGTTAGTTAACTCGTATTTGTTGCCCAAACTATCAACAAAATTGAAAAAGAATTTATGGTGAGGTGGAATTAACTTCGATAAGATCATGAGACATTAATCCTATGTACGGTGACAAAAGATTCATCAAAAGTGATAACTGTCAGATCGATTGGGATTTTGGGTGCTCTTTGCTGACTGCTGTAATCGACGTGGAGCATAACTTAAGGTTCAGCTTCTACAGCTATATATAGCTGCTGCCTTGTGTTAGGGAATTTATGCTACGATTCCTTGTCATAATAATTCCGAATTTCCATTAAAAAAAGGATCTTTCCTTTTCCAAAAAGATTTCCTCATGAAAACCCTGAGATTATCCGTGAGATTTTTGCATTAATTAGCCCCCCCCCCCCATGTACAGGTGACAACTTGTAATTTGTAGAACTTTTCTTGTTCTGTGTGATCAAGTGGAGTCACGAAAAGGGTTCTCATTCGGTAAAATTTTTTAGGTTTATTTGAAATCACGTTATGATCCACAACAACACCACAAAGGGTTGACATTTACGTGCTCGCCCATAATAATAATAAATGTGGGATTAAAATGTGTTTGATACTTTGATTCCACTCCTCTCCTTTGTCAGCTAAGAATAACTGACTTCTCTAATGACTAAAAAAAAAAACAGAGAGATCGAGGCAAGTTCTTCAGACAGGAACTATATCCTTCATGCCATATGGTTTAGATGGGTATAAAAGTGGAAGTTCTTGTAAATTCAGTACACGGCTAGTCAAGAACCGTGTAAAAGAATTCACGATCATGTTATTTTCGTAGTTATACATTAAATCCTTCCTAAACTTTCAATTATAATTTATCTGGTAACATATTCAATATTCAACTAATGAAATTTGATATGCATATAATCATAAATCTGTCTTTTATTTTAAAATCGTCGATAAAGACGCTCTAATAAAATTGTAATTTATGTTTTAAAATGATTAATAACAATGGTTTAGAGGGAGTTCTGTTCTAAAAGATGTCTTCAAAACGTAGTAACAACTTTTTTATTACTATTATTTGGTTAGCACAGTGACAATTAAGTAAATGATACATAAGTATTGTATCAAATTGAATGATGCAATGTAACCCTTCAAAACCTTGTCTTTATGTGTTGAGTCAAAATAGATAGTCACAATTTTATTTTTTTTTCCTGTTCTTTTACATTTTGGGTTGAGAAGTTTAACCACATTCTAGAACATCAATCAATTATAAGTAATAATTTAATAATGCTGTACTTCTGAAAATGTTAAAGTTAATTTTTTTTTTTTTCCCACTTATCTTTACATCATCAACACTGCTTCACTCTGCTCCTCTCCTTTCTTCACAGTTTCACAACATCCTCGCCGGAAGAAAATTCATCTCCTCCGGCGAGCCACTTCTCTCTAGCTTCACCGGAAGCTGAATTCCCTATATCACTCACCTGAAGTGATCCATTAAGAATGTCAATACTTCCATATGTTTCCCTCAACCTATCGACAACTTCGCCCAAGAAATCACTTCCTTTCCGTTCCAAGAATTCGACTTTAACTCCCAATTCTCTTTCGTCTTCGCTCAATTTCGACAGAAAGCTCGTATTTTCACCTCTATTGAAGAAGGGTCATGGCGGGATTGGCTCTTCATTTGCCCTGGCGTGCTCAACTACTTCGTCGCCGTTTATCGGAAAAGTTGGGTGGCATAAACGAGAAGGCAATTCTTCTTTACTCTCTTTTGGGGCGAAATTTGATGATAGTGTGATCAACGATGATAAGGAAGCGGATTCTTCCCAAGTACTGTCTGCAATGCTTCCCTTTGTGGTGGCCATCACTGCAATTTCTGCTCTTTCTCAGCCTTCCACCTTCACCTGGTGAGAATTTTGACTTCAGGATTTAAGAAAAAATTGTGCAATGCGTTCTTAGTTTTCATTCTGTAAGGTAATTTAAAGTTCTGGTATTCGTATATGGTAATCATACTCATGTCAGTGTCATCCCTAAGAAAGAAGGTATTAATTTCTTGGTCCTTCATTAATGCATTTTTTTAATTCACCTAGTTGATTTCTTTATTGGACTGTGATAATTTAGTCAAGATTGAGCCACAACTTCTGTATTTTTATTAATTTCTGTCCCTTTCTCTTTGGTTATATGTGTGCATTTTATATTGGTGTTTGAACTTAAAACTTCCTACGAATTTCTTGGTCTTTTGTTGTAAATGATAGAGGAACCTGCAGGGTGTCAAAAGAACTTTACGCTCCTGCACTTGGAGGAATCATGTTATCCATTGGGATCAGGCTTTCGATTGATGACTTTGCTCTTGCTTTCAAAAGGTTCAGTCTTTTCTTTTTTGATTTATATTAGTAATTTCACCATTTCGGGTACATTGTATGGGTTCAATTGATACTCATTGTAGCTGAATTTGTTTTTCCTTGTTGATTTCAGGCCTGTCCCTCTGTCTATCGGCTTTATTGCACAATATGCTTTGAAACCAGCACTTGGCGTGTTGGTGGCACGGGCATTTGGGATGTCTGATATGTTCTTTGCTGGCTTTGTTCTCATGTCTTGCGTTGCTGGTGCTCAATTGTCTAGTTATGCTAGCTTTCTTAGCAAAGGCGATGTGGCATTGAGCATACTTTTGACCAGTTCGTCAACCATTGCTTCGGTCCTTGTTACTCCTCTTCTAACTGGGCTTCTCATTGGTTCTGTTGTTCCAGTTGATGCAGTTGCTATGTCAAAATCAATTTTGCAGGTACGGGATAAGTGAGTAACCAATAAAAAATTACTTGTAGCATGGTGAGATGAAGATACTCGCGCAGACCTGTGCCATGACATTAAATTAGGCTTTTCAGATTGGACTCAAAATTATGATGGAAAGGGGAAAAGTGGGCACTCCGAGAAAACACATTGTTATTTAGTTTTACTTGATGTTTGATAATTGTTGTTGAGGACTTTTGGTTAAAATAATATACATTTGTCTTGCCAGGTCGTTCTTGCTCCAGTAACGCTTGGCTTAGTGCTTAATACTTATGCCAAACCTGTTGTGTCTCTGGTTAAACCTGTGATGCCATTTGTTGCAATGATTTGCACTTCATTGTGTATTGGAAGCCCTCTTGCTATCAATAGAAGCCAAATACTGTCCTCTGAAGGGCTGCGATTGGTTGCACCAGTGTTGACATTTCATGCAGTAGCATTTACTTTGGGGTACTGGGTGTCAAAAATCCCAGCATTAGGGTAAACTTCTTTACCTTCCTATTACGCTTTCTGATGATGAAAAAATCTGTAAGATGTGGTCTTTATAAACTTCCATCTGTTTCTCATTAATTATGCTCCTCTGGCATTTTTATACATCATGTGAGCTCTGTCTCATTGTTTGATAAATGGACACTGTTTCATTTGACTTTAGGAGGTACAGGTTACTAAATTAAGATATGATGCATCAACATCCAACTGATGTTTATCCTGAATTTGTCATTTGTTGACAAATGCTCATGTTAATAATCAGTTATACGGAACCTATTCCTGAAATTTCCCTGTCGTTGAAAGGAGCTTACAATTCACCGATGATTACCTCAGTCTCTATTGTGTAATCTCATCTCATGTTTCTTATTGGTAGCATAGTGTTTGATATTTTCTTTTATGCTTCCCTGTTGCTTTGTTAAATTGTGATGGATCTGCTGCTGTAAGTTCTACATCTAACAGTTGCCTGATCTTTTGATTGGATGGGTCCAAATTGATTGAGTTCCAAATGTTGAAACTCATTATCAACAGATCATATCAGTGTCAAATGGAAGTAAAAGAATTGGAGCTTAACAATGTCTCATAACAAGTTTGTTACTATGCAGGTTGGAAGAGGAAGTCAGCCGAACAGTTTCACTATGTACCGGAATGCAAAGTTCTACATTGGCGGGGCTTCTAGCTACTCAGTTCCTCGGGAGCACTCAAGCAGTTCCCCCAGCATGTTCTGTTGTTGCCATGGCTATCATGGGACTATGTCTTGCCTCTTTCTGGGGGAATGGATATCGAATCAGAGACTTACCGTCACGTTTACTTTCTCAAGCAGGTTCAACTGTCAAGGCTTGATGTTGGTAGATCATTCCCGGTGGAGAATCAATTTAGCTAATTAACATGAATAGAAACCAGTAGTAATAGCTGCCAGCTTGTGAGCTCATAAATAGCTTTAAGAGTATATGGATTTTAAGCAGAAAGGGAGACATAATTAGTAAATACACTCTAGATGCGTAGTGTTACTACAAACTATACGGTTAGAGAGGGGATTATAAGTATAATGTAAAGTGGAAGCTTCGGGGCCCGATTATTAACATGTACAGTTTTTTATCTTTGTACAGAAACAGTATCTAGAATCAATGAATTAATTTGTACTCCCTCCGTCTCATAATTATTGTCTAGTTTGAGTTTTCATTTCTAGTTCAAATTGTACTAAAAGTGAAATCTCAAACTGGACAATGATTTTGGGACAGAAGGAGTACCTTTTGAAATCTTTTGATCACGTTTTACTAGTCTCGCCAAATTATTTTTATTACACGTGAAAAGACTATCTGTTCGTGTTACATTTGAAATCGCAGAAACACATATCATGCATTGTAGCCGGTGGGGAGTTGGTAGATGTAAAATCCTTTAACATGATCTAAGGGATTCATGGAAGGAACAACCATGGAAAGATTGTGTACTGGTATTAATTTCCCATGATTAAAGATTACTTCATTTTTTATCTTTGGGCTTACGGTAGATTTACTGGGCTTTTAACCCTGGATTGGAGTTAGTCTGAACCAGCCCATCATCCTGTTGGTTAAGCAAATTTATTAATTTAATTTGATTTGAGGTTAAGTATGACATAATTAGGAAGTGGTTAATAATGAGTTAATTTGCTATTAGGAATTATTATTATTTCCCCTTTCCTCATAATGAGGTTCTCTGCTAAGTTGGGAATTTTGGCAAGGTTAAACCATTGAAGTATTAGAATCTCTAACCACTAAACTGGTTATGGTTGAATGGTAGAGACTCATCCATCCTTAACTAGATATCTGATTGTCCAAATCCACCATAAACACGTAATAATCAAATATATTGAGCGAAAGAACTTTCTGCATATATTCCAGGATGGATTCATAAAGTTTTTGTATGTCATTACTTAGATGCTTATTAATCAAAGTTTCAGAAGAAAAAATCATGAAGACACTAAAACATTTTTATAGTGCATCCTGGAAACTCAAACTCTTACTCGTGCAACCTGTCATCAATATCTTGTGTTACCTGGGCTGGGCCGCACTAGTTTTTTTTTCCTGTTTTTTTTTTTTTTTTTTTTTTTAAAAAATCCATTTAAATAGGAATAAAATAGAAGGAGCTCTGCTTTTGTCGTCTCTCCATCAAGAATGGACGACATATTAAGCTATACTTCTATTGGGACACCTGCTTATAATAGGAGGGATGTTGTGTCACATATCTCTTAGTAATAAAAACGAAAGTCTAAACAACATACTTATTATACTTATTTTAAAACGGAAGAAATAATTAGTTTTCAAATGATAAAAGAGAATCACTTCACAAATTTCTGGCACACTCGATCTCATGACTTGGGGAACCCTTTGATTCCGTCGTATGGAAATTAATGGGAGTGTGTCATATTTTTGCTTCAAGTTGTTCATGAAGCAACACGTTTGAAGTGTTCATGGGGAACATTTTCACTTTCCACAATGAGAACGGATATTAGTCATTGGTTATTTTGAAAATCTCTGGATCGTTCTTTTGAAACAGACGAATTAAAATGTGTTTTTCTAATCGCGTGATCAAATCAAACCTTAAAATGTCGTCAAGTTTCTTTTGCCTCAAAACGTTGATTCCAAATACAAATCTAATACTGTTATCACTACTTGCTCCTCCTTCCCGTCCGTGTTCTGACAACTCTTATCACAAAATATATATTTTAATTAATTCAGTTTTTATTGTTTCTCTTTTCACCAAATGTGTCTACCTCCAAAATTCCAGAACAAATTTCACCTTTGGATTCTCAAAATCAAAGCTTATGTATCGGATTCTATTGTAATGTAATTAGCACATGCATGTAAACCATTGAAGAAAACACCATATGCATGGACTATGTAGCAATAAAATTAAGAAAATAGAGAACCAGGTAAAAGATTACCTTATTTAGCGTTGCTCCACCCATTAACATTAAAATTAATTAGTACAAACAGACGCCTTTGACTATCGAGTAAGGTAATTAGCACTGTGATTGTTCCAAAACAAAGAATTGTTTGTTCAATTATTTTATAATAATACAATAACGCACCTCTTATTTTAAAATGAAACGAATATAAATTACACAAGCCTAGCTCCACTTAATAATGATTTATAATTTATTTTTTTATTTTTTTTTGGTGTATTTAAGCTACATTGCATAACATAATACTATATAAGTGCACCCAGGGAAAACTGTAGGCATTGCGTTGAAACAAAGAAATTAAGGAACTATAAAAGTATTACATCTTTTATATTGATTGCATAACACAAGTGCTCCCGTAAGTGTTCCAATTTACATGTGTAAACTCACATATTTCCTCAAATTTTTTTGAAAGAAAACAGGCGTACAGCGTACATATGGCGCCCCAGCTGACTTGGGAATCTTTCGGTTCTATTTTATTTATATTAGAATTATATGATTTTTGAAGTACTTGATTTCACTGTTCACAGAAAATTATCTTGTACAAATATCTTGTAACAAAATGAATGTATTTATATAGAGTGTTTTAGTAATTTTTTTTTATAAATTTCAATACTGTATTCTGTCTTACCCATCAGCATTCGTCATTCTCAATTTAACTTTGTTACGTCAATGTTGTCTTAAAAATGAAAAAAAAAAAAATTTAAAAAAAATGGAAAACCAAAGTAGGTGTTTTCAGTTACCTACTATGCAAATAAAAGGTTTTGAAATTGTTTTAGCATACTAATAACAAAGAAGTAATAATGATGGTAAAGGAACCAAAGTCAAAACAAATGAGTTATTATCATTCATTTTTTTTTCCTTTATCATGCACTAAACCACCTATGACCTATCGAAAATCAATGAAAATGAACGTGAAAAATCATCAAAATTTCAACTTTAGAAAAGAAAATTTCTCGGAAATAAATAAACAATAAAATCACAATATCTTTATTAGTAACCAAATCATATGTATTTGAACTCAAACAGAAATTGAGAGTTAATTAATTAGATGAGTCGTACAAAATTATTAAGGTTAAGCTTCTAGAAAAGTAATCAGAATAAAAGCTTTACGTGAAGATTCATATATACTACTGAATGGAGTTTTGCCCCAAATGATTCTGTTCCAAAAACTCTCTGTTATTTTTCTAAAGCATTTTGTACAACAATCAACAGGATGATTACTGGAATCTTAATAATTAACAGTAAAAACAAATAATTTTCAGAAACCGAATTCGATGTCAACCAAACAGCTTAGAAAGATTCTTCATAAGAAATAAAGCCAGAAGATTCTCCCCATGGCCAAGTTTAAATTTTTAGAAATATGAAGCTCCTCATCATAATATAAAGCAAAAAATATTCATTTGCTATCTCTCTTGAAGAATGAAAATGGTTTCAGAAACTATTTATATGAATCATATCAAAGAGATTAAAGTGCCAGTGATTTGGTTGAATATCATAAACATCAAGAAAGAAAGTATACTATACTCCGTCCCAAAATAAGAGTCACGAAAGTAGAGAAACCAAAACTCTTGTTTTGTGAAGGAAGGAGGTAGTAATAATTAGTTAATAAAAATTCAACCTTCAACCTGGATCGAGAAAATCTGCAAAACCTTAATTTTCTTCTCCACAAAGGAAATCCAAGATCACAGTTTTCATTAGCTAGCTACAAGAGAAAAAAAGACATGAAAAATGTACACACCTTATAAATATATATATACACACAGAAAGGATTACTATTAGATCGACTAGTAATATTTCAACTGTTCTTGATTTATGTACAAAAACCATATTTGACATAATACATCTCATCAACCTCCTCAAATACACCCCATATTATTCCCAAAGTGGAACTGCAGATTCATATATTTACTAAAAACTATGTAGATCAATCAAACAAAAATGATTATCATCTTCCCATCTGTCCTTAAATTTGAAACCTTAAAATTTTTCTTGACTATATACTTACCTTATACCTCGTCATCAACATCAACCAACCAATTAATCTTCTCTCTCTCTTTCTTCATCAGCCCGAATAAAAATGGACAAACTTTCTCATTATCTGTACCTGAATAGTGAGACACTTAATGTAATCTGCAGTTTCATCGAACAAACTTAAAGCATCCATTACTTCACCACCAGGAACAAGCTTTCTTAGCCCTTCAAGACCCAACAAATCTTCTCCATTATTATTAGGGTTTTCTTCCTTTTTGGATATCAAGCTACTGATTCTTCTTCTTGGAGCTGCTGATTTGTTTGTTCTCATCAACCCTTTATTCCTCCGAATCTTCCAAAGCAAAGCACGGCTCCAAGTTCTTCTGGATCCAGCAGCTGAAGCCAGAGATGCATAAGAAGCCATCTTAACCATATAACATCTTCTATTATAAGCCTCTAAACTAGATGAAAATGTTCGTTTCTGGTTCAGTTCTTTCAGGGCTTTTGAAAATTTGTAAGCAAACCTCGTCCTAATCGACCTGCGACTAAGAGGGATCTTTCTAATTTTCCCAGAAAACATATTACAAAAATCTCACAAAAGCAAAGAGCTCAAAAAACTTAGGGTTTTTATTTCCTCAGGGTGCACGTGTGGGGGGATATATTGTTGGGTCAAGTCTAGATATGATTACAAAGGATTTTAGGGTTTTTTTTTTATGGATTGAAAGAGAAGCACTACTAAGTAGTAATTGGTGTGTTGTGTGGTACTTTGAAGATGAAAGATTTTGTTTCTGACACAAAGGGTCCTCTGTGTTTTCAGAAGGACAAAAGGGAAGAAAAAAAGAAAAAAATTGTTTTCCTGGGACTTCTGACACACAAAATTTATATCTATTTATAACAAAATATATGAGGATATATACAAGAAAGAAAGGATGATGAATACTGATGATTAAGGATTATGGGGTTGGGTTTGGGTTTGGGGATATTGTCAGAGGAAGAAGAACGTGTGAAGAGAATGAAGAAAAAAAAAAACAAAAAGAAAAGAATATTATGACAAAGAGAAGATTAAGAATGGGCGGTGAGAAGAAGGAGATGACTTATACTAAAGAAGAAGGAATCCATCAATCTTTATTATTCTGCTTTTTTTTTTTTTTTGCTTTGTAAATTCTCTAGAATGTAATTGGATAGAATAATTAAAATTAAAAATATAGGGTTTGATCTTTCATTTTCAAAGAATTGGGTTTAGAAATGAAAAGAGAAGTATTAAAGTGGGCCAAGAAAGGGCCAACCACCATATGATCGCACATGGTTCCATTACCCACTTGAGTTTTGGTGGGGGCATTTTCCAGTTCTATTTTATTTTTTTTGTGCTACTATTATTTGCAAAAAAATGAAAATTAAAATAAAATAAAGTACTGAAGGAGGAGTATTATTAATATTTATGTTTTGCCTTCATCTCCCATGTTATAGTTATGTTTCAAATTTGTCTGTTTCGGCGGTTGTAAGTCTCAACCTCATAAAAAAAGTAGTGGTGGAGGCTCCGGCCGCGGTGGTTGGCTGGCCGCTGGCTGGCTGTGTAGAGTGGAGAAAGGGATGTACTAATAATAATTATACAATTCCTCCATAATAATAATAATTGTATGTGTTTCCTCTTTGAGCGGTTTAATTAATAGGCTGGCCGATTAAAGAGTCGGCAATATTTTGCATAATGATTGGATCAAAATGTTACTACTTCCATATACTTACTTTGATTAATCTTGTCACATCTCTGGTTATTTTCTGATACAAAAATTATGTAAAATCATAAGTAGACGATAATTATTAATTATCATTCGATTTGTTAGTGTCTTTTTTTTTTATGTCTTTATTCTCACTTCATAGATTAGCTAGCTAAAGAGGCTGCTTTAATTGATAAAAAATCAATTTAGGGTAATAAGCTGTAGGTTTGTTTGTTGGGTAGTTCCTGAGACATGCTGCTAGCTAGGAGAAGAGAATATTTTTGAGGACTTTAAGAGGGAACCGTATTATCCCTAAAACTTTGATTAAAGTTTGACAAATGTTCCATTTTTAAGGATAATGAGAGTCGGTTGATAATTGCTTTTGACTTTAACAAGTATATTAGTTGAAATTAAGCACTTAATAACATGCAAGTGTTACGTTAGTGTTGTCTTTTTGACGTTGTTCTCATCAACCAACATTATCTTCCATCTTTTGTCGTAATTTAACAATTGATACGGATGTTGAAACATTCTTACTTATCACTCTATTAACAAGATAATTATTTGGAGATATATAGGGTATGCAATGTTTTAATTACTTATTGAATCAATAGTCGAAGTTACTTTGAAGTTGTGCAAGTTCTTACAAGTCTCTTGAGTAAAAAGTTCTTGCTCTAGAAAGAAAGGGCACTGACTTTTTCAATATACTTTAATTTGATCATAGGGTATAAATGAAAACCGAACATTATGTACCTAGAGGCCAAAATTACCTACGAAGCTTTACTAATAACGTTTTCTTAATACCAATTCAAAGTCCTATTGTTTTTTCTCCCCCCCCCCCCACCCAAAAAAAAAAAAAACCTATATTAGATCGATGAATATGGTTCTTTGTTTGGGATTGAAGACTAATGTTTTATTGAATCTATTACAGACAGACCGCGCAAAAGAGAGGGGGTGGAAATTATATAGGGAAAGCGTGTAAAAAGTGAAAAAAAAAAAAAAAAAACCCCCTAATTGGGTCCGGGAGATGCATGTGAGCATGTAAAACCCTATTTATCTTCAAGTATAAGACCGAATTAATGCATGCAAGAATAATGTTACGGATTTAAATTAAAACCAGCTGCACCTCTGTAATAATTAATTAATAGAGCCATGCATGCGTATATATTCTATTATTGCTGATGCATTTCGAAAAATAGGTTTGAAAGAAGACTCATTTTCTTTCTTAATCCCTCTGGATAATGATGATGCCAGAAGTGTCTGAAAATTTGATCCTAAAAAGCACGCAGTTAGTGACCATGCAAACCCACAAAAATATAAGAGGTAAAACCTTCAAATGAAAAGGGGCAACAATAAAGGGAGAGAATATTGGATAGACCATTATTGTATCACAAAAATTACAAAGCAGACTAATTTATATGTACAACGTTCACATCCGTTTCAAAATAATTATATATATATATATATAATGTTGTACTTTAAAAACGTGACAATATGATTAACTCTTTGTTTAGTATACCAAAAATTGGCAATCATTTCAAACACAGAAGTATTAAACTTCAGAACAACTTAAATGTCTATACTCTGTATGAGAAAAATTGGTTCTCTTAGTCATTAAACCTTTCAAACTTGGAAATCTATGGAGCTTTTCTACCGGGTGTATATGTACAAGATAAAATACGTATATCGGGGTAAAATTTCACCAACCAAAAAGTGTAATTGATTTAGAGTGCTCCTAATGAAAGGCTGACGAAGTCACAAAGATCTTTGCAAAGTGTGATAAAAAAAATAAATTAAAAAAGTTTTGGTGAATCCTGAAAAGATTAATAAGCATCATATTACATAATTATTACGTGAAGGTGAAGCATCATTAATATCAATAACTTGATGCTGCGTAATGTGATATCCTTTTATATATATATATATATATATATATATATATATCATATTAATATTTTTGGCATAATGGCTTCTTATCACGTACTCTCGTGTGAAACATGTAAAGGCTACGCCAGGAAAAAAATTATAAATCATCTGATAACAAGTTTATAGTGATTCTTGGTGTGTGACAATCGACCATGAGTTATCGTCATAAAAATAATAGTAATGATAATAAAAAGATTGATCGCAAATGTTTATAATTAATAATAGCTTGAATATTAGAACATCATTAATCTAGTGGGAGAAAAAGATTGAAAAATGATTGATTCCTATAGTTATATCATTTTAATTATTAAAATAAATATGACCTCGTCTTTTTTTTAGATGGGAAGGAGCATTTAGTTACCCTAATGAATGGATTATTTCATGCAATTGGGTTTGGATTAGAAAACGAAAATGCATGCATGAAATAGGAAGCGGTTCCATCCTAGATGCCCTGGGTAGTAGGGGATTTGAATTCTTATCAGAGCGATAGATAGACACACGTTAGCCAAGCATTACCACTAATTAGTGATGTTAAATCTCTCTTCTTCTTTGCTTTTAATTAACTCTCTTGATTGACACTTTGATAGCCTCAGGTCAACTAACTTCTGGGTCAAATCTCATTGTTTTCCATTTACCCCTACATACTCTATACATACTAGATCGTTTAGCCTTTTGGAATAAATTGCATTTATCGCCAAACAGTGAAAACCAATAATAAATCAAAGTGAATATATTCAACTTGTAAAATGACTCAGCCGATCCATTAATTATTTCCTTCACTATGATAATATATTCTCGAGGACTTATTCAGATCGTAAAGCTAACTATATGCTAATACTACATATTTGACAATTACCGTGAGACGGAAGAAATATAAAATTATGTTTACGTAAACTTAAACTTGATATAATCACAGCCCGTCAGACATGAACACGTTTGCATGGAGAATATGAGAATAGGAGGAACATCTTGTCTAACTACTAAAAGCATGAAGATTAGATTTGAGCTGGCACGAACCGTTTAACCACTAAATCAGTTTTTGATTATGCCAAATGGGAATGGGATGAATATTTCTAAGCAAGCACAAACCAAACCAACCCATGATTAAGTTTCCTCAACCAATGCCCCTCGCAGTGCTAAATACACTTACTTTTCCGATCGAATTTGTGCCATTTGTGATTGTTTAGTGTTTACTCGACTAATTATTATATTGTTGTAACAAACAACACCTATCAAACGATTAGCAGCGCTAGCTACTGCATGGGAAAAAAAAAAATCCAATTGCAACCAACAGAACTTTTAGAAATGACAATGTCGAATCCAAATATACTCCTTCCGTCCTATAATTATTATCCATTTTAGGTTTTCATTTTTAGTTCAACTTATACTAAAAGTGAAATCTCAAACTGGACAATAATTTTGGGACAGAAGGAGCAGCACATAAACACGTCAATTCATACACCTGTTGGTAGCAATGCATAGAAGCATGTAGTTTAATTAATTGTTATGAAATCATATGATTGATTTGATCTCAATTACAACAATATTAAAAGTTAATGATTGAGATAACGATAAAATTTAAGTTTTGTGTTAAATAATATATCCATAAAACCAATGATCATATATTAGTAAGGTATTCTTTTTTGTTACTATTTATGTCTTTGCCCGGTCCGGTGTTTCATATAGAATCCAATCGAATTTACATTAAGATCAATTAATATGACATATTTAATTAAAAGATGAAATCGCCAAAATAATATAAAATAAAGGGAACGTATTCGATCGATCTCTTTCAATCAAAACATCATTTCATTTTCAAAATGAAGTAGAACATCTCTAGAAGGGGGGGATTTAAAAAGGAAAAAGACGTGAAAGATCAAACGCACGCTTGGCTCAATCGACATAGCTATGTAAATGATAGATTCTTGAAGAGAAGTAATAGGCTTTTTCCATTAGGAAGAGTAGCTTAGCTAATACTAGCTAGCTAGTCAAGTAGAAGAAGATGAAGGAGAAGAAGAAGAACATGGTAGGTCCAATTTCAAAGACTTGAGAGGGGTGACATGCAAAATGCAATGTACTATAAACATATACTAATATCGTATCTTCTTTTTTTTTTTCCCTTCTTAAAATTATAAAAATTAAGACTCCTTAACTAATCCTTTCTCATAATTAAGACATGGATTTTCGGATAAGCAAACTGTCGCACATGCGACCCTTTTGGTGTTTGGACTTTGGACCACTAAATTGCCGACTGACTCAGCAACAGGTGTATTCCTATGTGATCATTTATTTTCTTTCAAAACTTTGGCCCCCTAAATACACTATCAATTTTTCTTAATTAGACTAATTAACTTCTCTCTATTCTTTTTCCTCTCTTTTTTGAATTTTTGCTGCAAGTAATAATGTACATTACACTTCTTGATAATTGGTTGATTAGTGGTTGGAGCCCTAATTCTCTATCATAAACACCGGAATTTTAAAAGAAAAACTCCCTCTGTCCGAAAAGAAAAAAAAAAGTTTACATTGAATTTTTAATTTTGTATTATTTATAGTACAAATTTAAAAATTTAATATAGTTTTTTTTTAAAAAACAGATGAAATATAACTGATTGACAAAAGTTTAGTTACTGGATCTAAGTGTCTCTAATTCAATTATTTGTTACAAAGTCTAAGCCATTGGCCATTGCACATAACAATGCAATTGTTTTCGAAATCAAACAAGTTGATAGTAAGTTGAATTTCTTTGTCGAACAAATTGAGTGTCGGAATTAGACATTCTGCATGCACACAAGCATTTCGAATGCTTGTCAGCTGGTTTCTTTTTCTCACCTATGGATGATGATGGATTTAGTTAATTTAATCAAACAATAATGCATGGATTTGATACGATGTAGTGCAATAAATGCAAATACAACGAACAAAAGAGTTGTTCTACGTACATGGCTACTGCCTAGTGATATCGCAAGCCCCGCCAAAAGTTTTAGATCACTATAAATAATGATGTTTTTAACACATCAATGTCATCATGCTTAATTACGTATTCGTTTCTTCTACTATTGCTGACAATCATTGGCATGCAACTGCCGATGAAGAAATTTTGCAGTAAAAGAATAATTTTGAAAGTTGTAATTAATGCAGCAGAAGATTGGTTCTTACTAGTTAGTAGTAGTATATAAATTTGACGTTCTAGATCATTTTTTTTTATTTTTATTTTAAATATTAATTTTAGTATAATAAACTATATATAATTGTTTATGGAGATATGGGTAGATGATTTGGTTAGGTTACTGGTAAATGTTTTCCTGCCCACTCTGGTTCTTTTATGGCAAACACAAAAGTAAACTATAAATTCTCTAGATGTAGACTGAAAGTAGAATGGAATCAGATTGTGCTTCTTCAAAATAAATAATTTTTTTTTAAAAAAAAAAAAGGAAAAGAAGAAGAAGGAGGAGTAATGATCGTGCACAATTACTACTAAATACTTCAATTTATGAAAATTTTGGTCTTATAAGTCAGATTTTGCAATTGTCTCCTGTTTTTGTTTTCATCCTCATAAAGTAAGCCTACACGGTGTTTTGAAAAATTCTTTACCTCCTCTGAAAGAGATTGCAGCGAGGTAGCGGAAAAAGGCAAAAGAATACCATAAATTTCAAAACATTGAATAGAAAGTAATGACAGAACGAGCAAATCTAAAATTCTAAGAACTTCTAACTGATGAAAAAGGCTCTTCCCAGTTCCTTATATTCCTTTATGGAGTACAAATAGTCCAAGCTACAACAAGCTTTAGCATTTCTATCAATACAAATGCATGTTGCTTTCTATTCACATGGGCAATTGCTATATAGACAAATAGCATTCAATACAATGATTCCTACAAAGGTCATTATCATGAATTTCAAAATCTCATTCCAATAATCAAAAGAGAAAGAAAAGAAGCAACTTTTTGTAAAAGTTCTATCAGAATCATTGACGTCATCTACTACTGTGTTCATCTGAAGATGAATACGAAGCTGTGTCGTCCGTTGCTGAGTTTGAGGTAGTATCCAGAAGGCTTTCAGTATCAGATGATCCTTCTAAAGGTTGTTTCAAGTACCAATACATAATACTCGCTGTCAACGTCAAGATCATCTTCTGGTTCACCTAAAAGTACATATCATTGTTGCATCATTAGTATAGATGCACATGACCAGCAGCCGAAAGAGATGATGTCATGTTTAATGCAAATGCAACTATGTGCAACTGAGGACCAGCTGAAGAACCAGTCCCCTGTTTATCAGAGACTGCTGAAAAAGAAAGTTCTGTTGCTTTGTAGAAGGAAGTAATTAATATAATGTTCTTGCCAACATTCTTGATGTAGGATCATAGCAATGAAAGGGCATGACATGAAAAAGGCAAGAAAATGCAAAATTACCTCTATCAAGTCTTCAGGGAGTAAGAATATCGAGCATCCAAGTTTCCGTGCAATGCTAATAATATATGTTGCATTCATCCTTTTCTCGTCTTCTGTAGTGTTCAAATAGAAGTTCGGTGAGGTTCAACATAAGCAATATTGAGATTTAACAACTTTCACATATAAAACTGTATATATCAGTGGCTGCTTTATAACTATCTTAGAGACCTATTTCAAGAATTTCACCACCCTATGTCCAGAAAGTAAGAACATTGCATCAGCAAAAGTTCTTGAGAAAAATCAGATATCCAATATAACAATACAATAATGCTCAGCAATAATCAAATGTTAAGGACTTTTGTCTGACAAGCTGCAACGTGTACACACAAACTAATTTTAAGATGCTCTATATTCTAGTATTTATACACATCAGATATCCTAGAGTTTATAGGCATCAGAAACCCCCTTGTGGAGAGACTAATTTTAGGCATTAAACTTGATTCTATCTAAAATAAGAGCTATGTGTGTATCATTCGCTACTCACAACTTAAAAATCTCCCCAGAAGAAGTCATTGCTTAGAGCTAATTATGAATTCCTTGTCAAATTAGAGTGATGCCAACTGGTTAAAGGTGATCTTTATCTTCCTAATAGATGGAAACAATCAGCCTGTGGAAAATAAAAGGAAATCAGAACTAACACTTACCAGTTACTCCTTTTGTAACAAGACTCCAGTTAACAGCTCGGGGTTGTACAGCACTAAGCAACTCAAGGAAAAAGATGCCATCTGACAAGGTCCTATCCTGCAAGTGAGACATTCTCATTAGTCATAACCTAATGAACTAAATCGTAAGTAATCTCAACCATAGAAGTAAATCATTTGCGTGTAACAACATTTCAGTTTCAACTCAACCAAAGATGGAGTAATAAAACATGGAACAGTGAGGACGGAGCAGGTAATTCCGTTGTAACAGATTGGAGAAATTACTGACTCCCACACATAAGTGGAAAAGTTATGATGTCTGTCATTTATGCATTGACATTTTGTAAAACATACAGCCTAAGTAACTAAGCAAACCGGCGGAAACTGTCGAAATAATACACTGGAGGATGGGGAGAAGTTCTAGGAGTTTTACCTTGAAACTGTCCATACGACAGTTGCTTCCCGAATTCTTAACTTGGATATTAGCCCACTCTAAAATGTCAACATCTGTGATTTCTTTTCCATGAGAATGAAATCTCAAGTTCTTCAGAAGCTGAAGCATGTTACATCTCATCAGCTGCCACAGATAAGCTGAAAATGAATTGAATACCTTCGTGTTAAGAACAAATAAAAAATTTTCTGGGAGGTAATGCATAAAAATGTGTAGAAACTTCATAGCTATCAATTATACAACATTTTGTTTACTGGAAGAACATGTCTAAAAGAACAACATGTCTTTTAAGATGTAAATGTGAAGGCCACGTACCAAGTATCAGTTTCTTATTTCCTTGAACAATATCGTTTCCAGCAATATTCACCAGTGAAAACTTCAACTGTTTCCCAATCTTGACAACTTGGTTGCAATTTTCGACTTTTCTGAATGGCATCTTGATTGGAGGTTTGGAAGCAATTTTCCAGTTCACTATTCCAGGAGACACCTTGTCAAGCGTCTCCAAAAGAAGCCATCTGCAGACAGACAATCAACTTAGAGCATGAGAAAACCGATAGCAAAAGCAAAGCCTTTTGGTGCATATAATTGTTACATGCATCAGGTGCACAAACACACAAAAAAATCAAGAACAAAAAGTTACTTCTCCTGTTGCATGGTTGCATTTCAAAGTCAGCATCAATGCAATGATATGTAAACAGAGTGATAATGTTTGGGTATCAAGGTTTCCAATTCGGAGGAAGTAAAGGGATAGCAAATGAGTAACTAATACCTTTTCAAAAAAAAAAGTAACTAATATTGAGGATACTTACCCATTTCTTAAATCTTCAAAAATGTTATCTATATAGACTGAATTTCCCAGACTATTTAACCAAAGTCGAAAAGATTTCTCCTCTCTGGATATTTGGGTATCATCTGGTGAAGTTTCAAGAAAAGATATTTTTTTTGCTTGAGTAGAGAGACCATTCCTGCAGTCAAAGGTTGATTAGGTTAATAATTTCCCACATATTGGCTGGTTCATACCAAACTACTGGCAGTTTATCAACATATACTTGATGCAAAAGCGTCCCTTGATTATAAAACTTACTTAATACAAGCCCGGTGTAGACACCTGTTTACTCACCTATGCTGAAAGATATGAGCCACAAATGCAAGATTAAGATTCGGAGATCCTTCAACGATATCCTTTGGTGTTATGTATCTCTTCAACCCCATTCTATCAGCATGCTCCAATACAAGCTTGGCTCTTTCCAAAGAATCTTTTGCAGCTAATGTGGATGGATTACTGTACTCTGGAGCGAGAACATTCAAAAGGTGTGCATAAGCCTCAGCATCCTGCAGTTAAAGCATATTACTATTGCATGTATTTTGTGAAATATCCACCAGAATGGCAAAAACAGGACAAAAGTTCTTCAGCAGAAACACTTGAATTATCAATACATTTATGTCGTGACTAAAGCTTATGAAAGAATACTGATATCATAACGTTAAATTTGTGCTTGTTTTTCGCTTCTACGACATCAGTAACAAGGTAAAACCATGATGTCCACTTATATCCGACAAATTGGCAAAGTGAGAAGGTAAATTGGCTTTTGTGAAAATAGTAGACAGCTTCTATGTGGCAATCCATTATACTAGGAGTGCAAGGCATCACCAAACACATTCAGAATATACTGTAGAATACCATATTACTCCTTGTACCTTTACATCGGAGGAGAAGTTTGTGACTATCTTTTGGTATCCTGCTTTCCTTAACTGAAAATTCATCCAACGTAACAGAATCTTTTCTGGAGCCAGACTCATCAACTCCTCCACATCCTAAAATTGAAAGAAATAAAGAGAAAAAGCATTAGAAATTCTGTCTCATATGAATAGAAACAAACCACTTTGTGAAAGAATCATCTTCACCTTACTATCATCAACCAACTCCACCAGTTGTGGTGTTTTCTTTAAATTGAGATCAGCTAGTAGTTGTATCTGTATATACATGAATTACAAAACTTTTTAGTGAATGCATGGGACATAAAACTATACTAAAAAAATTAGTATAGGACTATACTTTTTAGTGGATATAGAACTAATGATCATCAGTTTAACAAGCTACAAGTAGGATCTAATGGAAGTCATTTTATAAACTTGAACAGCAATATGGGGATATTCTGAACTTGGTGAAATAGAATAATATTTAGCTTTAGAAGTTTACCTTTATGATTTGTGATATTAATCCAAGCACGAGATGCCTCTGTCAATGGCAGCAAGCATACAAAGTTAATAAGATCCTCCAAAGGTGAAAAAAAGTCAAATTATCTATGTTAGGCCATGGAAATACCACTGCAATTCAGAACAATTTTAAAATCATAATAAACTGTTTGCTGGGAAAATGCATACCCTTCCTTCAATGAAGTCTTCATTTCCAATGTTAACTACAGTGCACCCAATTGCCTTGGCAGAGTTGAGGCAAAGGGTATGGTTCTCATTTCTCTCCCACGGATTGAGTATTCTCTTAGTATTAATCGCCCGCTCATCGATTGTCCCTGGCACTGCCACATTAATGAGCTTACTGCATGGGAAAATCAAAAGCAAGAGATGTCACAATGACATTGATATATGATTATATTCAGGAATATTGGAGGTAAAGCATGTAAGAAGTGGTAGTCACCAGATAAGAACTCCATCTTTGGCAATCTCAAAGAGGTCATTGGTTGAAGGATCAATTGGAAGGTATTTGTTGAGAAATTGATCCTCCGCTAGATAATTATTAATGTGTGCAACATACGATGCCTTCTCAGATTCACTGATTGTGTGAAGTAAGGTAGAAGTCGGAGACTTGAGGAAAGCTGATGAAGTCTTTACACCACTTCCCATTCTCGCAGCGGCGTGGGCTTGAAGCTTTAGATAAACCTGCCACATAAGACGCATTTCTATTTGAGCGAGTCTTGCAGACTGGACATTAAAACATGTCAAAAGCTTTATAAGGCAAACTTTAATTTTCAGACAATTTAAAAAGTAGCATCAAATAAATTACTATTTATCATTCAGTTTTCAATGTTTTTGGAGCTCAACTTTATCAGAGTAAATTTCTGCTAATCATCAAGACAATACCAGAGATGCATCAAACGAAGACATGAAAAGCTGACCAAATTTGATATCTATAGATTTACAAGAAAAACAATCAGTTCTTCAAGCGGAAAACAAGAAAAAAAGAAAAAGCTACAAGCTCAAAAGTTTCTCTGTTGTATCGAAAACAAACTTTCTGGACCTTCAAACTACAGTAGAAAGAATGATCCTGCTGTCTTCACTAAAAGTGACTTTATGATATCAATTATCAAACCTAGTATACACATACTGTGAAACTCCTTACCCGAAGGAAAAATTCGAAATCAACGTCGTCATCCAAATTCTCGTAAGAATCTCGAAGAAATGCAGCTCTTTCTTCCTCGGTCAGATTTTCTCCAACATGCTTCAATTTGCACATTTTGGCAGGCAAGTCGGCGAGCTTTAGACCTCCTCCGTTTTCTCTTCGGATCGTCGAAAACTACAAAATACAAACTGAACTTGATCAAAATCGCGTCAGAGCCTCAACCACTCCTCAGTAATTAAACAAACATCAAACAAGCAAGAAACAAAAAAAAAACATTAACTACCGGAAGTACGGAAACTTACCTGAGATTTCAAGGTACGAAGCTCCACCTGAGTGAACTGATTCTGCAGCCATGGATCTGATACTAACACGCCAACATAACCAGCCATTAGTGATACACGGTACAGAATTCAAGCTCTGAATTCTGCTTGAAATCTCGAAATTGAAGCAAGACGATGAGGAATTCGGTGGAAATGAATGCTTAAATTAAAAAAGGAGGAGGAAAATCAAAATTGAGGAAACAAAGGCCTAACAATATGGGGACGGGAGCAGAGCTGTCAGGAAGAGGGAGGTGTTGGGAAAACTTAGTAGAGAGAGTGTGTGAGGGAGGGTGGGGTTTGAAGTGAAGAAGCCATTGGAAGAGGATTCAAAATATGACCATTTTGTCCCTCTCAGTTAACCGTTTGAATTAGTGAGCAGGAAAGGAAATGAAAAAGGCCCCAAAAGCCAAAGCCTTCGCCTTTTGAACTCTAATTAATTATTATTCTTTAATTTTAATTCTACTTAAAACATTCATATTACAGAGTGACATCATCACAATCGCCATATTAACGCTACTCAGCTCAATTTACTACAAAACTGAAAAAGTGAAAAGTTGGTTAATGAAGTTTGTTAAGTTGTAATCTATAACCAACCATTTACACCCTAATTATAATTGCATTCACACGGAACATATTTTTTAGTTTTTTTTTTTTTTGTTAACTTAACCATTTAAATTATAAATATTCCGAATTATGCTTCTTCTGTTTTTTTTTTTCTTTTTGCGAACAAATGCCTTTGTTTTGATTTTATAGCTTTTGCTTCAAACTGTGTTGTGTTGTGTTGTGTGAACAAAAGTTGCCTTCAAATTTTTACGGAAAAAATTACATAAAAATCATATAACCTAACATACTATTCTCTCGTCCCACAAAAATAATTCACATTAAGTTTTGAGCTTTTACTGTTTTTAGTATAAATTTGAAAACTCAATGTGGACTATTTTTTTTAGGACGGAAGTAATATATCGCAAATGGTCCCATTGAAAAGCGATTTTTAACATAGTATTCAAACATTGGGACTTATGGTAGCACGACATATTCTATATCGAAAATTTGGATTATTGTAACACAAATTATAAACAACATGTATTTAATTTTTTTAATTGGATTCGGTTTCTAATAAAATTTGTTGGTGTATGGACATGGATTTTGGCTCTTTGGTGTTTTATCCTCGAAATAAAAATTTTCAACAACTTACTTTTAGCAGTATAACTAAGTGAATTGGATACAAACTTTAATTCAAAACTTATATTTTAAACCTTTTTCAATAATTTCCCAATATATTGTCATGTCCAAGTCCTACTACTTTGTGTTAAAGTCACCTTGGGCTTCTATCTCAAAACCAATTGGTAATGAGCAATGAGTGGGGTGGCCTTTGACACTTATAAACAGCTACTTTATTTGTATCAAAATCACCTTGGACTTTTATCTCAAAACTAATTGGCAATTAGTGGGGTGGCCTTTGACACTTATAAACATGTGCCAGGTCATTCACGATACTGATGTGAGATTCTTTGTCCCAACATCCTCCCTCAAGCCCAATGGAGTATTTGGCCCATTGGAGTTGTACAATACAATATACAACAAGTCTGTACACACGGGTACATACTCCGGATATACTGCCGGATCAGTCCACCCATGCGCACGGAAGCGATTGACGCAAGCCCAAGGTACACCCATACGCACGATAGCGATTGACGCAAGTCCAAAGCACACGGGTCCAAACCCACACATGCGGGTCTATAGCTATCACATGTTCACAGATCGTAGACTCTGATATAATGTCAAAGTTACCTTGGACTCCCATCTCAAAACCAATTAGTAATGAATAGGGTGGCTTTTGGCACTTATAAACAGGTGACAAATCATTCACGACACTGATGTGAGATTCTTTGTTCCAACATTTTGCATTACTTTTAATTCAACCATCAAAGGGGTCATAGTTGGTAGTTAAACTATTGTTTTTCACCTACTAAGTTGATGAAATTGGTGATTATAATTATTTATTGTAAACGCGTTGTTATCAAAACAAAAAAGTAGAAAAAATGATAACTCATTTTACAAATTCCCCAGAAGTTAACGCAAAAAGAATAATGATACTAACCAAAACAATATACTAATTAAAATAAATTAAACTGTCTACCTTTCCACTTTCCGAGTAATAGAAGCATTGATTACTGAAATAATCATTGTTATTCTTAAATAAACTACTAAAAGCAACTGTACTAGCAAATTAACGTGATAGTTTTGGCCTTTGGTTTGTAATACTTCAACTTTCAAAACTCACCAAAATAAAAACAATATATATCGATGGTAATTATTTTGGGACAAAAAATTGTTATTGTATTACAATGAAATAATCAAAAGTTTCAAAACTATCAAAATAAAAATAATATTTATCAATGGTAATTATTTTGGGGAAAAAAGTAATAAAATAGTGTATTACAATGAAATAATCAAGTATGCACACACATTCAGACATTCCCTCCCCAACTGGTTACAATTATAGCTCAATTAGCCTGAGTCATATTCAAAATAGATAAATTAATCGTAAAGGTCCAGGTTGCGTGCAATTTGTTTTGGTTCTAAGCTATTAAAGTAATCTGGTACGTGACCAGCCTGCTTAAGCAAATTTCAAAAACAAAATACTATTAAAATAAAAAAAGTGAAGGGGAAGAAGGGTAAATTGGTCATTTTGAAACGAAGAGGTCCACATTGAAAAAAGAATATCTGCTTTATAAAAAGTTTTGAATTTTAATTGAAAGTTTTGAACCCCATGAGAGAACGGCTCTTTTTTGGTATGGATTGTCACATTGGTTACAACTTGGAATTATTGACTGAATGAACTACTATTACGTCTACAGATCACTGAAAGTGACTCATTGGAACTACCATTGCTGCCAAAAATTGAATTTTAGGATCAAACCCTCTCCCCTTGTTTTATTTATCTTCCTTCTTCCAATTATTGAAAAGATTGCACGGCCGTCCGTATTGGGCTTATAAGAAAGACGGCATAATTTGGATTGTATGAATGGATGATTTTTATAGAAGTTTTCACATAATAGAGTGAGTGAATTCGTTTGGTTGAATAATTTATCCGTTGTAGGTAATACACACCATTAAGATCCTTTCTTACCAGATAATTCAAAAATTTTCCTTCGATGAACATTTTTTTTTTTTTAATTCTTACAACATTGTTATGACATTACTGATAATAAAAATTATTTACGGTCTCTATCATCATTACTGATGTAAATTAATGCGTATGCGTCATAGTTTTATATTGGTATGTCACTCTCACTTAATCTGACAAGAACTTGAAATATTCAGTGGAATGCCAATATTTGGACAAAATAAGTGAATTAACACTTCATATTTATTCGGCATTTACATAGCATTATTTATCAATTGAAAAGATATAGACCAGCCTAAAAGGTTGGAGATCCTGCCGACCAAGATAATCTCGATTACGATGTTTCTATATTTAGTCTGAATTAGAGGAATGTATAAGCAATCGGATACGATGATCAAAAAAAAAAAAATTGTGAGGGGCATGGAATATGATGGATTATGGATACTAATAAATGCCATACGTGACCCAAAATTTTTTCTTTTAAGTTAATGATAATAATGCATTTGTTGGCAGTATAAAGTTACGTATATAGTAGTGTGCATAGCTGGGAAGCAATTATACTCAAAATCAGCAGCTCACGTGGGCAATGCTAGCCCTGCTTTCTTTTTTTCTCCGTGATACCACACGAGATATACGTGGGGAAACCTGGGTCAGACGCCTAGGAGCCGGCCGGGCCAAGTAGGAGATACGGTTGCACTAACTCGTACGCGATACTTTTTCTGTGTCAAAATAACGTTTGTGTTTAATTAAAACGGTCAACCTCTTTTTGTCTTAGAATTACGTTTGTGTTTAATTGAAACCGTCTACCAATTTCGGCTCTTTTCTTTTCTACTTAGAGGCAGGAGGAAGTATAAGCATTATCTTCTTAGAATCATAACCAGAACATAATTCATGGAGACTATTTTGCAACCTTTTTTACACACCCATAGCATAAGCAAATAGAGGAAGGATTGTTTTGAGAGATTACAAATTATGTGCGACTTTAAAGTTATAATAGAGGACAGGTAGGTCCGGTAAACACATGGGTTTCCACTCTCTGGTGATTTGATCTCGAGTGCTATTCATCATTGCTTTTGATTGGACCCGAATGAGAAAGTTCATTTAGGTCCATAATACACCTCCATTTCTCAACTGAGCGACTCTCTTATGATCTTGTCTACAGTTAAAATAAGACTCCATTTAGGATCCCTTCTTTGGGAAAACGACAACAAGATGGACACTATAACCTTTAATAATCTTAGATGATTAGGCTTAGGTAGGTAGTCAAATCTTACACCAAAGCTCAAGACAATTTCTGTTCACCACTAATTTTAGGACCAAGGCAAATTAGTAAGGCAGTCAACCTAGAGAACACATTGATTACAAGAAGAACCAGTTTTACTTTTAACAATGATTCTAGAATCCTCTTTTTTTCCCTTTCCTCTTGCCTTCCATGGTAAAAGCTTCCTTTCTACTAATGAAAAGCAGAAAAAGATGGCTGAATATTTGAATCAGATGTCTCTTTTCTGATGATCGTTTATCGGTTTATCTTCTATATTCACTTGATGTTTACTTGTACCACAAAGCCTATTCCGAAGGTTCAAGAGCCCCTAGCTAATACCTAAACACACAGCACCCGAACCTACAAAGAGCATACATAAATCGGTCACACAGTGAAACTATTGTGTTAACTCAAGAATTGACTTGACAGAAAACCGAATCCGGATTTGGCGCAAATTACCTCAAGCCACTATTGATGGGGCAGCCAGAAAGTGATGAGATCCTTAAGTCTGTAAATGAACTTGCAAAGTACCATAGCAAAGACCTCAGAGTAATTGTTGGCGTCAGAACTTTTGGTAAGAGGGACTAAAATGCGATTTCTTGAAGGATTTCTAGAGTATTCTGGTGAACCTGGAAAGCCAAGTTTATGAATAGGAAAAATCAGACTGACAATACTATAATCCCAAGAAGTTGACAATGGCATACTAACATGTAAGGATATTCTTCCTAATATAACTAAATCAAAGCAAATCACGGCATTCTTTTATGAAGTACTAAACCATATTAGCAGCCTAGCAGGCAGCAACTGGTCAACATCTCAATCAAGAAAGATCCCAGAGGATATATTCATCACGCGGGAGAAATAATTCCATAACAACCATCAGAAGCAGAAATGCCCACTTACCCACTCTAGTTGCTGCGCGGTGATGCCAGAGACGTTGCCTGCATATATCCCACCTAACACCTGCAAGCAAGAAGAGATGGATCAAATATAAAACAAACATCTGTGCTTGTTAATATAAAATGGAATTCTGGGTTACTTCCAGGCTTGTAAGCAACTTAAACATAATGTGATCCCTAATGACTCTAAAACTTCCATCTGCAAAGCCTAATGATCCATGCAATTGGACATACCTTTGTCACAGTCTCAAGAAACATGCCAGGGCGAACAGGTAATGGTTTGATACCAGAAACACTACCCTGAATAACAAAGTTAGAAGCATAAAATATATTTCACAAAGACTGACAGTCTAAGACATTTTAGACAAAATATAAACGTTTCCAGAAAATCTCACCTTCCCTGCAATGCCATTTGAGATCCTACTCCCTGAGGGATTCTTTTTACTACAAATGAAATCTTCAGCACCCTCTTCATTTCCTTGCATAACCTTTTTTATCATCTCACGGACAGTTTTCCCTGGTCTTAAAGCAACGATCTTGGTCAAAAAGTTTACCTGCATCATTATACACTGTGAGATTCAAATGGTTTTCAGCCAAGCGAAGCAGAACAAAAGTCCGATTCAATTCCAGGTATTAAGCCAACAATTAAATGGAAATGGAATCTTGAGGATCGAGTAAGGTACATGAAATATGAATCAAGAGCAAAATGACCTCTGATTCAGGAAGCGTACTAAAACCACGACCATTTCTTTCATCTAGAATCCCACCCCCCATCATGTTCCTTGCTTCTTCTCGTATCAAAACAAGCCTTGCTAGCAATTTGCGATCAGGAATGGTAGGTTGGGTCTCCATCGACTGCAAAGTGCCGATTAGCAAAACAGCTAAACACTTAGTAACTGCTGCTCATACTATCTCTCAACTTTTGCAACTCATGTTCTCTTGAAGAGTATCATCATTAAAATAAAAGGCCCTAATATCATCAACTAGGCCAGATTCGTTCAAGTCTTATTCATTGATGTGAACTATGAGTCTCCTGACAAAGTACAACAATAACATTTACAATTATGTGGGATTGGTCAATACATCACATTATGCCACTAAAGCAATCATGTTGTCAACATACATGTTCTCATGAAGGTTTCAGCGAATCAATTCCTATTGAGTAGTTTCTTTCTAAAGCCTTTTGGATCTTTCAACCTAATGAAGAAGTGACAGCAGAAAATAGCCACACACACACACACAAAAAAAAAATAATGCTAACCAAATGTTTAACATATTAAAATAAATAAATATTACCTCCAAAAGATCATCAGCCTGGTTAGCTATTTCGTTCAGATTCGCTGCTGGAAGGTGAACTTTTGTGCCACCGTTAGCACTTTGAAACACACCACCCCCGGCTGCTACTCGCCTGAGCAGTTCCTGTCTACTTTCTTTAGCAGGAGTTCGGCAGAGCAAGCCTACTACTTGGACCTATACACATAGTATACCTGAAGCTTTTAGTTATCCACCAATTTTTGTGAGTGAGACAAGGAATAAAGGGTAACTATAGTACACTCACATGTGGGGGGCATTTTTTTGTAAGATGAGATAATACGGTCTCCTTTATCACCTCCAGAAGTGACTTGCGCTGAAACAAAAGTTAAATGGCATGTTCAGTAAAATGCAAACTATGATATCATGAAACCCAATAACCTCTATCCTAAGATATATCCAATAATGAGGCCTGAAGCTATCCTCAGCAAGGTATGATTCAAGCATAGCATGAATAATATAGTCAACTAATGAAACCATTCGAACTAAATCGAGGAAAGCAGATGAAAAACATTGAGTCATTACTTTATAATCCTTGTCTTTTTCAGCAATCTGGATCATGTAATCAAGGGCCATCATAAAGCCTGTTTCCATTTCATCAACTCGCTTCCCAATAACTCCTTGTGCAGCTAGTTGCACAGCCACATCCTCAGAAGCTTCATCCATATTCATGTCATCCAACTGTTGGAAACATGCACCCATCAGACATATACTCTCTTAATTTTAACAAAGATTCCATTCAGGAGACTGGTGGAAATTATATCCAAGGTTATGCTTATAAATAGCACAACAGGAAGTTCACCAGGTTGAATATAAACCTTAGATTCGAGACAAAACTGGACTAAAATAGGATATTTTAGTAGACTTGAAAAATCACAGTGCAGAGAAAAGTTAACCGCCACCACAAAGACAAATGCCGCAATAGGATTAATACTCAGGATGAAACTACATAAAGAATTATGAGACTGAAACACAGGCAATATCAGCACAAATCATAAAGGCTCTAAATTGTAAGATCATGGCAACAACTATCAGGGCTACTGGAATTCTACGGCAGCTTGAATGCAGAGACTCAATCATGTAATCAGAATTGAGCTTTAATCATCGAAACACACAACTTCAAATCACTTCAACTTCCCGTACCAAAAGGAAACCAAAACTAAACCCAAAAATTTGAATTGGGGTTTTGGGGGTTAAGGTTTTAGGAGTGGGTTTAACGGATTATATTCATATGTTTCAACATGCGAATAACTTAAACACAAAATGAACAGCAAAATTCCTAAGAGCTAACAAAGTAGTCATTCAATCATCAAACAAGAACAGCTTCCCTACTTTGCGATAAAAGAGATGAAACTGAAAAATCAACAGAGATGCAAAAGAAAATCAAAACGAAGATAGAAAGGACAAAAAGCAAGCACAGCACGAATAGATAAGACCGGCAATTTGTGAAAGGGGGGACATCAAAACTTACGAGCTTCGCCATCTCTTCTAGAACAGAGGTCACCTGTTCACCGCCTTTAAGCAGAACTTCGTACTGGGCTGGGCTCAATCTCTGATCTTCTTGCTTGACACCACCACTGCCACTGTCATTTTGAGCTCCAATCTCATCCATGGGAAAACCTCCACCGACTTCGTATGTGGAGGATGAAGCCAGTAAATTTTGCCTCCTGGAGCTTTGCGTTAGATGCGGCTTGGGTGCTTGAAAGAGAGTGGTGGGAAAAGATTTGAACCATGTTTTGGTACCTAAATTGGATGTTGGGAGGGAGATGGTAAACCCATAAGTGCTGCCGCTTGGAGCGGAGAGTATCGCCATGGGAGCAAATCGATGATGGAATGATTATAGCTTAGAAGTGCGATAATGGCTACAAAAAGATTTGCGAGGAATTGCTGCTATTGCGAAGCCAATTTTCAATTTATTCGCCGTCTGTGGGAATCGAACCCACGACCACATGGTTAAACGCCAATCGCTCTATCGGCTGAGTTAAGACGGCTGCGGTCATTGCAGATTTTTTTAAAAATACACATTTTTCTTAAATCACAGTTAATCTCCAAATTTTCCACCAATCAGTCAATAATAGTAGTGATTTGTTTATTTTCGGGGGAAAAAAAAAAGAGTAGTGATCTGTCCCGGTGAGGATGAAAATGAGCAAGAATTATGAATAGAGAAAAAAAAAAAAGAAGAAGAAAAGTTAATAGGCAGTAATTGGGCTCTAACCTGAAGTTTTTCTTATCATGGGCCATGAAAAGTATAAAAATTGATGTTAATCCCACCTTTTTCCTTTCATCCTCCGGCTTTAAAGAAATGTCTACTATATAATGTGATCATTATTAAAATATAAAACCCAGTATAAAGTTATAATTTGTCTCTAAATACTGTGTATATGTATACGTAGATGGAAATTTTTTGAGGATGTTATGAAAGAGTAAGCTATTTGGGCTTTGTTCTTCTAGTGAAGCTAAAGTCTTTAATACTCCGTCACTCTTAAATAAATATTATCCATTTTAAATAATCTACTATATCAAGGACGAAAAGAATACTATTTCACCAATTTTATATTTAAATCATCGAAAACCTTCACACTAATTACCAATTCGTGCAGTGTTTTATGTGTGCACAACGAATCCCACTGGAAAATTTTAATCAAATCCACATTGAGGCTACTAGGAGGAGCAAGTTTCTTTTAATGTAAAATAAAATGTATACCCAAATGATAAGTTAGTATGTTGTGCTTTAATAGTTTGGCCAATGAAACAATTTATGACCAAAGGAGGAGAATCCCTGTACCACTAGACCAAATTAACAAAGTTTTTTTGTACACACCTTTAGCCTCCAATTACATCCTCTCTACTATTCACATGATTCTTCTCTTCGGGCCTTGTTTATCGGTCCACGTCAGCTTAATCTATTTCTTCAAATCTACTCCAAATGATCCATTAAGACCAAACGCAACAGAAGCCCATGAAAAAAAAAAAAACCCATCAGTCGTCCCGTTATTAAAAGCAGGACAACTTCGTCGTTGAATTTGAAATAAAGTTGAAATCAATTTCCAACTGCATCATATAATAAGACAAAGCCCAATGCATTCTGATTTTTTTTTTTTTTTTTACTTTTTTTTTTTCACCATTTCAGAAAACTGACACGCCAAAAGCACTTATGACAACAAAATCACCCGAGATATGGTTGCTTTGTTAGCCCAGAAGATGGCATTACTGTAATATCTTCTAACCAAAGGGATAATCTCGATTCCTCAATTTACTCTTTTGTCCTCGAACGTTTCCGCTTCCTCGCTTCCTATAAAATGAGCCCCACAGTCCTCTTCACTCCCCTCCACCGCATTTATCCCTTAGTACCTGTCCTTTTCAATTCTCCTCCATCTCCATTTTCTCTCTGTTAATTTTTCTAGGGTTTTTTTCTTCTCTGTTCTCTGAGCGTTTGATTTTGGTAGCGATGGCTGAGGAAATCGTTAAGAACGGTGATGCTGTGGAGGAGGTTGTGAAGGAAGTAAAGTTATCGGCGACGGTGAAGCCTCGTCTGTATCTGGAGGCACCCAAGGCGAACGACGCCGTTCAGTTCTTCAAGGCGGCGTTCGGAGCCGAGGAGGTCAACCGTGTTGTGTATCCCAAGAGGAAGGCTGACCAGGAGTTCCCTCTCCTTCTGTCCGCTGAACTCAAGCTTGGTTCCTCCGCCTTCCTCGTCTCCGACTTCGTCGCCGACGACTCTGCTTGCCCGTACGTCTTCCGTTTTTTATTTTTTTTATCTTCTCCTCGACTTCATTTTTTTGATTATATCTAAATTCGCACTGTGCATGTGTGTCTCTGTTATTTGTTTGGGATTTTTAGCTCATTTTTCTGGTAGATCTATGCTATTTCCGGCGTTTTCAGTATGGTTTTATTTCTGTTTTCTGTGTTCTTTGTCCGTTTTTCCCGTCGTTTTTGGATTTTGTGCTGTTGTTGATGAGGTTTTCGTTTGGGAGTATGTCGTTTTCATATGATGTGCTTACGTACTTTTATTAACCTGTGGATGGCGACTTACCGGTTTTTGATTGTATGATTTTCTTCTGTTCTTGACAACATCATTGAATCCTGTACCAGTATGACCTCATTTTGGTTTGAATATGTGTATCGTCCTCTGGTGGAGTGGTTGTGATGAGGTAAATTGATTTCGGTGTCCGATTTTTTCACCTGCTCTCTGATTATATTTTGTTCCGGTGGTGGTTTGATTTTTTGTTGGTTCGTCTTGTCCATGACTACTTTATTGAAAGTGAATTTTGTCATCTTTTGGACTTTGGAACTTAATGATGAATTTTTTAAAGGTTATTTTAGTATGCATGATGAGTAATAAAAATTATAAAGTGTCACCGGGAGTTGTCGGAGATTTTTTTATTTCAATATTATATTTTGAGACTCTTGGAAACCTTTATCGATTTACCCATTATGTTCATTTTTTTTTTCCGGTAGAGTGAAAGCTGTGACAACTGGATTTGTGTTTTCCATGGAGACTGAGGACGTTGACGCTGCTGTGGAGAAAGCTGTGAAGGCTGGGGCAACCTCTGAGGGTGTCACTGAACTGGGTTGCGGTACTCGCATGGCTAAAGTCCAAGATCCCTACGGCAATACCTGGCTGGTTTCCCCCTTTGCTGCTCCTGCTGCCAAGGAGTCCACTGAAGCAGCCGAGGCTTAGAACCATGGCATTTCTGTTGGCTGCCTTTAGTGCTACTTTTCTGTTAATGTTCTTCTCTCTATAGTCTATTCTATATCTGGTGCAGTAACCTAACAATCACCGCCTTTTGATATCTCCTCCTGAACTTTCAGTAGTATCGATCAGTAGTAGTAGTAAGTAACATTTGGTAATTGGGCATCTTTTTGTTAAGAGGCAAAAGATTTGGTACAACGATGAGATTTTGAATCAGCTTGTGATCTATCTGAAAGACATTTGGTTAGGATTGGTTCACTCTAATGGTATGTTATCAATATGGTCTAGTAAAAACAGGCCTTTTTAGGCTTCATTGTGATGTTGCCTTCCAAGTTTACGCTCTTCTTCCGTGTGTGTGTGTGTGTTTTTTTGATTACTCTGCTTTTTATATTTTTTACCCTTTGAAGACTGAAGTCATGCCTTGAATATCGCGTTGGTGAAATGATGGTAGTAGTAATTTTCAGTACTACTTTATTTTCTTATTAGTATTGGTTAGCACCCACTCTATCCATATTAATACTACCTTGGGAGTTGGAACTAAAATAAAGGCCTTTCTAGCCTTCTAGGTGGCGTGTTGGTGGTTGCTTTTGATTTGTGCTACTAATTGTTTATACTTCTGATAACCATAAATATCCCAGTTGGGTTATTTTAATGGAAGAAGAATTATAGTAGCAGAAACAAATTAATTGTGATGGTGAAAATATTTGGAACATTCCAATGCTTAAATTAAAGGTCCTTTTAGGATTGGACTAAAGAGACTAGGACGAAACTTAGTCAATTATATGACCCATGGACACGCGTCCCTTATTATAGCAGTTTCAGTAGGTACCTTTTAATATTCGAGGAAGGAGGGACGTGTATTTCCAGCTTTCTGCCCTTCTGCTCTAGTATATGTCTGTCACTATTGTCATATGTCAGCTTAATTTGGTAGAGAGAGAGAGAGAGAGATTTTTTGTGGTCCCAATCCTTTATGCATTGTCTTCTTTTGGCTGATATCTCGTGAACAATGGCGTTGTTCCGTTCCTGGGTAACTAGCAACAGTTTACTCTCTGCTAAGTTGCCGGTTATACAAATTCCAAATTTTTGGGTTTTTTTTTTAATACTATATCATTTCCACCTGGTATTTTCCTGTCCATGGTTAATTTTGGTCGCTGATTTAAGCTCCTATTCTATTAGCTTTATCAGATTGTTGTTAATCCCTAATCCCGATACATTGTTTAATACTACTAACTTTTTGTTTCTTATGGAATCATGGGGATGGGATAATGGATACTGCCTCAGCCTTGGGCCTGAATCATGTGTCTAATTTTTTAAATTATTTTTTTGTTCAACCAGCAAATGAGTTTTATTTCCTCTATTTGCTTTCTCAGCATTGGTTATATCGAAATGGTTTTAAGAAATCGACTATTTAAATAGAATAGAACAAAATAGACTGTTTTCTAAGTCGTGTCATATGTTATTACAGTATAAAGACTTCTATTTAGAAGCAGCCATTTGAACAAACACACAAACTTCAAATTTAGAAGGGTTTTTCTTCTTTTGGTACAAAAACTTTGATACAAACCCAATCTTTTGTGCAGCAGAATCGTTTTGTGTTCCAGTCATCTCAACCCTAAACTTATATCACAATGGTACGACGCAAAATAGTCTCCCAAATTCATGTTGACTAAACAATTAATGTAAGCTAAGCCCTCGTTAATACTATGCCTTAGGAAATGGCGAAACCCTGTAAATTGCATTTCAGCTTACTTAATTGCAGTCTTCCCACATACACTCACCGAGAAGAAATATTTTTACGTATAACTAAAAGGTAGGAAACAAGAACCTTCAAAAAAAAAAAAAAAAAAGGGTAGGAAACAATAATTATGGTGAGATTGGAGGTTTGGTTATTGGTTGGCGGTAGTTTTGATGGGAATACGGGCTCCCGTGGGCTGAATTTCGGAACAAGTTTTCCTAAACCCGCCAATATTGGGCCTCAATTCAGATGGATCAGACAAATCAAAGTTTGTACTCCACAAAACGGCCCATAGTTAATCGTGCTCGGCGCCATCATCGTATCTTTTTGTTTTACGTGCCATTTCGTTATGTTACTTGTCTTTGCTAACACATGCTTCTTGTATTCTGTTATTATGTGATCGTTACAACAAATTTTAATGTAAACTTTTTTTTAACAGAAAGATTACTATATAGCACGTCCTTGTTGTATTTTCCTATTATATGTAACATTAGAGCCCTATTAAAGAATGTTATTACAAAAAATGATAAAACTGCGGAGTTGAGTTTATCTTTATAACAATGACAAGTCCCGTTAATGATATAAGTTACGTAATCCCGGCACAATTTTCTGAAACTGATATGCATCTTGTAGTGGTACTATTTGTTTTCGGAACCATGGATGGCGAATACATATAAGTTACGTAATCTTCTCAATCTTAGCTTCTTGATTCTTGATCAAGGTTTTTTTGCTTTGATTGCAAATGCACAAATAAAAATAACTAATTGAGATTATTCGACAATCTTTCTCATGACTCTACTAAGGCTTCTCAATGTTGAATGCGAAGAAGTTTGTTAGAATACAAAGGTGAGTACCGTTGGTATATGGGGAGTGAAATTATCTACATTTTTGTGTTCCCACTCGGAATAGGATTTCCGGTGTGTAATAGGCAATTATTAACTCTTATAGGAAGCTGATTGGTGGCGTGGTTTCCAATTCAGTCATGCGGGCAGTAATCTGTACAAATCGGAGAAGCACACCAAGAGCGCCAACTTTATTAGGTATAACTCAAGTTTAATTGTGATTGTTACTACTTATACTAAATGGACTCATTAGAATGGGATTGAAGAATTATAAAATTACCAAAATTTTCAAACTCATTCCCTTTACAAAAATTCGTTTTTTATATTCATGATCCAAGTTAACTTGATTTTCTTTTAGCATTATCCCTACGTGTCGAATATATGGTCATTTCTCCTACTTTATTTAAAGTAGACTGGTTCGACAAACTGCTCAGCTTAGCATGTCGGGGCTGGAGTTTCCGTCTAGACGGCAAATACATTTGCGCTCTCTAATAGCCGAAATCCATGAAAGCTGAAGCCATGAATTATTCAAGTGTCTTCCCAAATGAGAGAGTTTGCCTATGTCCAAAAAAGAGAGTCTGGCCCTTTTCGCCTAACACAATTTTTTCTTTTTCTGTTTCTTTCTTTCTTTCTTCTTTCTATTTTTTTTTCTCCTGAATTTTTAAATGAAGAAACCCGTCCCTTCTTTGACACATTGGGGCAGAGATTTTCCTTTTTTTTTTTTTTAAGAACATATGGCCAATTAGAGAAAAGAGGGTTATATGTATATGACCAACATGATAAGACCAACATGATAATTGGATATTGAGTTTACAATAGACCCTCTTTATTAATTGGATTCACACTAATGTAAAAGTTGGACAAACGGATGAAAACTTATTAAATTTTATACAACACGAAGTCAAATTTAAGTGCGGGAACATTTGATTACTACAACTTAGAAATTAAATAAACCAAACAATTGCTCATTTGGGAGTCGTCAACTTTTAAGTTGCGCGTACATAAAAAAAAAAGAAGCCAAAAAGATTTCCCATCTGGAATTCTGGATTGACCAACCGATCATCATACAATCAGACATGTTGAACTGGCCTCCATCTTCGTGATGCTTCTGTAGCACAAGCAAAACCAGTGTGGGTTTTTTTTTTTTAGTCACGTTAGCTACATTAATATCAGCGCAAGATCGATCGATTATATTAGTTTACTAATGAAATGTTGTTATACAAATACTATTAGCTTAAACAAATACTGATGAATAATGTTCTTTATTCCAAACATTTTCCTTTCAACTTAAAGAGAATCATATTTGAAACTTTTACGCTTATCAAAATACTACTAGCTTGAGGGTGAAGCATTAACGAAAATGAGGAACGCTAGTTGAGTTGAGTTTCGTAATTAAAAATAAAATTATTTTTTATTCAGACGTGACGATTGTTATGATACATATAAACTAAAATAATAAAACTATGAAAAAAAAACAAGTGGAACAAACGATCTCATCCGATTTTACTAGCAACATGTGACAATAAAAATGTTCATATGTGTTGGATTAAGGTAAGTGTAGCAAAAGTATACTTACAAGTTTCAACAACCCTGAGGGAGCTGGAGATTGCATTTTGGCGGGAGAGCTAGGGCAAGATCAGGATCAATCCCAAGAGAAGGCAACATCAACGAGTTCTTATAAGAACAAAGGCACTCTAAGTCGGCCCCACGCAGAGCTTCGCAACATGCGGCGGAGGGATCCACCGGCGCTGGTGGCGGCGGAGTGACGGACGGCTTGCATGCCATTAAGCCTTCCTCGTCCATGTTACACATGCTCAACGCCATTGCTCCGCCGAGGAACGCCACGAGCACCACCGCGGCCACCGCCACAAAAGGAAGCAGCTTTTTCACATTAATTATCGTAGTTGCCATTGTTAGGGAGTTTTTTTTTTTTTTTGGTACTCACGTACGAGTTTGCTTTAGTTTTAGTACTATTGGGTTTTTTTGGTTTATGGGTAAAATGACATATTTTGCGTTATGGGGGTTTTATAGAACGAAATTTCGTGTGTGAAAACTGAAAAATAGTAGTAGCATTATAGTGTGTTGGCCCGTGATAAACTATTTTGGCTGGGAGTTGGAACAACAATGTCACGGGCTAGTTTGAATTTGTGGTTTTGGGAGTCCCTCCTTTCTGTTGTAATGTTGTCTCTTCATTTTGTGGCTATGGAGCTTTGCGAGTATGATTTCATGTTTGACGAAAAATATTTGTAAGGACTGCTTTTGGTTTTTTATTATTTTAATTCTTTTCCTGTTTTTTTCTTTTCTTTTCTTGTTGAAGTGAATATTAGAATCGTGACACTATCAATCTTTTGTAAATTAAGTTGTGGAATAATTAATGAATAATGTTTAGCTATGGTCTCAGCTTCTATTCTACCATAATGGATTGTTATAAATGTAAACAGCCAGGACATTTTGGAGAAGGACATAGACTAATACCACAACTAAGGAGAGGGGAATAGACAATTTAAGAATTCTACCATTAATAAAATAGAATGAATTTGTTATATTTCAATAAAAAAATATCTTTGTTTCAAATAAATGTTAGAATTTTAGGACATAATATTGAGAAAGGAAAAATAATTCATATTGATAGAAGTTTTGAGTTTGCTTCTAAATTCCCAGATGAAATTTTAGAAAAAAACTTAATTACAAAGATTTTAAGGAAGTTTGAATTATATTCTACCTTATTAAAAGAATTTAGCATATGATACTGTTATTTTATATGATAGATTAAAAAAGAATCCAAAGATACAATAAAAATTGACATAAGCATTTTATTTTCTTTTCATTTTTTGGTTACCACTTATCTACTTTCCGAGTATATACAGTATATTGGATTACTCAAAAAATCAAAATCCAAATTTTAGCAACTTAAAATGCATATTTTGATTTGATGGGCCTAAAAGGATACCCCCTATGTGGCCTGTCTCTGCTTTTCGGCCTGATTATGGCCTTTTGGGGATCATACTTTTCATTCTACAGCCCAACCCAACTAAGTTCCATTGAAGAGACTCAAGAAATGAATTAGCATTTCTAATGAACTTTGACATATCCCGGTCATATATATATGTAGTTAGTCTTTCAGATATTCTGGTGCTCCGTTCATCAGTATTCCCGCAGTAGAATGAATAAGCAAATTGCATTATTCCGTGTAAATGAGACAAGTTCAGTGGTGAGAACTAGAAGAGGTACAGTTCCATACTTGGGCAGCAGAATGAAATTGAAGAATTCAAATATAAACGTAATTGAAATACTCCACTGATGGCAAAAGTATATGAATTAGAAGAAGGGATTCACCCTGAAAATCCTCTTGATAAAGCCATAAAGGGATTAACTCCAATGAAATTGTTCGTGTCTAAATAAAGTTGTTAGTATATATATATATATATATATATATATATATATATATATATATATATATATATATATATATATATAGTTGACGTTGTACTATATATATACTCAATTGGCGGTATCAGCCAGGGTGGTGGTCTGGATTCCGGCCTGGTTTCCTTGCTCGTCTGCTTGCCTAGTCTTACCGGCTAAGATAAGCACTGGCCAGGCCCCAGTCCCACGCCAATTTGGTATCAGAGCGGTTATGTATTTTTTATGTTTACAAAAGATTTGTTTGATTCAGAACCTAATTGAAAATGAATAATTTAGAAAGTACTTCAATAAAAAATTCAGTTCAAGAGGAATATGATATGCCTCAACAGCTTGCTCTTCTTAATAAATGGTCAATACCAAAGGTACCCACTAATACTTTGTATGAATATGGTATGTTTGATCGATACTTGGTTAAACAGGTAGTTAAAACTACTGAACAATCAATTGCTTTAAATTCTGATGAAAGGGTTTTACAACTTTTATCTGCTACAGATATTGAATCTTATAGATCTCATAAAAATTATAAGTTCATGCATATTGGATTGGTGCAAATTGCATTTAAACCTTTAACTTTAGAAGGTTTACTCGAATCTTTTGTTCTTTGCCTTACGTGACGGTAGAAATTTACATTGGAAAAAATCCTTAATGGGCATAATCTGATCCAGCCTAGCTCATGGTCCAGTTTATTTCAATGTCTACCCAAATTTGACTATCACTGTCGATGTTAATATACTCGATGCTTTAACCTTAAATGTGAAATTACATGGTTACAATTATTTACCGGAAGTGAACTTATTTGTTTACATTACCGTATTTGTTTTAAATTATTAAATACCTTAACACCCGGATGTAAGATTATAAGTAAACCATCCGATGAAACCATACTAATAGAAACTAATTTTTATAAATCTCAAATTAGTACTCGTAACACTATTAAATGGGAAGAAATTGAATTTCGAGTCTTGGCAAATTAATAAAGGAATTAAAGGAAACTCATTAACTCATAATGTTACAAGTTGTAATGTTACGAAATTGAACAATCGATAATGGTCGGATAAGTATTACTTTTGATAAACCAAAATTCCTAAATTACTAAGATCCATCTCTCAAAGATCTTTTAAATCTTATATTGATCCATTCGATTCTCATAAATTTTCGACATCTTCGATTCTGAAATAGATCTAACAAATAGAATAAATCAAGTAAAAATTGATCCATATAACATTGTTCGGTCTGTTGATAGTAAGACGTTTGATAAGGATATGCCTTCACCTTCGAAATGGGTTATCATGGCGAATCTTGAAAAATTAGATTTTAGTCCAGGATCTAATATTAGACAAATAATAAGACAAGAATTTCAATCGAAAGGTGGAAACTTTTCGAGAGAATGGTTCTTTTCTACTTATGATATTGAAAATCAAAAAATTATACAAAAGAATTTTATGAATATGCTTCTTTTCACAATCAAATAATATATTTTGTCCCGTGGTTTATAATCACTTATCTTGATAAATATATTTTCCTCCTCGAAAGAGAATATCATCTTGCAGATGGGAAAATTACAAAAGGAATTTACCCTCCCAAAAGAATTTGTTTTAACAAATGCAACTCATATAACTTTTACGCATTTCAAAATTGGTTGAAAGTAAAGTTTTACCTTCTCTTGTTTCCTTAGTAAATAAATTTATTCAGCAAAATAATTATACAAATTTATATGTAAAAATTTTAGGAGAACAAATTAATTCTTTACATGATAAAGTTGACAAATTATTTTCTCTTATAAATAATCTTCAACAAACAGTTAAACCAGTTTTAATTGAAAACAAAAATAAAGATATTAAAATACAAAATTTTATACAACCTCCTCCTATAGTAAAAGATTATAATCTTGAATCTCCACATGTATTAGAAAAATTATTGGAAGAAAAATTTAAAAACCTTAAATTATCCACTTTAGAGTTTTCTGAGAATATACAGAAAGATTTTGATAAAACTCTACGAGATGAAATACATCGTCTTTCTAATAAATCTAGACATAATAAATTTGCTAATAAACCATATATGAATCATTATTATTACCCTCGACCTTCTCCACAAGATCTTCTTTATGAAGAACATCAAGAAACTACTAATAGTTATAGTAGTCGTTCTGTTTATGAATGGAATTGTGACGCATTCTTGATAGGCAATTAACCAATATGGTGCATAGGATGTTAATGTACTCCTCAGTTGCAAAAGCAAATGGTAATACAGATCAGGCAATCGCGAAAATGATTGTTTGTGGTTTTACTGGTGTCCTTAAAGGATGGTGGGATAATTATTTAACTGAAAATGATAGACAAAAAATTTATAATACAGTAAAAATTGAGAATGAAGGAACATCTACACCCATTATGATGGAAGATGCAGTATATACTTTGATAGCATCTATATTAGAACATTTTTCTGGAAAATTTACTAATAATCAAGAAAATATTCGAACATTGTTGAATAATTTTAAGTGTAAAACACTTACTTCTTTTAGATGGTATAAAGATTCATTCTTATCAAGGGTCATGGAATTACCAGAAAGTAATAGCTCTTACTGGAAAGCTAAATTTATAGATGGCTTACCAACTCTGTTTGCTAAACGAATAAGAAAAGTTCTCAGGAAAGATTTTCCTTACATTCCTTATGATGATTATACTTATGGTCATTTAATAGGTGTTTGTACACAAGAAGGATTAGCTTTATGTAATGAATAAAGTTAAATCAACAAATTAAAAGACAACAATTATCAGAACGAAGACAATTAGGTCAGTTCTGTGATCAATTTGCTATGGATATTGGACCAGAAAATAGGGATAAAAGAATGAAGAAAAATAAAATTCCTTATATACCCAAAGGAAAACGACGACGTAAAAGAACAAAAGAACAAAGAGAATTTAGAAAAATTAATAGAAAAAATAAAAGAGACATAAAATGTTTCAAATGTGGTCAAAAGGGTCATATTGCCCCTAATTGTAAAAAGATAAATAGAATTAGATTATTAGAAATAGATGAACAACTTAAAGAACAAATATGCAAAGTAATAGAAGCATCAGACACTGAGTCTGAAACAGAAGAAACTAATAGCTCAGAAAATAATATGCTTGAAAATGATGAATATTCATCTAGTTCTTCGGATGAATGTCTTCCATGTCAAAATAATGACAATAATGATTGTTGTAAAAAGGATAATAATCTTTACAATATTATATCTCAATTTCAAGATCTACAATTTAACATGTTAACAACTGATAATGTTTTAGAATTACTAAAACAAATACCAGATCATGATATTCGTGATAAAATAATTAAAATGATAGATGTGTCTAATAAAAAAGAAAAGGAAGTTAATAAAAAAGATATAGTTTTCAATAATAATCCTTATTCAATGCAGGAAATAGAAAAAAGAATGAAAAAATTACTAAATAAAGAAGAATCATCTTCTTCAGTTATAACTATTTCAGATTTACACATACAAGTTCATAATATAAAGAATGAAATAAAATATTTAAAACAAAATAATGAATTATTAGAAAAAAGGATTAAAACAATTGAGTATTCACAAT